ATCATGTTCGGCAATCCACTCCCAACGTTCAACCAATTTACGGATGCCTGATTCATAGAAATCGCGCGGTTTCTCGTTAAAAAAGGTGTCAAGGTGGTTTTTGACGTCTTCCACATTTTTAAATTTTTTTCCATTCAAATTGTTCTGCAGCGATCGAAACAAATGATAATCAGAAGGCGCAAAGTCGGGTGAATATGGGGGATGCGGCATGATTTCCTAATTCATCTCCTTCAGTTTGGCCAGGGTCGGTTTTGCAACATGTGGCCTGGCGTTGTGATGATGCAAAGAACTCCTTTGCGATTGGCCAAAATCGGACGTTTTTCATCAATTGCTTTCTTCGATTCGACCAATTGCTGACAATACTTGTTGGCAGTGATAGTTTCTCCAGCTGGCAAGAGCTCAAAATCACGCCTCGGATATCCCACCAAATGCACAGCAGTACCTTCATCGGATGCAATCTACCTTTCGACATCGGTTCCGCCCCTTCGTGTGCCTGTTTCGATGTTCTTTTGCGTTGAACATTGTTGTACAGGATCCATTTTTCATCACTAGTCCCGAGCCGATCCAAAATAGGTTCGTTTTGATCCGTCGAAGCAAAGAAATCGCTGCTGACATACGGTCCACTTTGTTTTTTTCACTCAACTGATGTGGCACCCGTGTATCAAGCTTCAAAGTGTACCCAACCTTTTTTAAACGACGAAACGCAGTTGATTTGTTGACGTTCAATTCACTGGCAACCTCTGCCGTCGAAATACGTGAGTTATTCGCAACTAAAGTCCTTAGAACATCGTCATCAAGCTCAGAAGGCCGTCCACTGCGAGGTTGATCTTCGAGGTTAAAATCTCCAGAACGAAATTTCGCGAACCATTTCTTTACTGTGCGGAGTGCTGGAGCACGGTCCAAATAAACTTCGGGAATATCTTTAGTTGCAGCGCCTACTGTTTTTCCTTTGCGAAATTCGTATAACAAATATGACGCATATGACCTTTTTCGTTGTCCATCTTCCATGCGTCTTTTCACTAAGCAACTCAAATCAAAATGAAGTTATTTTAAGCTTGATTTACAGTTCGGACTGTCACCTTTCCAACCATATATAATATGTATATATTTCTTTCACGAGCGCCACTCTCAAACCATTCGAACGGCATCCAGCGAAATCGGGCACGAACTTATGCACTCATTCAATAAAAAACGTCGTTTAAGTCGATTAAATTTAAAAAACACATTTGAATTAAATTTACCCACTATATTTATTTATATTTGAAACTCTAGTCAGTTAGTTAGGTTAACAGGTCCAGGTTGCTCGATCACGGAAGCCTGATCTAGTGATGATACCTATGTTGGTTCTGTGAAGAAGATTCCTCACTTTTCCAGATGCTCAAACCATTTGGTGTATTTCAGGAGATTAATGATGCAACAACACATCCTTCGACCATGGGTCTCTACATCACATGTCCGGCTAATACGCCGGTTGTTATACTTATGAAGGTCATGTTTAGAAGGAGTAAACCCTTAGTTCTGTTCACTTTGAACAATTGGACGTGGTTTTTTTTTTTTGTCAACTGCTGTTGGCCCTTCTGGTAAAGGCGAATCTTAACAAATACTTAGCCGAGGAAAGAACTATGCCAGCTCATCGGCGCCGCAGTTCCCTGGGGTGTCTCTATGTCCAAGCCACAGACATTTCGCATATAGTCGAGAAAACCTATGCCTTAGTTTCGAGAAAAAGTAAAAAATTACACTTTCCATTTCCATCCATACTTGTATTCAATATTACAGCATCTGCTTAGAAGCTAACCTCAAAAATAATTAAAAAAAAATCTCCAAGTTCTGCTTTATCTGTATATTGTGCTGAAAAAATTATTTCATTATTTTATTTTTCGCTTTACTTTATTATATTTTTCAGCTTTTATATCTTCAAATCTTTTATTTAAATGTCAAAAAAGCTAATGCTATTACGACCTGACCATTAACGGTTCTTTCAGTTTGTATTTCGAAAAGTTCAAAAGAGCTTTCAAGAATCACCACCAGAATTGCAAACTTCAAGCACAGGAATGCACAGTAAATATATCTTGGGACAAGTTTCCCTCACTTGTAGAGCGTCGCAACCAATTGTTTTAGACGGCGGGCTGCTGGTCAATAAAAATTGTTAAAAGCCATTACGAGCTCAAAAAAATTCAAAAAATTCAGATGTATCTTACCGTTATTTTGAATTGTTTTTTAATCAGATCCAGTTAAAACAAATTGATAGTCTAACTTACAAATTGAGTGAAGCATATGTTTAAATTAAAAAAAAAATAGTAACAAATTTTTATTGTGTTCAATTCTATGAACTATATTAAATGAAATGTCAGAGATTAAGGATAATATCATCAATTATATAGAAGTTAAAGCGAAAAATAGGCAATGCGCGTGTGTTGAGTATTTTTAGCACAAATGTTATTTGTTTTTAAAAGGGAAAATTAATCTTTCTAAATTTGTTTAGGTTTTATTCAAAAATAATCTAAGAAATTACAAAACAAGACCCCTGCGGGTTAGGGGCTCAAGAATTTACCCGTGGTAAGGCATGGCTGTCGTAAGACGTGACTAAAATCCATTATTTCCGCGACAGTCGGGTCTTTATACCGGAACGACCTGGATTTTTATCCGGCCAAGGACTGTCACTCCCGCAATATTCACCGAAAACAACAACTTAAAAACAAGCAAATTATTTCATTTGCAGTTTCCCAGAAATCTTGGTTCTATCAGAGGACTCTCAGAAAAGTAAATTTGTATATTTATCGACTCCCGGCTTTGAAGCAGTAGATTTTTTTCATTTTATAAATATTATAAGTTTTGAAAATTATTTAGGCAATTCACAAGCTTTGTCTTATGTGTTATGTCATAATTAAATACTGTTAAAAAATACGACTCTCGTGTTCACCACTTCGTCGTTTGTCTATTAATTCTGCATTTGATAGTGCGAAAAAGAAAATTATAGCTTCTGCATGTGAAGATCATATATTGACTTCAAAGTCAACAATAAAAAAAATAAACAGATATATCCAAAAAATATCCAAAAAACATACATACATCGCTAAGTTGTATATGATAGTGTTTATAAAATTGTCATAATAGACAACATGACGATATGACACATGTGATACTTTGAGAATACCCTAATTAATTTATTATAACTGCCACTAATAATTTCATTAGAATATATATAAAAATACTTAAAAGCAGAAAACAATAAACTGTACAAATGAACGGGTTCAAATGTAACAACCAAAATAAACAGTTGTTGTACATCTTGCTGGCTAATTTTTACTAAATCCTGTTGGGTAAAAATTCAGTAAATTTTTTTTTTTTGCTCTTTGCATTTTGCTCTCTCAATTTCGTTACTGACTAATTTCTACTCACCTGTTTCACCGAACAGAGTTAACAATTGTTAAGCTTAAATTAGAGATGCCATAACCTTAACATACCATAACAGCTAATCTAATCAACTTAATGATAAACACTGGTTCTGGTTATTGGTGTCATTCCATAATGCCTTGTGTTAATGACGAAGATCAGTCTTGTAACAAGTTATTATTATTGTTATTAAAATATACTTACAATATTTTTAACACAACTGAAGAAAAAACGAACTGTGTTTATAGAAAGTTGTATATTTAGTAAACTGTGTGTTTATTTAACAGTGTTCAAAGTCTAAGTATTTTTTATGAAGAATATTGAGAAATATTCGCAGCTTTTTTATCCTTGACTTATGGTCCAATTATATTTAGAACAAAATGAAAACAACTCAGTTTTAAAAATAATACTTTTCGAGTGTTGGGTGGCGTCCAATCGCTAACACACTTACACTGCTAACAAAAGTTGTCATTTCAATAAAATTATAAAGCTTTTAATTGATTATTAAGTGCATACATATGTACATCCATATATTTAAATGTCCATACATATACATTACCAAACATATATGGCTAGGTAGGTTAATACTTTTGAACATGAATGCATACACTTATGTACATGTATGTATGTATGTATGTACATTTAAGAACTGTCTGCATATTTGTAACCACCATTAATAAAAGCTTTGCCAGTTTCCAAGAGAAATTTCACCTAAGCTCTAATAGACCATTTCAAAATGGTACACAACCAAACTAAAAATGCAAGAAAACAACTACCTATGCGTGTACATATTACGCCCATTCACATAGTATGCTTAAGTGAAGAACAGTTTTGTTTAACATATCACCAACCACCGCCCACTACACTTGCATAAAAATGGTTCAAATACACTAAACGTACACAACACCTTATGGCCGATGAAAGTTTATATTGCACTCCTTCAATCACCTCCCACATATGATGGTATATTTTAAATAAGTACATATGTATGTATCTAAAAACAAACAGGCAGAGTATAGTGCATGTTGATTGCACTGTTCATGGCCTAGCCTCCTACAATCGGCATCTCTACTTTGGACACCCATTCGCATTTGCTCCTGATGCGCTTCGTGCATAAATTAATCAGCACAACCGAGAACAACCGACAAGCTTCATATTTGGGAATTCAACGATACGAGGTTAAACACTCAAGAGGCGAACCAGATGACGAAGATGAACACAAAAGGTGTATAAAGAAAAAGGAAGTTCGAGAAAGCAGATGAGAGCAGCGCTGCGACAGCAAAAGGGGGGGTTCCATAAATTTGGGACTCCGCTGGCGTTGGCCATGGACCATTCGTTTGTTTGTTAGTGTTAATTGCTGCATACATATATACCTCCGTATTGAGAAAAATTGAACAGCTGAATGTTCAGCGATAAAAATGCAATTGACACAATTTTCCTAAACTTGTATAAAGCGAACGTTCTATATTTACAAAACCACATATATTTCAACCGTTTTTTCACATTTTTCACTTTAGTTTTATAAGTCTCCTGCCTTTGCACCCCAAATATCTTGGTGATTACTTTGGTCTGAAGTGTTGAAGTGGTATATCCATTTGTATCTTTACCTTGAATGAAATTTAACACAAACACTGTGAAAACATACATTATCGGACACTTTGTACAATTTACTTGAATTTACTATTAGTTATAATTCTCGCATAAATTAAATCGCGCACAAAATCTAAAATTTAAAGCACAAAATTATTTTTCTTGTCCTATTTTTTATCACACTCGCCCCGAATATTTTCTTTCTCCAACTGGACTCAGCAGCATACATCAATACAGCGAGAAATCACAAGCAATACCAGATCATACTGATATTATTTTTTTAAATTTAAATATTATGTTTTAAGAGATTTTTATGAAAAAGATGTGGCGAAGATAATTAAAAAAAAAATATTTTTTTTATATTTTGAAAGTAATTAATATCTCACAAATGAAAGCAACTTTTGAGCGAATGTAAATGCTGTAAATCGCTTTGCTTAAGTCTGGCAGCACAACTAAAGTTGTTCTAATTGGTTGCAACAAATTCAGCAAACCAAATTCAGCAATGAATGCCACCACCGAGGCGAATTCACCTTGGCTACTACAAAATATTTTCATATCCGGGAAGTGTCCAATTCAAACATAATTGATTTCAGTTTGCTGCATTCAAGATAAAAATGCGAGAAAAACATAGTACTTTAATATAACAAATAAATTTAAATTCGTAAAACATGATGAAACATTGTATTATTATGTATTGTTAGATAAACTTTCCTAAAGAAATTTGTGTCTTAGTTTAATTTCACTATCTACAGTGAAACCATTCATTTTTTCGAATGACGGCCACAATAGCAAATGGTTAGAATTGCGTAATGTAATTCTGAAGGCCAGAGTCCGAGTCATGGTGTGACTAACATCCGAGATTATATAAAATTTTACAAATGGCGGTCACCCATCGACAGAGAATGTCAAGCTTTGCAAGTGTATTTATGACAAGAAATAGCAGCTCCTAATAAAAATTTATCAGCCGAAACACATCAAAACGCATAGCATAAATTTGAGAAGGAACTCGGCTACAAAGCACCAGTTATATATGTATGTATACATAATTTCTACAAGTTGTGTCCCTAAAAAATGTCTTGATTGAAATGGATAAATATTTTGTTAATAAAAACAAATTATAATTAATAATATTAATAATTAATAATAATAATTCTCACGTTTCGATTTGTATAAAATTACCTCGAATAATAAAATTTCGATTTAATATTACCCTAAAAATCAATATAATTTTTTTCTTATAGGAAATTTATGGATATGAAACATAGAAGCACTTATTTCAATTCCTGTTTTATAATTTTTTTTAAATTAAATGTGTAAAATACATTATCTTTATCTTCTTCTTCTTTTTCTTAAAAAATTTAATTTCATAAAAATTAAAATAAAAATTACATTCGATTTCTCCATCCATCTACGAATATTTAAATTAGTAAAAGCTTTAGTAAATAATTAAATTTGAAACCATTTCCATTATTTCTTTGCTTAAATATTCTATCATTCCAAATGCGCTTACTACTAAAGGGAAGGCGATTTAGATTTGTTTTATGGCAATAGTAAGCTCATAGAAAGCGGTACAACATTAGTATGTCACTACTGTGAGTTCTCGTTGTAGGTAGGTAGGAACAAGTGATGACGGAAGGAGCTAAGCGTCAGTCCCGATTAGTACTGGTAGCGCCGTTTGCACTATCGTAAGTCCTTACTTTGCCTGCTATGAAATTTCATTGTTAGTATTTGCAGTAAAACTATTTGTATCTGAAATCTTTTCAGTGGACAGCCGTTCAAGATTTGTCACGTGATGTTTCCTATTCCCTTCTCGTTCGCTGCTTCGGTAATGGCTTTATTAGGGTATGCCTAGTTTTGATGCATGCCCTGGAAGGCCAATGGCCCGATATAACAGCTGTAACACTGCAAATAGCCAACATAGCGACTCAGTTATGACAAGTTTTCATAGGGTAGCGCCATGTAAAATAATTGCGTCGATTTTATTTTTTCCGTAAAACTGAGTCCCGCTGTTATAAAAATAAGTTTTAACGATCTAAGAAATACTATATATTTTTTTAATAAATGAATGTTGGAATCGTAATTAGATCTTTCATTGGCGTTTATATTCGAACATATAAGCTATGAAATTTTGTGGACAAAAATTATAAATTTGTTTAAAAGTATGCAAGCACATTGGCTGCTGGTAGCCGGCAATATTTCACCGCCTCAAGCACCGTCGGTAACTTGTGACTAGATATCCCACTTCCAGTTGGGTGGTACGGCTGGAAAGTATGTAAAATGGGTAGTTGAACTATATGTCTTTATATATGGGGTTATCTGTTTTGTGTGGATATTTTGTTTTAATTAAAAGTCAAGCGTTTTTGAAAAAATATTGCTTAACAAACGCACAACGTTTTAAAATTGCTCAAACCTTTTATAAAAATGGTGTTTCAAACGGTACTACGCTTCATGCTTTAAGAGAAGATTATGGTGCATAGATAAGGACTGTTCGTCATCGTTTTGTTCGTTGTGCCTCAACTGCCGCTACTGTGAATGAAAATGTAGCCGAGGGCCCGAATGTGTCTATTTCTGGAAGCTCCCAAGACAACGGCGAGACTACCATTGAAGAAAATGTATTGTCCAAGTCGTGATTTCAACAAGATGGTGCCACATACAGCACAGCACGAGCGAATACGGTATCATCTGGTCTTGGCGATGTCAATTGCCACTGAGATCGTGCGATTTGATACCACGTTTATACGTATAAACCTTAAACTCTTAAGCACTTGAAAACCAACATTTACCATAACCATAAGTTATGGCTGAGACACCGCCTATTATCAAACAATTAGTGTCAGAAGTGGGATTGATAAAAAAATCCACAAGGAAAAGATTTAAAAATGATCAAGATTCCGGACGATGCTGCCGTTCAAAAAGATTGGTAAAGCGAAGATTTTCTACTACCGAAAATAAGGCGGAGCTACTTAGATTGACCCCTGGAACCTTAGAAACAACAATGACGGCTCCAGTTCGAAAAGACAACTACAGCAAGCAACTGGAGTATCGAGGAAAAATTTGCTACACATTTCGCTGTGTTAAAAGGACCTGCAGCAGGAGTTTCGCAGACTGTTACCAAATATGAGATAGATAATTCTAGTGTTTCTGGTGTCTGGTGTTCTAAAAGGAAGCTATCAGCTGTACATAAATCTGTTAAATAGCATACCCAGGTTGGTTGGTATGGAGGGTTGTCCAATTGGAAAGACTAGCTGCTTTTGCGAAAATTGCGTCTGATTGTTTCAGAATTAATGGCAGGTTAGGGCAGTATGGCGAAAATGTCAAAAACGGATATGATTTGATAACTTAATTATTTCATAGAACGCGTGTGGCGAATATCAATGTCGAGAATATACAAAAAAGAACCTTCTAGAGATGCAAGCAAAAAATCGTTAGACATTTGAGAACGGCGGTCCGCATCGCAGTATGTTCAGTTGAAAATAGTACTCACTAAAAAGGTAAAACGGAGGAAACTGTGTGTTTACACGAGAATCGAGCACAACGAATATCTTCTCACCGTTCAACATGATTTTATATTTCACGAAGGCTCAAAATGAACTACAATCTATTACAATTCTGTTCTCAAAATTTGACCTGTCAGGCAAATTGAAATAAGTCTTATATGAATATGCCTTTGAGGGTTCAAAGTTTTAGCGTTTGCCAATTTCAATCTCAACAGCTACCGTTAGTTATTTTGAAAATGACTACTAATGCATGTTTTGAATATACTGTCTCTAAAAAAGTATAGGAGAAATTTATTGACACACCTATACTAAAAGTTCGCCTATAGATTCCAACATCTCATTCATATAAAATCGTAGACTCATTCATAGAAATGTATAAACCCAGCGTTTGATACAAATGCAACAACAAATTGGACGGCTAACCGGGCTGATTAGGAGCAGAGCGGAACGAAGTTAACCTTTTGGTAATTTAATTTAATCGCTCCTTCAAAATAGATAAATATTATATTATCGCTTTCGTTAAGCCTTACAGCTATGCACGTTTAAATATTTATATGTAGGTGTGTTTGCGTATGTATGCAAGTTCATTTTAACGTATTCAAATCTTGCATGAGAAAGTATGTACGAATGTGCATACATATGTATGTATACGAGTGCTGACAAACGGAAATTTTGAGTAGAGGCTGAGAGGTTTTAGTCAACAAAATATTACAATATAAATACATATGTATGTACATACTCGTTATATTGTTTCCTTTGCTTAGAACAACTATTATTTCCAACCGACGAAAATGCAGGTTCTTATTCCATAATATTCTTAAGCTGTTATTTGCACTTTAATAAAAATATGTATTTGATATTTTACTTTCAAAAATTCCACAAGCAAAAAAAATAGCTTCCCGCGAAATGCTACGCCACTGCTTTAGCTGGTAGATGCGTTAACATGCAAACTTGTTGACAACTTAAATCAAAATTTACTGGTATTGCACGATTCATTATGTACGCTAAAATGTGTACATTCGAGGTAGCGTTTTAATGTTCGCAGAATGGAGAATAAGGTGGGGAAATAAAAATCAAATTATTATTTCCCTTTTCACTTTATTCACCTGTAGGAGGCGGATACATTTTCCAGATCTTTCAATTTATAACCTCATAAAAAAATGGTTTCTCTTTATCTTGAATTCATCATCTGCGATGAATTTTTTAACCCTCAGCTCTTTTTTTCATTTTTGGAAAAAGGTAATATTCATTCCGGGCCAGGTCTGGGCTGTAGTGTGGGTGATTTAAAATAACGCAACTCACCTTTTACAGCGCAGACACGCAACATGACGCTTGTGACTGTAGCTTTAGTCCTGCCTAGATAATCGTGCAGGATTTCAAAAATGGTTCTATCGGATAATCGAATGATTTTCGCGCATTGTTTCTTCTTTAGTCAAAGGTAAGTTCTGGCGTGGTTACTTCGATGTTTCTAACAGACCTCGGATCGTCTTCAAGGACTCCCTTGGTTGTTTAAATAAATAGTTCCGCTTGTACATCATGGTTTTTGTCGGACGAGAGTTGCCTTATGCAAATGACATCTCATTCATTTTGGTCGCCAATGATTTTCCTTGCTTGGTGAGGAACTTTTAATATTCGAATATTTGCATATTTCACTCCCGGTTATGTTACTTAGTTGACGAAAGCTCAAAGACTTAATACCTAATAACAATGAAATGTCGTGTTTGATTATGAGGCACTGGACAAGTTACGATCCTAAATATAACCCACTTACTCCGCGAAAACACACTACTCTGTACGCGAAATTATGAAAAAGTAGCGAACTCCTCTTCGGCAAACCGTTTTTTTTTATTTATTCAAATACAAATTTATGAGGCAAAAATACTGTCCGTGTAGAATAATAAGATAAATGCGCTTTGATAATTTCCCAAATCGTTCGATCGATCGCCCGATCACTGGTTTGTTAAAAAAAATATCCCAAGAGTCATTTTACAACTTCAACACAGCATACACCTTTTCAGCCTGCACTTGCCAAGAAGAAAGTTCAGAAGAAATCTTGCTTGCCTTCCAAAGTCTCAGACTAACATCTATTCCTCTAGTCATTTTCAATATCCCTTGCCGAACCGAATGTAGCATACAAAGCATGTCAGCAGACTTACATGTACATACAAACATAGTTACTTGTATTAAATAAATGCAACAACGATAATTTAGTCCATTTAATTCAAATGTGAATGAATAATTGTTGTTGTCTCTGTAGGTGTAGTGATAGTTGATTTTGTTAGTTAAATTTTTTTTTTTTTTTTTCAAAAACAAATGATTTGACTGTCATTATTTACAAGGAACCAAAAACACGAATCTACTAAACATTTATCGGCCGCAGTCAGCGAATAGCATACAACACTTAAGGATATATTCAACACCACCAACGGCATAATTCTAACTAAGTTTTGAAAATCCGTAGAGGATTTGAGAAATTCCATATTTCGCTCAAATATGCAGTTAAATTCAAAAGTTTAAGACGCGATGACTTCGAAAGTTACAAATGTCTCGGCCTCACAAGCCACAGCACTGAAGGGTGTAATACGCAACAGTAGTTATGTCATACCAGGATTATATGATCTTAGCGTGGAAGACACCAATTGGGTGTTGACGTCATCATTTATTATTTTCACTATGCAAACCGGTAAGATTTCGCACGCTGAGAAAGTTTCATGTTGGAAAATTACTTAATACCCAGAAAAGACTTGCTCCTTGTGTTGGTTGGTTTAAGTAAAAGTGATAAGTGATTGCTTCTGTCTATCAGAGAGAGATAAAATGAAAGTTTAAAAGACAAGCCGTAACAGAAAAACTCGTTGAAATTAAAAAATAAATAAAATAAAAGTGAAATTATATTTTTATCTTCTTTACAAAGATTCTAGCAGACACCACACGGCTAGTGCTTTCCGTATTTTTTCCAAAAAATGTCTAATTAAGCATCATCTAAGTTAAATACCGCGACGGTCGAGTGGTTAGCATTGCATACTGCCATTCGCAAGGCTAAGATTCGAGTCCGTTTCCGGTCAACATCCAAAAATTATAGAAAATTAATTTAAATAAATGATCCCATTCTTTATTACGGTCGCCCGTCGGCAGGGAATGACAAGCCTTAGGAATACATTTCTGATATGAAATAAAGGGGCTCCTCATAAAATCCATTTGCCGTTCGGAGACCACTTAGAATAAACTGTAGACTTTGTTGGAAAAACGTTAATTGAACGTACTAAGTACAGCCAGGTCCTTCTCTACATGGCTTTTCCAACAGAGTGGAGGTCTTCCTCTTTCTCTGCTTCCGCCGGCGGGTTCCGCATCGAAAGCTGGATTATTCTTATGCATTCAGACCGCAGGACCTAGCCAACGTAGCCGCAGTATCTTGATTCGCTCAATTATGTCAATCCCGCCGTATATCGCGTACAGGACATCATTCCATGGCAGCGGTATTCGACTTTTCAAAAGTCACGCAAAGGATCATAAATCTTATGCCAAATCTTCATCTCAAAAACTCTCCGCCGTATACACGAATGTGTAAAATTTGTGGGTGGTGTGTCGTCGTGCCTTTACCGAGACATGCTGAATATTTGGTCAACGGCGGATGTACCGAGTCTAAGGTCACACTTGTAACCTCAATCACTTTATTGACATGGACGATAGACTGTGGGACCCACCTTTTTGCATACTTTCATCCGACCCACCTCGGCCTTGTTGGTCTCAAGCATTTTCTTCGTAGCCAGTGTTCCCGCAGGCGTTTAGGCCTCTCAAGAAGTTCTACACTACGATAGGAATCAGTTTTACACTCGGCTCGGCTTTTGGTGTGCACTCTGCAAGAGGACCCACTTACACCCGAAACGATCACAAGTTTTTCCTATCCCACAAAAAATTTTTCTCTATCCGTAACAAAATGTGTATATTTCAAATATAAATATGCTTTTTGAGGAGCAGTTTTCCAGACATCGAATTAACACAATTTCGTTTGCTCTCTCTCTCTCACTCTTTTCAAAGGCTTTGGCATGCTCGAATCCGGTTGTGTATCTATTAAGAATGAAGTGAATATAATGATGAAAAACGTCATTGATATTGTGCTTGGCGGTTTCACCTATTGGCTCTTCGGTTATGGTATGAGCTATGGACGAGGACCACTTTCCAATCCATTCATAGCGGTCGGAGATTTTCTACTCGACCCACCAGTTGGGGATCCCTTGATGGGCCAAATCTTTGCAGCGTTTCTCTTTCAATTGTCGTTCGCTACAACAGCGACAACGATTGTGAGTGGTGCCATGGCAGAAAGGTTAGTTAAAAAATATTTATTTCAATTTATGTATGTATAAAATACACAAAAAAATACAACTAACAAATAACCATAAACCTATATTTATGCATAATATTATATTTATCAAGACATATGTTGGTATGTATGTATATATTTATTTATAAAAAAAGTAATTTTCGAACGACATTCGTAAATGGCTTTTGTCCTGGTAAGTCCACCATTGTCCAGATATTCACGATGTGACAAATCTTGGAAAATAATTGTGAGGAAAAAATCGATGCACATCACTTTTTCATCGATTTTTATTCGGCCCTCGACATTATAGTAAGGAGCTGCCCCTACGCCGCTATGTCTGAATTTGGTATTCCTGCAAAACTTATTCGGCAATGTAAACTGATGCTAGACAACCCCAGAAGAACAGTCAGAATTGGGAAGAACCTCTCCGAGACGTTCGATACCTTAATATCTCCATTCACCAGGAAAAAGGAAGACCTCCACTTCGTTGAAAGGATTAAGTAGAAAGTGACGTGGCTACACTTGGTATTTCCAACTGGCGCCAAACAACGGAGAAAACAACCGAATGGCTTGCTGATTTTGATTCAGCCATAATCGCAATGAAGAAGAACATGAACATGATAAAGATGACGAGCATCCAAATATTCTGAACGCACATCATCAACTGATGGAAATGTGATAAAAGTGAAAGAAATTGGTATGAACGATCGCCGAATCGCAATTAGACACTCGCTGATGATGTCAGCATATCGATTGGATTACGTCATCACATATTTTCCCATGGATAGCGAAATTGCTGAGGAGTCATTAATGAAGACAATGTCAATGCAGAATCACCGAAACGTATTATAACAGGTTACGACATCGAAAGTTATGCTCAATGATATTGAATTGAGTACTAGAATTAGCAATACCTGTTCGGTGCCCCGTTTGTCGAAATTTTCGACTAGCACGGTGTTATTATTATTTTCCCATCAATTGCTACATACATACTCTCAACTTTGTACAACTTTGCTTCCGCCGTTTTTTTCCAAAATTAAAAGCTTTATTGCGAAAAAGTGCTTACAGATATATCATTCAAAGTATTGTCCTTCGCTTGCGAAAACTTTCTCCCATCTTTCCGGCATTTTTCGGATCCCGGCTCGAAAAAAGAAGTCCTCTTTTGACGCTATCCATGAAGCAATCCATTTTTCCAATTCTTCGAAGGATTTAAAATGTTGATCTGCCAGTCCGTGTGCCATCGAACGGAATAGGTGGAAGTCAGAAGGGGCGACATCTGGGAATATGGCGGGTGGGGCAAGACTTCCCATTTCAGCGTTTCCAGGTACTTTTTGACCACTTTGGCGACGTGAGGAGGATGACTTTGTCATGTCGCTCTTGATATTGTGGCCGCTTTTCTTTTAGCGCGCGACTAAGGCGCATCAGTTGCGTTCGGTAGCGATCTCCTGTGATGGTTTCACCCGGTTTTAAGAGCTCGTAGTAAATCTTTGAAGGTTTTTTCTCTACCACCACCATGTTTGTCTTCGACATCGAAATCACTATTTTTAAAACGTATAAACCACTCCCGACACGTTCTTTCGCTCAGAGCAGTATCACCGTAAGTTTCTGAGAGCATTCGATGCGCTTCAGGTGCATTTTTTTTTTAATTGTAACAGAAAAGTGAAACTTCCCGCAAATGGCGAGAATTAGGCACATAAACAGACAGTTTCGAGCGTGAATAATACGAAAACAAGAACAACTGCCACTGAAACGGCGATGACAATTCGTTAGGCACTATCCACACTCACTTTAAAGGCATTATCATCTATGTATTTCAACCAGCCTCAGCCGGTACAGCCATCTATCGGAAAACGGCGGAAGCAAAAATGTACACCTGATATTTACTTCTTTGATATTTAAAAACCACTTCAATGACTCTGACTTGTTTTTGTTGAACTTAACCTCAAATTTCAGATGCAATTTCAAGGCATACTGTTTATTTTCCTTACTAAACACCGCTGTCTATTGTATTCCCGCCGGCTGGGTGTGGGGTGAACATGGATTCCTCAATAATCTTGGTGCTGTGGATATAGCCGGAAGTGGCCCGGTACATTTAATTGGTATGTATGTATTAGAACAATCTACGCACGCCTAAAAAAAGTACGATTGAGTATATACATTTGTATATGCATGTATAAATATGAAATTATAAGTGAGGAAATGGATTTAAGACTTTATGTGTATTAGGAAAATTAACATCAATGCCAATGTTGTTTTGTACTCGTATGAAGGGTAAGTGTGCTAGTGAAGGAACCGTACTAAGGTTTTTTTTTTACCAAAATAAAAGCACTTTCAATAATTGTAAATATATCAAAGAGAAATGCTTTGGAAGCAGATATTAATTTATTACCTCATAGCCTTTTTATGTAATTTCCTCACCATCTTTGTTCAAATGGATTTACTTGGTGCACCGAAGAAAAACTGTAAAAAAGCTATTTTTTTTTTTAATTTGAGAAAGATTTTTAAATGAAGATTTAAAATTTATTATTAATATAAATGGGTATGATAGTGCTTTTTTTTGTATTGACCATTATTGTATAATTTATTGCAACCACTTTCTGTTATGCGTTTTTCCAACAAACGGAAGAACCTACAACTGGTACTAATTTACGCCCGATTTTTATGTGGAACTTTTATACGTATACGTCGGAAATAGAAATTAGCTGTTTAACTCTCCCACAGAAAGAAGTTTACTGAGTTTTCATCGAACAGTATTCAGTATAAATTAGCCAGCAAGTTGTAGAACAGCTGTCAGCCTTGCGGGTTAAAGGCTAAAGAATTTAGCCGTGGTAAGGCATGCCTGTCGTAAGAGGCGACTAAAATCCAGAAGTGCCCGCGACAGACGGGTCTTTATACCGGAACGACCCGGATTTTTCGGGGAATATTTTTGCAGTTACAACAATAACAACAACAACAGCTATTTATTTTGGCGGTAAAATTTGAATACGTCCGTTTATGCAGTTTATCATTTCTGCTTTTATGTATTTTCCTAAGTGTTTTAATAAATTTGGCAATTATCTACAATATATATCATATTTAATTTATTAATTGTATTTCAAATTTATTTTATTTGCATTATAGCCGTCAAACTATAAATATACCAAACAGAAGAGATAGTTTTCAAAAGTACAATGATTTATATCGTACTTGCTTTGCCACAATTTTTAGCTTAAATTTTAGTTGTTCTTGAAATACGAAATTGGGTTTGGTATTATTGTGTCGTGAAAGTCGGCAATATTAACTGAACATTATTATAGAGTTTCTTTGATTATTTTAAAAAAAAACCTTTCAAACGCGACTAACATACCATTTTGTGCATCGTTATCGTTTCCGGAAGTTAAAGAATGTCAAGACTGTCATTGTGACCGTAGCAGCAATTTTGCCTCGAATTTGTTTTGGGGCTCCTTTCGTAAATCAACTTGCGTTGTACAAAAAATAATAAGATCTTCTAATTCTATACCTACAACAGTTCTTCTATTATGTAGGCTGTGTGATTTGTGGCCGATGATTTCACTCCAATGCCACCACATTCCCATTTAACCCTAATAATTTAATAGAATCGTTGATATCATTAAATTTAATGTAGCAAATTTGCATTTAGACACTAATTGTGTTAGTGTATTATTCATACTAAAGTTTTAATATTATTTTAATTTTAAATAAATTTTGTATTTTTTTCACAAAAATTCAATCACGTGATCACAAATCAGCTGTTTATTCATACTTTCTAGTTTTTACGGGCTGAAATTTTCCCAGCACGTTGCGGTAACTTACAGTTATAAATATTTGATAATAAGCTCTGTTTTGGAAACTGTTTAGTTGTTTTTTATATTATATTTTGTGTAATTTCTTTAAATAACTTTTCTTTACTTTTTCCTCATTGATACAAATGTTGCTCATACGACATGTCGTACCTTATATTGGATAGTGGATATTTTGGCTGGTAACAGAGGTCAAAGACGCAAAAAATGGCACCACAAATACATTCATGGATTTATAAAGATCGAAAGGTCTAGGTCTTATAGAGTACTTGTATGTGAGACATGTTAAAACATGTTTATTGTTGGAGATTTAACGATTCATTGTTCAGTTGATTTCGTTATTTATTTAAATTTAAGGTATTTTAGTTATCTGTACTCATTGATTGGAAAGCGCAGGTTATAAGTTTACATTTTTTCACTCCTACAGCTTCTGTTCAATTTTATCTGGGAACAAACTTCGAAGTACACCCTATCTATGGTAATGGGTTATGGGAGTGATACGTTGAAAGCAATGAATCTTCTTCTTTTTCCTACCCTCTTACGTGTATGGTTAAATTTTTTTCCTCCAACTATCAACTAGCTTAAAAGTATACTCTATCTAATACGAAATTATCGAAATCGGATTACGCAATAACGGGGATGTCAATGACAGAGCAAGATTTTAATAATTTCTGTGAATTTTTTCTTCTTGGGTCGAACATCGTCGGAACCAAGTTCTGTCATGATCACCTCGATCTTGGTTTTTCCCAAAAATGAGTCACCGTAAACCAATGACTCTCATTCATTACAACCGCAACTTATTTTCCGTGCTTTGTTATGAACTTTATAATGGTATGATTTTTTCACTACCAGTTATGTTGCTTGGTTGAGAATAGCTCAAAGTCGATTTGTCTAATAACTACGAAAGCTCGTATTTATCTTAACTATGAGTAACGGCCGCGGTAGCCGAGTGGTTAGCATTTCGTACTGTCATTCGGATGGCTCGTGTTCAAATCCCCATACGACCAGCATCCAAAAGTTATAGAAAATTAATTTAAATAAAAAAATTGAATTAAATTTTTTAAACGCGGTCGCCCCTCGGCAGTGAATGTTAACCCCTCCGAGTGTATTTCTGACATGAAAATAAAAAGCCTCCTCATATAAAACCATCAGTCATTCGGAGGCGGCTTAGTATAAACTGTAGGTTCCTCCACTTGTTGGAAAAACATCTAGAAGCAAAACCACAGCGTTTACAAAATGCCAATTACATTATATATATGAGTAGCATAACAAGTTACGGTCCAAACGAGCCCTTACAACTGTCTCATTTCGTAAACAAAAATATTCGCATATGTAAAATACAAAGTTTGGAGGCAATATGTCAAGGACCACAGAAAATATTACCTAAATTTTTTTAATGGAAAGAAATATTTACAAATTGCTATATTTTAAGATGTCATAACAGAAGAAATCTTCAAAATACTTAAATTCATACTTTAATAAAAAAAATCTTTCCTTTTAGGAGGCGCTGCAGCATTTGCCTCCGCTGCCATGTTGGGTCCACGATTAGGTCGCTACTCAGACGGTTATGATCCTCTGCCACTGGGAAATCCTGTGAATGCTTGTATGGGTCTTTTCGTACTCTGGTGGGGATGGTTGGCCTTCAATTCGGGCAGTACTTACGGTGTCAGCGGTGCTAAATGGCAATATGCTGCACGCGCGGCTGTTATGACTATGATGGGATCTTTTGGTGGTGGCATTATAAGTTGCGCGTAAATACTTTTTTTCTATATTATGTTATTTATTTGTTTACCTTCTAAGGCATATCATGATGCATATAACCCATTGTGTTTTTTTTAGATATTCGCTTTGGCGTCATGATGGACGTATGGACATTATTGATCTAATTAATGGCGTACTCGGTTCATTGGTGTCAATAACAGCTGGCTGTTTTCTCTATCGTGCATGGGAAGCCCTAATCATTGGTATGTTGGGTGCACTGCTTTGTGTTGTAGCAATGCCATTGTTCGATCGGCTGGGCGTAGACGATCCGGTGGGTGCTAGTTCGGTTCATGGTGTTTGCGGCATTTGGGGTGTTATTGCTGTTGGTCTCTTTGCTGATAACCCAGTACCATTGGAGACGACAAAAGGACGCTCAGGACTTTTTAAAGGTGGCGGTTGGTATTTGCTTGGAATTCAAACTTTATCGGCATTATGTCTTGCTTGTTGGGGTATTTGTTCAACATTCCTGCTACTATATATTGTCAATAAATTCATACCGTTACGTATGGATCCAAATGAAGAATTACTTGGTGCGGATTTAATGGAACATCGTATACGTCATTCACAAATCGGTTTATCACGTGCCATATCGGCATTAGCACCAATTAAAGTGGATCTCAACGAAGTCGCTGGAATCCAGCCTATCGGCTTAAATCCTGGACATGAAAAGAGTATTGAACAGTTACGCGCTGCTGAGGATAAATTACTACAATGGCAGCAATATCTTGAGCAAATGGGACCAGATTTACCCAAACATGTACAAGAACAATTTGCTGCTGAAGAACACAATATATTGAAGAAAATTCATAATTCCCCCGACCTCAAGGCACAAACTGTGGGCAATGTTTTTAGTCGCAAACTAAGATCTGTGCATATAAAAGGAGATCCGGATCGTAATGTACACACAGATATCACGCATGGTTTCTATAAGCCGAACAATAAGGAATTGCCAGTGATTTCCTCAAAGCAACTTGGGAAGGATACCAATTTTGCTTAGATCGATTGAACAGTCGAAAAGTGTCAAGATATTTTTAGTAATATACAATTTAAATCAAATACATACCGAAAAAAGTTTACAAAATTGTGTATATTTAGCGAAACCTGTAAATGTCCTTTTATTCAGTAAAAATAGAGAGTTTCTCACACAAAACATTAAAGTTTCCGCTGCTTTTATACATTCATTCTCGGCTATCGCGGCCGCGTTTTGGAACATTCTTATAAGGGTCATTTTTCAAGAGCTATAGGAAAGTTTTTCAAAAAAAAAAAAAAAAAAAAAAAAAAAAAAAAAAAAAAAAAACATGAAATCTTTATGTGAATCGATAGGTCCATGCAATTTAATGTTTGAAGATTATTTTATGCAAATGTTGACCGTGACTGCGCCTCAAATGGTCCATCCGCTTAGTCCAATTTTTTAATATTTCGGATGGGAACTCACGAATAAATGCTTCAACGTTGTCCTCCAATGCGTCAATTGAAGCGGGCTTGTCTGTATAGACATAAGATTTAACACAGCCCCACAAAAAATAGTCTAAAAGCGTTAAATCGCTCGATCTATGCGACCAGTTGACCGGCCCCGAAGGTGAAATAAAATGTACACCGAACTCGCCTCTCAATAAGTCCATTGTCTTATTGAAACCACATTTCATGCAAATCAAGCTCTTGCATTTCGGACAAAACAAAATTTTCATATCATCTTACGGTAGCGCTCACCCACTCACAGTTACGTTACGATACGCTCTTTAATACATACAGCCTTGGCCAATAATATTAGGCACCCCACTAAAATACAAGTATTTGCAAATGTGGCTATCAAAGTTACCACTTCTTTTTGTAAATGTCTTACATGGGTGTTTAACTGTTGATTAAACGAATAAATTGTGTAATAAATATTAAAAGTCATAGCACTATGGGTAAGCTAAACCTAAAAATTGTCATTTTTAAGAAATTCATAAAATTTTTTCGCATTTAAAAATTGAAAGTGAAAGTGTAAAAAAAGAAGAAGACGTCTGGAAGACGGTTTAAAAGGATGTAAAGCCCGAAAGAAACCGTGGTTCTCAGAAAAAATAGCAAAAATCGTTTGGAATGGGCTCGCCGATACAAATATTTCGCGAAAGAAGATAGGTCTAATGTTATGTGGTCTGATGAATCAAACTTCGGGGTAAGCTTAGTTGAGATCGTCTTAAAGTATTAACAGCCATAGTTTCTTACCCTAGAGCAATTTTGAAGACATAATACAAATCTTATGAAAATATTATTTTTTCTTTCCTACAGATATTTGCACCCCTAATGTGACGTTCGTGAAACGATGGATTGGGAAAGAATACCATCCAGATTGTGTGGTACCCACTGTTAAGCATGGAGGAGGCAGCATTATGATCTTGGGCTGCATGGTTGCTGATGGTGTCGGCGAAATGTTCGTTTGCTAGGGTCGCATGGACAGTTAAGAGTTCATAAATTTATTAGAAACTGTTCTTCTGCCTTCGTTAACGCGCATTTTCGGCGATACGAATTTAGGTTCAATTTCAGAAAGACAATGCTCCTTGTCACAAATCAGCGACTACGGTACGTTGGTTTAGAGATAACAACATTGTTTTGTTAGATTAGCCTGCACAGTTTCCAGATCTTAATCCCATTGAGCACATGTGGGCTATTTCAAAACGCAAGACTAAGGAACACAGTATAACATTAAAAACTGCCTTAATTAACGATTGGTACGCTATAAGTGCGGACGAATGTGCAAAACTGGTACGCAGCATGCCTAAAAGAATTGCTGACGATATTAAATCGTTTTGGACCTACTAAATATTAATGTCATTATCACTAATAAAAGTTCATTACATCACTTATTAAAACAAAAATCCAGTAATTAGTGGGGGGCCTAATACTTTCGGCCAAGGCTGTAGTTATCAAAGATCGAAACTGACCGGTCCTTCCTTCAATGTTTCACAAAATACAGTAACTGCTACAAAAAGGAGGTTTCGTCGCTTTGGATACACTTTTAATTGATCTGAATATTTTTGCTTTATTGTTTCTTTTTTTAATTTTTCTATAATAGTTTATAATAAAAAAATAATATTTATTGTTTTTACTCAACTCAACTCAAGTGTATCAATAACCATGATACAATAGTCCTGTTCGGTGACCGGTGGACAGGTACAATTGTTACTCCTGCGGACTAGGCGCTCAAGAATTTGCCCGTGGTAAGGCATGGCTGTCGTAATACGTGACTAAAATCCAATAGTAACCGCGACAGTAGGGTCTTTATACCGGAACGACCAGAATTTCCGTCCGTAATATTCTCCGAAAACCTGTTTGGGGAACAACAACTTTTTAATAATTTTATTGTAACTTCTAACATATTATACATACATATACATATGTATTTGTTCCACATATTAATTAGAACTATCGAATTGATCCCAGACCAGGATGAAAAATATACCCAATGGTAATTCGTGCTCAAAACTTCGATTGTACGAAATTTTATGTAAATCAAACGAAAAATCCAAATTTTCGGAATAGATTGGTCCCAGGTCTACTTCTCCGAAGAAAAAGTGTTCCCATGTCATTTTTTGACAAAGTCTTACCTGCGTTTGGTACACATCATGTAATTCAAACGGTTTATAAATAAATTTGAATTTATCGGATAGATGTGTCCAGGTTCACTTCCCAGAAAATAGTTTCTTATCGGGTACATACGTCATATGCAGAATACACCCTTCAAGTTTTTATGACCAACGGTAGGCTATGGATTGATCCGTCAGCCATTTATAACAAAACCTATTGTATATAAATATAAATAGATGAGGAGCTGGTTGGTTGGTTGCTAGATCTACACGTCTGGTTTCTTATGTATGAATAAAGTTTCTCAAAGCCCCCTTTTTGATATTTGTAAGTCGTTCGGACACTGATTTCAATCAGATATCTCATGGATCGAGTCCGTATAAGTAGGACTTTAACCTCCTACAATGCCCATCCATAAGTTGCCATCCATAAGTTGCCATCCATAAGTTGTGGCATCATTTACATATATGAACGTCTCACGATCTATCAATATCGCCTTCAGAATGGTAGCTCTCACCGCTAACCACTCGCCTATTGCGGCCGCAGAGAAAAATTTTGAACCATATCCACCTCTTTATTTACCTCCCTTATTGGCGCGTAATATGCACTTGTCCATCTGCCAAAATAAAACTCTAAATCCGCAAAGAAAACTATCCAAATATTCGAGATTATTTACTTCTTCTAAATGCCTATACATATCCAGCAATATACATTATCATAAGTATATTTGCTGTCCCTCTTACTAGGAAACCATAATACAAAAGATTTAAAAATTGATTGAAACATTCGCTTTATTTGAACTGTTGCACATATATTTTCTTTCGTGTGCTTCAAATACTATTTCTTTTATCTCGTTTTTAATATATTATGTTTCTAGCAATAGGTGACATTTTGCTAAAAAAAAAAATTTATTGATTTAGTCGACCTCTTCGATGGTTGGGCCAGCACCGGCGCCAGCACCACCCGCACCAGGGGCACCACCAGCTCCTGGGAAGCCACCAGGCATGCCACCGGGCATACCACCTGGAGCACCACCAGCACCTTGATACAATTTAGTGATGATTGGATTGCATACAGATTCCAATTCCTTTTGACGGTGCTCATATTCCTCTTTCTCAGCCAACTGGTTAGCATCCAACCATTTGATGGTTTCATTGCACTTGTCCAAAATGGTGGTGCGGTCTGACTCAGAGATCTTGGTCTTCATATTCTCCTCATCCAAAGTGGCCTTCATGTTAAAGCAGTATGATTCCAACGAATTCTTGGCAGCAATGGTCTCCTTTTGCTTCTCATCTTCCGAACGGTATTTCTCGGCTTCGTTGACCATACGTTCGATGTCTTCCTTCGATAGACGACCCTTGTCGTTAGTGATGGTAATCTTGTTTTCCTTGTTGGTGGAACGTTCCAAAGCGGTTACGTTCAAGATACCGTTGGCATCAATGTCGAAGGTTACTTCAATTTGAGGTACACCACGTGGTGCTGGTGGAATACCAGACAACTCGAATTTTCCAAGCAGATTGTTGTCCTTGGTCATTGCACGTTCACCTTCATATACTTGAATCAATACACCAGGTTGATTATCTGAGTAGGTAGTGAATGTCTGAGTCTGCTTGGTTGGAATGGTTGTGTTACGCTTGATCAAGACACTCATCACGCCGCCAGCGGTTTCAATACCCAATGACAGGGGAGTAACATCGAGAAGCAACAAGTCTTGTACTTCCTGCGACTTATCACCATGCAAGATAGCAGCTTGGACGGCAGCACCGTAAGCTACAGCTTCATCGGGATTGATTGATTTGTTCAGCTCTTTGCCGTTGAACAAATCCTGCAACAAGCGTTGTACCTTAGGGATACGGGTTGAACCACCAACCAACACAATATCGTGAATAGCAGATTTGTCCAATTTAGCATCACGAATTGCCTTCTCCACAGGGTCCATGGTGCTACGGAACAAGTCAGCGTTCAACTCCTCGAAACGGGCACGTGTGATTGAGGTGTAGAAATCGACACCTTCGAACAATGAGTCAATTTCAATGCTGGCCTGAGTGGATGAAGATAGCGTACGCTTCGCACGTTCACAAGCTGTGCGCAAACGACGTAGGGCACGCTTGTTGGTGGTGAGGTCCTTCTTGTGCTTGCGCTTGAATTCCTGAACGAAGTGGGTGACTAGACGATTGTCGAAATCTTCACCACCCAAGTGAGTGTCACCAGCGGTTGACTTGACCTCAAAGATACCATCATCGATTGATAGAATGGACACATCAAAAGTACCACCACCCAAATCGAAGATCAATACATTGCGTTCACCAACAGCTTTCTTGTCCAAACCGTACGCAATAGCAGCAGCGGTAGGCTCGTTAATAATACGCAATACATTTAAACCAGCAATGGTACCGGCATCCTTGGTAGCTTGACGTTGAGAATCGTTGAAGTATGCGGGTACAGTGATGACGGCGTTGGTAACAGTCTTGCCCAAGTAGGCTTCAGCGGTTTCCTTCATCTTAGTCAACACCATAGATGAGATCTCCTCTGGGAAGAAAGTTTTCTTTTCATCTTTGTAGGAGACACTGATCTTTGGTTTGCCATCAGCACTAACCACTTCGAATGGCCAATGCTTCATATCAGATTGTACATTAGCATCATCGAATTTACGGCCAATCAAACGCTTGGCATCGAAAATGGTGTTTGTAGGGTTCATGGCAACCTGATTCTTGGCAGCATCGCCGATCAGACGCTCTGTCTCGGTGAAGGCAACATATGATGGGGTAGTGCGATTACCCTGGTCATTGGCAATGATCTCAACTTTGCCGTGCTGGAATACACCCACACAGGAGTAGGTAGTACCCAAATCAATACCAACAGCTGGAGCTTTAGACATCTGAAATTAGAGAGAATAAATAATTTTTTTATAGATGTGTCTACATTCATATTACTTGTATTTTATTGTATGGTGCAAGAGGAAGAGAGAAAAATGATAAAATTCCTATTCGTTATAAGATTTTCGAAAACCAAATAGGAACTGAAATTTTGTAAAATAATCGAAGAAAAAAATTAAATTTATAATACAAAAGAAAACTCAACAACACATAAAGAACTGTTATAAATTGTATAAATAACTAACTTACGAGTATATCACTATACATTCTTTCGACCAATAACTAATATGGTAAAACATGAAGTAAGATATTTCAGACACTCGTCACTTTTCGTAAGAATAAATGAGTCATGACTTGGGTTAATACCATATATTGATTAAAAACAAAACCAGTTTAAAATATAAAACGTGCTGTAAAGTGCAGGTAAAGTCATAAACCAAAAACTGATATACTTTAGCAGGGTAATCATCTTTAAAAGTAATGTGCGAGTGGTTTATTATAAACATAAATTCACCTAATTAGAAAGTTTAAAAAAAAACCAATGCTGAAATTCTAAATTTCACAAATCTATTGTTTTCTAGAAATCATAAAGATAAGATCATTTCACATCTATATAGCCTATTGAAATGGAAGAAAACCACGCGACGTTGGACTTTCAATACACAGTGCAATTCCTGATCTGTATGTAGGCTATACCCGAGTTGGAATCTTCTAGGTAACACGCGTTCACGCCATAAACTTGCGTTATTCGCATACACACATGTGTAAGCATTAAGTTTGAAACGGTGCTAAAAATAAACAATATGCTAACAAAGGAAAAATATGGAGAATATATATACATATGTATATCACACCACTGCACGAGGCAACACCGAAGCTCATTTTCTCACATATTCCTAATTAAGAAACTATTTTATTAAAGAATTAAAGCGTACATTGCGAAATAGCTATCAAAACCCCACTTTCTAAATGAACTGATCGGGGAAACGTTCATGTACATAAATGCGTAAAAATCAAAGTGAATAAGTTTTAGTTCGCGAATAACATGTAATGGAAATCAAACAAAAACTAAAGAGAGAATCAAAGCTCCAGAACCCATTTATATGTTAAAGAAATGATCTAACATGCTGTGAATAGTACTGATTATTTTGTCCATCATTCCAACAGCGAAACGAAGCGCAGCTGCTCATATTGCCATTTCAGTGAATTTTTAATATAAATTCTAGATATAATCACTTGTAATGTACTGAGAAAATAATGATGAGTCATAATTTAACTGAAGCCAAAATGAAGACGTCTTACATACATACATATATAACTAGCACGTTTCACTATGCAAACCCACCCCTGCGATATAGAAGCGACGGAAATTTCCAGTAAAATTGGGTTACACACAATGAATGTGTGCGATAAAATGGTGGAATTCTCGTAATCGAAAAAAGTTTATCCGCATAAGATAACCATTAAATGTCGGAATTCTGTATAATTTTAAATAAAAATCAATACATGTACAATTTTACCTGCTGTAACAGTATTTCCTTTTATTGATTGCAATATAAATCTTTTTCCCAAATTGCCAATTCCAAAGTGCACTTCAAGTATATATTGACTAGAGAAAAGTTTTACAATTATCCCTAGCTAAATGTACTGAAAATTATTCATTTTATTCAAAGAAAATTTCTGGTTGGAAATATTTGACGTCAATTCAAGCCCACGAAATTAAATTCCAATAACCACGTGCATCCTTTACTACGTTTAAAATCTTTTAACATATATAACTATGAGCATTATTTAGTTTTTAGAAGTATTTCTACTATATATTTTTACATTTTTGTTTTCAATTCGTAGCTTACCTTTGTTTAATATTTTAAAAAAAAATGCACTTAATCGCAATTTGTTACTTCACTTTTTCAACTTTTTCTCGTGCTTTACTACGCGTCCGATCTGACACACACTTTTTCAAGGAATGAAGGCAGCGCGCCGCTTCCAACGCTTTTATAAATTATCGATGACAAATATTCTAGCACGTTCTGCCCAATGTTGTATTTTTTTACTGGAAAGGGTAAAATATTGTACAAAGTTTCTCAACTCCGGATTACTTTTTCAATGAATTCTTAAATGTTCGATAACAGTAAATTGATAGTATCCGTTCGTTTTACTTTCTATAATATAATAGGCACGAATATAATATACAAGGCCGACGGAAAAGTAAATAAAAGAAAAAACTCTATCAGTTTGCTCCTATAAATATGCAACATGAAGGCAAAGATATGAAAATTTAGGGTCAAACCTTTGTAAAAAAGATAACAACACTGATCGGAAATCCAACATTTTTGGAAAATCAACCAATGTCGCATTATTATTGGAAAACCAGCTACAAGATTGTTGTGTATTCTGGAAAAAACGGGTTACCAACTTGCATTTTGGACGCTGACAACAGAGTTGCTATAATTACTACACGTTTTGACTCACAAATTAATAGTTGCTACCGAATTCCATATAAAGTGGATTTCCAACCATTCCAAATTTTTTTGTAATGTTCACATCAACAGCGTTCATCTTTTTAATTTCTTTCATTATGGTGGTCCACTTTATCATATCCTTCATCTAAACAATTTCAAAATGAAAATGTCGCAGTACGATAAGATATAAAGAGCTGGCGCGTTGTAAACGAGCTACTCCTCCAATGTGTAGTTTTACGTCTTAATGCTTTTCCAACAAATAGAGGCACCTACAATTTATTTTAAGCTGCCTCCGAGCGGCTGATGGTTTTTTGTGAGGAACGTTTATTTCATGTCAGACGAGGGGCAATTAGACAACAATAAGAAATTTTAACTTAATTTTTTAATTAAATTAATTTTCTATAACTTTTGGATGTTGGTCCTGCCAGAATTTTAACACCTTCGGGCCTTCCGAATGGCGGTACGCAACGCCAAACACTTCGCTACCGCGGTCGCACTACGATAACGCCTGCCATTAAAACATAGTAAAAGAGAATCGGGAAATATATATTACTACTTTTTATTAAATTCAATTATGTTTTTAATTTAGTATGTTTATGTTTGATATCTATATTTCCTTTAACAAAATAACAAACAGTTTGCTCCTTGCAGTCATTTTTATATTTTCTTCCCTCTTTAATAATTTAATTGAAAATGAAAGTTTATGCCAAAGCAAAGAACATATGTACGCGCGGCTCCCGTATATATAACACGTTCTCGCCAAAATGAAAACTTTGATTTATCTATAGAGCTGGTGGGTTGCCCGCCGCTCTCATATACCTAATGCTTTTTCACATGAATCTTTTGAAAGTTTTGTCGAATAGTTCTGGAATAAATCAGCTGTGCCACCAACTTTAGCATACCAGAATTCGCCTTGATACGTCCCTAATTTCTCCAAGCAGAAACAGCTGAAGCAAAGCGAATTCACACATTAATAGCAATAATTTCTGTAGCAAAATTAATTTTTCATAATTTCAAATAAATGTCTCAAATAATTATTGATCAATTGACACACGCGCAAAAGGTGCGTATTTTATATAAAACCATTTTACGTTTACACAGAGGTAAAGTTTGTAATCGTTACGAAATGCATTTCATCAAACTCTTTACCTTCAACAGGACTGCCAGAGGAACTGCGAGACCTAGGTGACAAATACGCTCGCGATGAATTCCGGCGACATCTTCAATGTTCACCAATGGAGGCGCAACTCTTTATGACGGAATGGGCTGTAAGAAATGTCAGATTTCTTGATAAATATATATATGTTCCATTCCTTTTACAGAAATACGCCGTGACCATTACCTCACAATTGGGACTTAAAGGTAAATCAATGGGTACAATTGGTGGTGAATTGGACTCCAACACAGTGGAAATGTTAAAAGAAGATCAAGTTATTCAATTGTATGAATTAATGTTAGCTGCGAAGGGTCTTGAAGGTGATACGATTACAGCCAAAGACATACATAACAGCAAATAAACGATTGGCTTTTATATCTTTCGAATGATGTATTTAAAGCGTTTATCTTCGTTTTTCCAATATTTTATATTCATATTTTACCTCTCCCTCTTCCTGGACGCCCACGGGAGTTTCTGGATCGGGTTCTACTTCTTGAAAATCATTTGGTATCTTCGGAAAGAAAGTGTCACAGTCGAAATGTTTAAGAATATTGGTTAAATATATGCGATTACAACGTGGTGATGCCATAGCCTCTTTATACACTCCACTGCCACCAACTATCCAAACGGTTTCTATTTTCTTTCTTATATCTAATTTCTCTAAATCTTGCATTGCTGATTCCAGACTGTGATAAAGAAGCACATTTTCATCAAAATCTGTGCGTTTGAGAGTGTTACTCAAAACTACATTAAGACGATCAGGTAGCGGTCGTTTATTCTTAGGAATGCAGAAATAAGTTTTTCGTCCCATTATGACTACATTTTGCTTTTTAGGATCATTCCGCCTTCTTGTGGTAGCTGAGAAATACTTAAGTTCTGACCTGTTGAATATAGAAATAAATGGTAAAAAATACTCTTGTTAGGGTATAAGTCATAGTTTACCTAAGACGCCATGGCAATTCTCCTTTCAATCCAATTCCAAAATTCTCACAAGCAGCAACAATTAAATTAAATGTAAGCATTTTGAATGGGAAGTTATATGAGGCTCTTCTAACAATAAATGCATTTAATTGTTAGCGCTTAGATCAGAGAATATAGATATTTATCGATCGACAATTACAGCGATATTTCGGTTTATTTGATAGATATATGTCCGTCATAGAAGCATTGAATATGTTGTTGTTGTATTCACTAAAATATTCACCAAAGTACACTTTTTGGGGAATGTTGCGATAGTGACAGTCCTTTGTCGAATAAAAGTCCGGGTCGTTCCAGTAAAAAAAGCCGACTGTCGAGGGAACTTTTGAATTTCAGTAGTTGTTACAACACGCATGTTGTACCACACAAAAAATCTTGAAATCCCAAGTCCTTCGAATAATAAACTCCAAAATTGTTGTAAAATTTCTTAATTGTAAACTTTTTCAACGCTTATTTTTTACTCAATAATCACAATTTGCTGTGTTATACACTAAAATTTTGTCACCAACTAGTTCACATTGTGACTGAATCCTGCTGTGTTGGCCGCTCTCTTATACGCCTTATCAGCTGCTCGTACTCAGGTCTTCAAATTTCTTGGATGTTCTTTTCATCTGTAATTCTTATGCCCACTTAAGCCTTTCTAAGTTCAGATTTATGCCACTCGAGGTGGAGGATTGCGCTATTGGCAGTTTCTAGGTCTCCCAATAGTCTGCGTTCTATACACTAACTCGTTTAGACGTTTAGAGATTACCTTATATGGATCTTCCAAATTGCATTGATGTTTCAGCGACAAACTATTCTTCGAAACGAAATGTGGGATTATGTACCAAGCGAGAGCTCTATGCGAAGGACCTACAGCTTATACTAAGCCGCCTCCAAACGGCTGTCATAAATACTTTCTAAAAGTACCTTTTAAGGAATGTTGTGGGAGTGACAGTCTTTGGCCGGATAAAAATGCGGGTCCTTCCGGTAAAAAGACGCGACTTTCACGGGAATTATTGGATTTTAGTCTTCTCTTACGACAGTCACGCCTTACCGCGGGTAAATTTTTGAACCCCTAACCCGCAGGGGGTTAGTAAGAACGAGCGGCTGTAGTTAGTAGTGCAAAAATGAAATGAGCCGGACCATAAGCCGCAGCAAATGTTGTTACATGTTGAGGATGGAGAGGCTTTTCAACAACGAATCTTGGGTTTTCCGAGCGCCAGATGCAACAGTTTTGTTTATTGACGTAGCCATCGAGCTGGAAGTGGGCCTCATCAGTCAAAATGATTTTTCGATTAAATTCTTGTAATGAAATTTAAAAGCTTCTTTACGTTGTTGAAGCAGATAACGTATGTTAAGGGACCGAGGAGTGCCGATTCCCATTTGTTCCACCCACGGGATTGCTAAGAGACTATTTCACCTCTATACGATATTAGTAGGAGACTATTTCACCGCTAGTTAGCAATGAACTAGAAGACACTGGCAAATTATTTACAGAAGAATAATATTTGAGAGACAATTATTTTATTCATATATTATTATCTTGCTCAGAAATGTTGACAAACACAGTCTATTTCGGGCGGCAGCAATCGGTCTTTCTTGTTATTTGACGTTCTGTGGTGGAAATATATGTTGTTGAATTTTTATTACTGGAATAGTTTATAATCATCAAATATCAAATTGACATTTCCCCAGCACTAGCAAAAAATGTTTTGCTGGCTTTTTGCCTCACCAAACGCTGTTCAGTAAAACTTGTTAACAATTGTTAATGTCAATCTCGTCACCGAACAGGACTAATGTTACACTTGCTGTTGACCGTAAATAAATTTAAAAATAATTTCTAATGCAAAACTACAATAGAAGTCGAAACCGTTTCGTCAGCCTTCAAGAAATTCTTAATTAATTTTGAAAATTGTATTTATTTAAAGCCAGAAGAAACGAATTTGTCGATAGTTATTTCTGTAAAATTTTAAATTCATATTGTACGCCATGTTCTTCCTGTATACCACTTGGCGTCTCCGGATCCGGATCTATCTCTTTGAAACAGTTCGGTATTGGGGGGAAAAATACATCACACTTAAATTCTTGCTTAATTTGCGTTATATAAAGACGGTGACAGCGTTGTGATGCCATAGCTTCCTTGTAAACGCCACTTCCTCCTACAATCCACACGGTTTCAATTTGTTTACGAATATTATACTCTTCTAAATGCTTCATCGCTATCTCTAAATTTGGAAACAATAATACTTTTTTGGGCAAATCCATTGGCAACAAGGTTGAGCTTAAAACAACATTTATCCGTTCTTCAAGTGGTCGCTCGTGCACTGGTATACTGAAGTATGTAAGCCGGCCCATTATAACAACATTTTGCTTTGTAGTATCACGTCGACGCTTTGTTGTAAGTGTAAAATATTCGTACTCTGACCTTGATAACATTAAAAAATAAATGTTAAACCAGTTAGTAACTACCGGCAAATGTAAAAAATAAGAGAAATCGTAACCGACTTTAAACACCATGGCAAATCGCCATTTAAACCAATTCCTGAATTCTTGCACACAGCCGCTATCAAATTAAATTTTAACATTTTAAGTTTAGTTGCTATCTACACTAGGGTTGAATATTTAAGTAAGAAAAACTAATCGCTAGTCACAACCGTTCACTTTGAGTTCGATTTGATGAATAAGCTGAGTTGAAATAAATCGCGTTTCGATCATTTCATTTAGTATTAGCTGGAATAAACGAGGTACGAGTATGTACGCACAAAGTGATAAGCACAGCCAATTAAAATTAACGATCCGAAAGAAAACTAAAGCGAATGGCTTGCCCATTTCTGTTTTCGCAAACCTTTCTAAACAATTCACTTACCATTATGTTCACATATGTACATACATACGTGTATGTATGTTTGCAATGATTTAAATAGGTTTGAAAAATGCCAGTAGAAATATTTGTTAATTGCGACTTTTTTTTTATAGCGTAACTTATCTTCAACAAATATCTTGGAGCTTCGGAGTTAACTCCAATAATTAGGCGTGTGGTTTCCACTTTTAACGGAGTTGCTCTATTTGAAGGTTTTCACTGCCCCGGGCGGGTTAGGGGCTCAAGAATTTACCCGCGATAAGGCTTGCCTGTCGTAAGAGGAAACTAAAATCCAATAGTTCCCGCGACAGTCGCGTCTTTTTACCGGAAGGACCCGCATTTTTATCCGGCCAAAGACTGTCACTCCCACAACATTCCCAAAAAAGTACTTTGGGGAATAATTTTGAGGTTACAACAACAACAACAATGTTTTTACTTGATTTATACTCAATTTAGTTTGCCATTTTAAAAGAACAGACATACTCCGGAAGTACGTTTGCAAATCGTGCAAATTAATTACCACAGTAATAGTTGGTCCAATATTCGATCAAGCTCCCTTTTGGTTCAATTTGTACGTGAGTAAACCAGATTGTGACGTTTGGCGTGATGAGATGATTGAGACCTCGGTATGTGCATTGGTCCATATTTCTTCACAAATTATTTGGGCCATAAAGTTATAGTCAAGTAGGAAATTTATAGAGCCATTATTAACGACTTTTCGTACCAGAATTGTAAGAGGTTGATGTGATTCCAACAAGACGACGCCATACATCCAACGAAAAATACAATTTATTGAAGTAAACATATTGTGATCGCATCATTTCACGTCGTGGGTCTGTGACTTGACATCTAAGATCGTGCGTTTTAACACCGCTGGACTATTTTTTGTGTGCTAATGTAAAGTGATTAGTCTACGTATGTAGATAAGTCCGAAAGGAAAGATGCCTTGGAAGAGAATACTCGGCGCGTTATAGCTGAGGTACGGCCACAATTGGTGCAAAAAGTAATTGAAAATTAGGACTCTCGACTGGAATTTATTCCAGCCAGCTGCGGTAGTCCTTTAACCGAAATCTTTTTGACATTCATAGCTAAATTTTTGGTAATAACATTATATAATATGCGTTTTATTTCTTCTTGAAAACCACATGTCTAAAATAAACACTCTTGTGGCCTTGTGAAATACCGCTAATTTGTTTTGGATTCGCGGAAAGAGGCAGATAGTGGAACAAGTGCAAAGTATAGCCCGCTAAGGTAGAAGAAAATAAAGAAATTGACGCCCATTCCGTTCCGCTCTTATTTTACTGATTTTAATAAATCCATTTTTTTTTGTGGGGAAACCTATATTTAAAACAAAAAACTGGCTTTCCTTAAAAATAAATTTAATAAAAATTTTACCCGCAAACAAAACTACCAAGAATAAGAGGAGTAATAATTATATTAAATAATGTTATTTGCGTAAAGTGGCAGCCACTTACACTTTTTAATAACTGTAAAGGCGAAAATAACGGTTGTTTCTTTACAATTGTTAAATATATTGTCGAGACTTACGTTAGAAAAAATTGAATAAATTTTTTCGGTGTAAAATGGAAGAAAAACACAATTTGAGAAAAATTTACAAGATTTTCAACTTCGTTGAGACAACAAAGTTAACAGGAAAAGTAATAAAACCGTTAATTCTTTGAAATTTAAAGCACTTCATGCAATGCGAAAATTTCATTACTTCCAGGGAAATTTTTTCGAGTTATCGAAATTAAATTAATTTTACAAATAATAGTGATATCCTTTATGTGGTCAAAGAATATGAGTGGGTATTCGAGAGAGTAGATTAAAATAATGGATTTTGCCATTTAAATTAATACCATCCATAATACACCCTTGGCACCCACAAGATCGAAATGAGATACCTAATCGAAGACTACGACTACGACATCTGATACGATAGCAATTGCACGACTAAAGAATGACAGGAGTAGAAGCCAATTGGAGCCAATAGGAGTGGGGTTTAAGCAGATCTAAACTCTGAAGCACAAGGGCGTACAGTTGCTGCGTATGGGTACATCCCCCGCAATAATCATTGACATACGTCAAGAATACAAGTCAATAGATATTTATTATTTAAATATTTAAAAAATTGAAATTGAAATAAAAAATTCACGCCAACTTTCGGAAATAGTTTTCGTTCGACATCCAAAATTTAAAGTTACGCCCTTGCGCGGGCAACTAAACCTTCGCTGCAAACCTTACTATACGAGTATACCGAGAATGTGCTCTAAACGATGCAAACATTCACTGAAAGACCGAGTTCCTACATGTGGCTTAGAGCGCAAGCCATATGAATCTCATATAGCAGTTGGTACTTGTATGCTTCAGAAAGAAGATAGCGTCGACTGTGATAAATGCAGGCCGTTAAATGGTACCATTGAACACATCTGCATGTGTAAACCTGAGCAGTCGGGATCGAAGCTATCAAGTCAACATGAAGCGACGACTATAGCGGACTCACAGCAGCCGCTTTTACCACAACAACAAAACAGTACAGAATTCCAAGAATCAAACGAAAATACTGGTAAAGAAATTCCTGCTGAGAAGCCCAGTTTAAAGGCTCAACACTCAAACAATGGTTTAAGGAACCGCGATCAAATGCCAACGCACATAAGTTACATGGACGAATGGGAGGCTATGGGTATTATGTTGGCGACAAATGGACGAATTTGGGGTCTGGAAGATAGAGGATTTGCTAGACAATACAAAGCCGCATTAAGCGCCATAAATACTAAATTTGAAGAGGAAGCAGCCAATATGACCGGACATGCGACTTATTAAAACAATCAGATGGTTTTCATTTCCTTTACATAAATGAAAAAATAATTCCTTATGCCTAGCACGCAAACAAATTTTCCGATTGACCTCCACTTCATGCATATTTGTACACATGTATTTAAGATGCGATGATAGGTTTGGTAAGGTTGGTCTTTTAAATTTCAAGAGGTATTGAACTGTTCAGTGGAGCTTAAAAAAAAATTAACGTTTTAATGACCTAAATAAAGAAATATCCTAGCTTTACCAATTTACTTTTCTTATTATTTGACGCAGTTGCCGACCAAGGCATGTCCTAGCCTCCATACACTTCGTGATTGCACATCAAACAAGGTGTGAGGCAAGGACAGTGCATAAGGACCTGTCCATTTTTATTCCTATCAGGTTCATCAGCTCCGTGTATTTTTAAGCCATGATAAAGAAAATTGGCTAAGCGCTCCGACTTACGTAAGGTGTTTTACTGCGGGTTAGTGTGCTCGTAAAACCGCAAAAAGTGCGGTGGACGAGACCAGGAAAAAATAAGATCCCCAAACCGCGTCAAAGCGAAATTTTTCAACACATCTCTTATTTACACTGATGACTCAACGGAAGAGAGGGACGATATGAGCGAGTGGAGCATAATAATATGTCAAAATTGTCAACAAACACAAGTTGCAACCACAACGGAAAGTCAAACGGTTTTCTATTTGACTTCTAAACCTGCGTTTGAAGAGAACTCATCAGCAACTCGATATAGAGGAACTGTCGAAGTGCATATATCTGAAACTCTCTACGTACCGTCGCTACGGAAAAAATTGGTTTCCGGTGGTACCCGAAAAAGAGCTGATATGATGAGTACTGACGAATTGCAGCGGAGAGAAAACAGACTGCCTATCCCGCAACCTGGAGAGGAAAGCAATACGCATTTGTAGTCAACGAAGAAAGAGGCCGAGAAGCGTGAGTGTGAAAAGCTGAAGAGCTGGCCGACAATGTAATACTCGAAAATTCTTTCAGAAGATACGAGGGCTTACAGAAAGTTCCAATACCGGAGCAGACCCTTGTAGAACACATAGAGGTGATCTTTCCAGAGTATATGTTATTTACGTAGGGTACACTTCGCCAGCGTACTGAATGGAAGTAAAAATAGAACAGTCGGAGATGATGAACACGAAATCCAAATGTTCCTGTTCCTGAGGCCTGTTTAATGATCAACTGAGCGGCTGCAGCTGACGGACTACCAGCAGAGCTATTCAACCATAACGGTGAAGAACTGTAAAGTTGCATTCGTCAGCTTCTTTGCCCAATCCACAAAAAATTGCGATCCCACAGTCTGCGCCAATTACCATGGGATATGCCTTCTTAATCCTCTCAAGCGTATTTTGTGAGACTAAAGCTCACCGTCAACAAACTGATTGGACTTTATCAGTGTGTCTTCAGACCTGACCTGGTAAATCAACCATTGATCAGATATTCACTATCTTGGAAAAGGCCCGTGAAAAAGTATCGACACCCACCAACTCTTCGTCTATTTCAAAGTAGTTTTTTTTCAGTCTGAATTCGGTGTACCCGCGAAAGATCCGTCAGGAAGGACCTCTCCGAGCCGTTCGATACGAAACGAGGCTTCAGACAAGGTGAGTGATTGCACATCAAACAAGGTGTGAGGCAAGGACCGTGCATAAGGACCTGTCCATTTTTATTCCTATCAGGTTCATCGTGTGACTTTTTCAATTTATTGCTTAAGAAAACTATACGAGCTGTAGAGCTGCTAGAATAGAGTAGTGAACGAGGGAAATAGAAGAAATAACTCCTGCCATCAAACAAACAGTCGTTGATAACTGCGTCTATCTTGGAACCAGTATTAACACCAACAACAATATAAGTCTGGATATCAAACGCAGAATCACTATTGCAATTGAAAAGTCGTCGAGAGAGAGGAACAAATGGTTCGGAGGAAAGGACGATGACAATATCTGATGATTCGGCGTTAGGAGATATCGAGAATAAGGTTTTGTGCAAGATTTATGATCCTCTACGAGTTGAGACCGGCGAATACCGCAGACAATGGAACGATGAGCTGTACGAGATATACAGCGACATTGATATAGTTCAGCGAATCAAACGGCAGCGATTGCGCTAGCTAGGTTATGTGGTTTGGAGGAATAAGAAAACTCCAATTTTGAAAGTTCACGATGAAGTAGCTGCCGGTATAGTATGTATGTAAGCAGAGCACTATTATTGCTCTTTAAGGATAACATTAAAAATATTTCTTTATATTTTCCTAAATGCACGTTAATTTATATCAGGATTAATCAGCTAACCATATACAAATGTATTTAATCGCTTAATTCATAAATTATATCATTGTAGCATAAGTTTGGTTTTTCACTATTATTAATATCTGTAGACTTATCACTATCGCTGCCAGATTTCGTCCCACAGGTTTCAAAATCACTTGCGCAACTGTTATCATTAAAACTATCGCTATCAAAACCATCATCGTCATCATCTTCCTCTTCAATGTGCTCCACACATTGATCCTGAAGCTTCCGCTTTCGTTCAAGTAGAGCTACCCAAGTAAATTTTTCTTCACATAGGGGACATTCGCCGGCAATCGGTATGTAATGACCGCGATTGCTCTCGTCGGATGATAATAGATAATTAGCCAAACATATTAAGTGAGTTGTGAGTTTACATAGAGAATTAGTACAACCAATACGCGATCGCTCCGTGTTTTCAATGCGTTGCATGCACAAGTGACATTCAGGAGCCCAAATAGCTTGTGGAGCCAAAGATTCTTCGCCACTTTTACGTTGTGATATTTGTGATTTCGGTAAAAGAAGGTCACCACTAACGATTTGCATATGAGAAGGAGGTTTAAGCTAAAAAGTAAAGGTTGGAAAGTGTGTACATTTGGATGTTGTACGAGATCTTTTAAGTTTCATACATACTAAGAAATCACATTCGTATTCGCTTTCTAACCAACGTATAGTAAGTGGCAAACGATTCCAAGGACCCACATTTAACATATGGCAAAGTATGCGAAAATTGTATTGAAAATGACTTTCTTTTGGCTTTTTACGGCGCAGTTCGGAATATTGCTTTAAGCGAGTGGATAGTGCTGGCTGCTGCCATGCCCACTCAAACTGAAATTTATGTAAATTTTATTTTCATGCTTTAAAAATTTTGGTTTTTGTATTCAAATAAATTATCACCTGTAGTGCTGCAATATTATTAGGAAATCCATGTACTATCATAATCATCTGCCAGGGACCTTTGTTGCTAGTACGTTTAGCGCCACCAAAGTCTTTACCACGATTATGCTGTTTAATGCGACGATTGGGATTAACGGTGAACCCAATATAGCAACGGCCAGCATAACGTTTATCAGGACTTTGGCTACGAAGCAAATACACTCCATAGAAAAATAAATTAGACATGCCAACAAACTAAAACAAAAAGATAATCAATGTTTAACCGTAAATAATGTGCTAGAAATACATAAGAACATATGTAAATTAGTTTATTACTTCTGCTAAAGTTTTGTTACATAATATACATTACACAAACATATAAATGTTGAAAAAAGGTAAAATAAAACACTTTTACGCAAATTGAAAGAGACCAATGCTTTTAATATTGCTTTTTAAATTTTACAATATTTAAATAAATTACTAACTAGTTGGAGGAAAATGGATTATCATTGAGCATTATGCTCAGTTATTACTATTAGCGGAGGAGTTGTTGTTGCCATTTGGCATGCCTAATACCGCATTGCCAACGCTTTGTTGTTGTTGCACTTGCTGTGCCGGCTGTTGTTGTTGTTGTTGTTGTTGTTGTTGTTGCTGTTGCTGCTGTAATTGTACATTATTAACAATGCCATTTTGTAATCCAACGGGCGCATTGGCAACACCCTGTTGTTGTCCTTGTTGTTGATGTTGCTGCTGCTGCTGATTCTGTTGATTTTGCTGCATATTTTGTTGTTGTAATTGTTGTGGGTCCATTGGAGCCGCATCGGCATTCATTTGGCCCATACCATTGACACTATTAAACATTTTTATACGTTTGCGAGTATAATGTTGCCACTGTAAAATAGCTTGATCATCGATAAATTTGCAGCATTGCGAATTAACAATCTCACGACGAAAATGTTCGTATTGCAAAAGATCCAGAAAATACAAACACATAGGATACATTAGATATTTAGCATATTCGGGCTCTTTCCAATACTGAAGATATTTAAGATAATTGATGAACGCTTGGTCTTTGAAGTAGCCGCGCTGGGCTAAGACTGAAAAGGATATTAAAATCTTTAAAAAAATAGTTGACTCATAAAAAATTTGTTTTTACATACAGTTTAAATAGTTGGGATTGGCTAGACACTGTACGAATTCCAGTTCAACTTGCCATCGCAATTTTTGTTGTTCATCAGATTCAATAGCCGCTAAAAAGAAAATACACATGTACAAACAATTTGTATTTCTAAAGTTTTATATATACTGCGTTCATATGTGTACAAATTCATGATACTATTTATCCTATTTACTATGTATTTACTCATATAAATGTTGGTCATGAATGCAATAAGACTGCATGATCAATAAAGATTACTTTTGAATTGGTCAATAAAAGAAATCATGAATTTGTATGTACAAACGTAGTAATAGATGAACAGTTGTCTGCAATCCATTTACAAATTTTACACCAAGATAAATGTTATTCAAAACATGATTCAAAATTAATTACGCACTTTTTCTTTAAAATATTAAAAGACTGCAATTGTTAATTTAGAAAGCAATATTAAATAAAAAATCAACAATTTACTTACTCTTACCCTTCCCATACATCTTGGCCACGGTGCATGGAAGGGCTCTGTTCTGTTTCTTAATGATGTCGTTTCTAAATGTCTACTGTACAGGCGCCTTCGGTAAGACGCAGGTGTACAGTATCCTTGACCGAAAGTTTGTATTTGGTTGTGACGTTGGTGGAAGTTGTAATAGCAGTTGTTATTTTAGGGTTGTGGTGGTGATGGAAGATGGTGACAAGTGAGAGTTGTTGTGGTACTGTTGGACGTAGGATTGTGAGCGTGGCGAAATTTATGCGGTGGTTATGTTGATTGGTTGGGTGTGATGTTTTCGTACACTAGTTTACTTATAAGAATTGGAATTGTCTTTGTCTAATAGTGTAGGCCCTCGACACGAATAACTGCACGCACAATTAACGCATATACAAGTGTATTATGTGGAACACAAATTAAACATATTGATATGTAATATATACAATAATACCATCAAACAATAATACCATCAAAATAAAAAAAAATTAGGCGGATGTACTAACTTTGCTTATCCAAATTATACTGGCTTATACGCGAAAGCCAAAAAATATATATTTACATACGTTTACATAAGTAATAATTAGAAAACAATTCAATTCAATTAGAAATTCTTACAGAAGCAGTTATAAGGGAACACAGATAAGAAATGTAAAGGAAAAGCGTAAAATTGGTAGCGACTGGTCGCGCAATGGTAGCATCCGCCTCTGATATCAAACAACTACAAATTTATTTATTATCCACAAATTGACACTTGAATTTTAATTCTACAAACCGTATGCGTTCATTGCCCAAATACAGCAAATTTGATTAAATTTTCTTCCCCTCTTAATTACTTTTTTATAATGAATATCACCAGAATAATGAAAGTGTGCAGAAAAATTGTCAACAAAACTAAAGTAATTTCGATCAGTGTTGGTCTTTTTGTTAAAAAAGCAATACTGCCACTCATTTAATAAAATATAAAAATCTTCTAAAAATGCCATATTGTTGAATTCTTGGGAACATCTCATCTAAAGGCGAATTCAGGCAAATTTATAAAAGGTGAAACTGTCACATTCTGTGATTGCTTGTTCTTCATTCCATTTCACCGAATTATGTAAGCAAAATACATACAATTTCTTTTTACTAAGGATTCATGTGTTTGTACTCTGCGTGTGAGTTTGCCTTGCTTGTACCGTGTGTGAACTTGCCTTGGGAGATCTCATTTCTTGCCTTATTTGTTGCTTTACGATTTTTTGCTTGTGTCATTCCATTGACATTCGTTCTTTGCATTTGATGCATTTTTTAATTTGTCATTAGAGAAAAAGTAATAAATATCTATGTAGTTATTCTTACAGTAACTGGTAAACAATGAAAGTTTTGGAAAAATTGTAGATATTTAATGTATTATTCTTCTGAGAGCGAACAAAAAATCTTACAGAGATAGCGCTTATGCACTATTCTTGTCTGATTCTGGACATAAATTTTCAAAGGGTTCGTTATTAACCATAAATTAAAATGTTCGAGATACGCAACAAAAACACTATGGTATTTAGTTCCATGGTAAAAACAATCAGGCATAGTGTAGTGGGTGCTTATCCCTCTTGTCATGTGGGAACACGTCTTGACGAACGCCGTGCAAAAGCACGAGCATTACGCCAGGAACGTCGTCGAAAACCCGATAAACCTGACGATTTCGTTACCTACGATGACTCTGGTAGCGATGAAGAAACTCCACAACAGCAGGAGGAAGTACTGAATACTTCATTCAATTTATGCGATTATTTAAAGAGCAGAGAGACTGGTTTAAAAGAAGTAAGTTTTATACCATTTTTCAGTACATTCCGTAATAAAAAGTAAACCTACGTTAATTCATAGCAACGCAGCTTCAATTTTGAGAATACCAGCCGTTATGTGCTCACACATGATATGTTACGAGAAACGCAGATACATCTGGGCTATATTAATAAGGTTTTCTGTTCCAAATGGTTAAGTAACCGCCAGGTGGTTTTTGGCACTAAATGCAACAAGGTGAGTTTTACAGAAATTATTAAATTCTTACTTACTAAATTTGTATTTATAGTTGCTGGTATACGATGTAAATATGCGACGCGTGGATGCCATTCCTACACTTTCTAATAATCGTGCTAATCATCCAGAAGTTCAAGGTGGCTTGCATGCTATCGAAATTAACCCGAGTCGCTCATTCCTTGCTACAGGAGCGCGAAATTCAGCAGACATCGCTGTGTATCGATTGCCTACACTGGATCCTGTATGCGTCGGAGAAAATGGACATCGCGACTTGATAATGGGCATGTGTTGGTTAGATGATCAATTCTTGGTTTCGGGTTCAAAAGATTCACGTCTGTCGCTTTGGCGTATTAAAGAGGATCTCATGGATTTTCCAGATGGTGGTAAGGAAGCATGTCCTACATTTGCCACGATTAATCCACTGTGTGTAAAAGATGTGCGCACAGCACAGAGGGTAAAAATTCAAATCAGATTCAATGGCTATAATTTAATATATACATATATATGCATTTTTTTCCAAAAGATTCGTTCACTTTGCTTCAACAAAGAATTTAAAGAGATTGCAGCACTTTCGTTAAATGGCTATATACACATCTTTAATGCAGAAACCTTCAAACAAAAACTATCTCGTAAACTGCCCAATTGTCAAGATAATGTAAGCATAGCGTATCACAGCGATGGCCTGTATGCTGTTGGCTGCCGCTCATACACCATACTTTTAGACGCACGAACATTGCAGGTGAAACAAATTTTGTATATACACTCGTGCTTATATTATAATTAGACCACTCATTGAACGAGTATGAAAAGTCGTTAAAGTAACGAAAATCTCAACTGACTATTTTCATGCTGTATGTGCAATGTGAGCGGCCGCGGGGGTCGAGTGGTTAGCATTGCGTACTGCCAATCGGAAGGCTTGGGTTCGAATCCCCGTGCGACCAACATCCAAAAGTTAAAGAAAATTTATTTAAGTAAAAAATTAACTTAATTTTTTCCGAGTGTATTTCTGACATGAAATAAATCTCCTCATAAAAAAAACATCAGCCGTTCGGAGGCGGGTTAGTATAAACTGTAGGTCCCTCCATTTGTTGGAACAACTGCAAGAGGCAAAACCACAAATTGGAGGAAGAGCTCGGCGGAAAATCAATCGCTTCAACGATTACAAAGCGCCAGTTATATATATATATATATATATAAAACAAATGTTAATTACATATTTTGCTTATTTTAAGGTATTTCCATACCTGTTCTATGGGTGTCTTAATTATAAGAGCACGAATGTATATACATTTGTAAATATATATATATTTTTTTTAAATATAATCATAATATATTCTACTACATAGACAATCAAGAAGATAACATCGCGTTATAACGGATGTGGCATACGTGCCACAACATTCGAAGGTAACCTTCTCACAGTTGGTACTGGCTTGGGAATGTTATTATTTTACGATATACGTGCTGGTAAATATTTGGAGAGCAGTGTGAATGCTTCCCGTACAGTGGCTTTAAAATGTAGTAAAGGCATTGTGGTGAGTATGCATTAGACATCAGATATAATATATATGTCAATGTATTTAAGCTAATTTTATTGTGTAGTATCCCGAAGATGAAATGGATGGCTTCCAACAAGTGAAATATGTACCAGCAATTTACACACATTGCTATGATAGTACAGGTATGAGACTATTTGCAGCTGGCGGACCACTACCTGCTACACTTGTCGGCAATTATGCAGGTGTTTGGCAGTAATTGGAGTGAATTAAATAAATTAGTTAGCTGGAACTTAGCTAAAATAATCAGATACTCGTATCTGTGTGTGATTTTCGGAAATATTTCCACCTTTATTTTGTAACTTATTAAGATGCATTTGGATCTTGTAGGAAAATATTATTTTTTTATTATTAAAACTAGAGTTTATACTTCAAACAACAATACCCATAAATCTATCATTATATTCAAAGAAAATGATATAAGTTTTTGCTTTAGATGTGAATGAAAAATAATAATAAATGCCCATATATTATGTTATTTTTTTACTATATAAAAAAAGCAAGCCGAAAAAGCCTATAGATTTTTCAAACATAACATATATTTTGAATGTAAAGAAATAAGTACATTTTTACAACAATATTATTTACATTTTCTAGTTTTTTTTTTTGTAATTTTATTCCTATTCAAATAAAGGTACTGGAATAATACGATTTACTATGTGATTTTTGAGTTAAACAATAGTTGCTTCGGTAGATAAACATGTGGTAAAAGCAATAATAATAGTAGAATTATTGCATATACTATATATAAATAATATTCAATGAGGGATAAACATACAAAGTAATACGTAGCTACATACATACACGTACGTACATAAATAACGATAAGAGACCGAAAACGTATATAAAAGTTAAAGAGAAAAGTATTTGGAAATAAAAACAAAAATAATTACAAACAAAAAAAAAATAATAGCAGATTTCTTTAATTCTGAGGTTCTGCATCTAACCCATTCTTCTATACTTAATTTCCACAGTTCTCATACATTTTCTTTATAGAAATTACACATAAAATTTTATTTACATTTTTTTATTACTGTGAAAATCGTGAAATGTATCTGTTAGTAAAAACAAGTAACTTAACACGCTACATTTTGTTATGTTATGTTATTGTAATGCCTTCCCTCAAAATCTTAAAATAAAAATTGTTTCCTGCTATGACTTTTTCTTATTAGGCCCTGATTTGTAAACGAAAATCTTATGCATATGGGCGAATGGGGCATAACATAGTGATCTGGTAAAATATCTACAAAAAAAAATGGGATGCACTTGTATTGTCACATAAATACTTCTTGGTTTCAGTTATTATTGCTACCGCCTCCGAAAAGTGGCAAAAAGTTTCCCCAACCGCGTCCTTGTGATTCTGTAGGCACTGAAAAATGAAATAAAATTGGCCAAACTTTACATTTGAATATTCAGTTAGTTTTCTTACATTTTTGTCCTTTGGCTACACAGTTGAGAGTTTCTGTTTCGTTACGACTTAGTTTCAATATGGTATTGAGTACTGGAACAAGGCGCACTCGTTCGTCCCCACTGGTTAGTGTAAGAAACTAAAAAGAATTCAATAATACAATAATAACTCAACCTTACCCCCTTTATAGGTGTAATGCATACCTTCAGCACAACATTTTTCAAGTATTCTGCGTTATGCATATGCTTTTCACGCTCGACAGCACGTTCCTGTCGCCGCAGCTCCTCCTTCAGCATGTCATTCATCTGAGTCAATTTTGCCAAATCTTGTTCATTTTCCGCTAAAAGCGCCGTTAGATGGCGTATACGACTTTCTTGTTTTGCGAGCAACTCTCTAGTCACATGTAACTCTACTTGCAAACTCTCTGCATTACCATTACCACTGTTGAAATCGAACAAGCCACTATCATTCCGTCCACTGGTGACTGTGTCCGTTTGGAATGCTTGCATTGGCATATTCAGCAATTCATCTAGTGGCATAAAATCATGCTGTGAACGTCGTGAGCTGCTAGAAACCTTACGTAACGATTGTGGTTTATTGTTTGTGGCGATAACATTGTTGTTTGGTATACTGGCTTCTTCTGAACCTTCAGCGTCTTCTCGCTCGGCTAGCATTATTTGTTGACTTTGACCTTTTTCACTAGAATAGACAGGTGTTTGAATTGAGAACGAATTTCTTTCATTTGCATTTGCTCCAATAATGGGTAGTAAACGCACAGCTTTGCCTTGCATTGAACTTAGCTCATCGATTTGTTGTTGATAATTGCTTTGAATTTCATGCAGTTGCTGTTTATGACATTCATGTGCTGCTTCCAATTGCAAACGGTGGGTACGTAGGGATTCTTGGTGTTCTTGCAGCTGGCTGCGTTGCTCTTGACTTAACCGTTCATTTTGCTGACGCAGTTCATCTTCCAAAGAACACAGTTCTTGGACGCGTCGTTTAAGATTCTCATTGTCCATACGCAAGTCGGCGTTATGATGCTCCAGAATAGTTAATTTTGTGGTTTGCTCATTGACTATCTGTCGCTGCTGTTCTTCGAGTGACCTCACTTGTGCCAATTCTTCCGCTAATTCCCGTTCACGTGTGGTGTCTATACTCTGATGTTTGCGGAGTACAGCTTGTGCTTTCTGCTTGTATTCGGAATGTTCGACACGTAGGTTATTTAAAGCAAGCTCGACATTATGCAACTTTGTTTCTGTTTCGCTGAGATTGGCTACAGTTTTGTGTAGTTGCTGTTCAATTTTCTCTTTCTCATTATGCGCCGCAATTACAGTGGCAGAGCTTTCAGCACTACATTGTGAAACCTCTAACTTAATCTGCTCTAGTTCTTGCTTGAGAGCTTCTTCTGTCAGCTCCAGTTGTTTTCTGGCCTGATTTGCCAACTGTTTGGCATGAACCGCATCTTTTAATTGTTCTTGCAGCATATCAACCTGTTCTTTCAGTTCCTTAGCATGTGTAGTTTCAGATTCCTTTGCCGACTCTACTATTGTGATCTCTTTGCGCAATTGGGTGATTGTATGTTCTCTGTTGGTTAATAGTGCATTTAACGTCTCTAATTCACTAGTTCTCGTGGAAAGTTTATTGGTTGCTTCCATAAGTGATTTCTCTGCTGCTTCTATTTCTAAATTGAGTACATTTGCTTGTTTGCGCGATGACTTCAACTTTTGGTTTTCAGATTTCAGGGTCTCAATGAGTTTTTCCTGCTCATCGCAGACTTTCAGCTGTTTGCGCAACTCTTCACACTCTGCTTTCAATGCAACGTACCCACTTTGTTGCTGTTCCATTTCTGTAAATTGAGTCGTTTGTTCTTGCAATCGTTTTTTGAGTTTTAGAGCAAGACCTCTCATTTTATTGTATTTCTCTTCAAAACTTTCATCAACTTCACGTAAGCGTGACAACTCTTCATTTCGTGACATTGTTGATGTTGATAATATTTCGCTTTGCGTGTCGGCGTTATTGCGAAAAGAATGTAGTTCCTCGTTGAGGACTCGCAGCTGCTCCTCACTTCGTACACTAGCAATTTCGAGGTCGCGAGTCTGTTGTCGTGTTAAATCAATTTCTCGTTTTACCTCATGTACTTGTGCTTCTTTTTCGGCTATTGCTGCATCCTTTTGTAACAGTTTTTCATCGATTTGTTTTAACTTGGTATTAGTTCTTCGTAGCTCGTTTATAAGCTCTTGCTGCTTTTCTTGTTGGCGTGAAATTACATCACCTCGTGCCTTTAATGCTTCATTTAGCTCACGCATTTCGCAAAGTAAGTCTGCGTGCTCACGCTCCAAATGAGAATATCGCGATTGTAAATCTATATAACTTTTCTCTGTAAATTGAATATTTTCCTCTGAATGTAGATTTTTTTGCTTTTCAGATTTCTGTTGTAATTGTTCCAATAAAGAGATTTTGTCCTGTTCAAGAGCTTTCAATGTGTTCCGTATTTGCTGTAAATCTTCATGAACTTGTTGGGTTTCGTTTAGTTTTTTATTCAAACTTTCCACAGCTATCTTTAATTCTTTATTTTCTATTTGGAGATTTTCACGAATGTTTGATTCTAGTTTTAAGGAATTTCTTTCTGTCTCACAATCATTTAACTGTGATTTTAAATGAGATAATTCCTGCATTAAACTATCCACCTGTGACTGAAGTTGCTCACTGCGCAATGAATGGCTTGTTAAAACCTCGAGCATCTTTTCACTTTCTGGTTCATTACTCATAGGAGCAATTTGATTTGGCAAACTGTTCTTTTTCCATCGCGTTTTGGACAGAAGTGTATCTTTTGCTAACATATCATTCCGCACATAATCGCAAAGTTTTTCTAATTCTAATAACTTTGTTTCAAATGATTCGACATTAAAACTATTCACCAAATATTGTGTAGTTTCAGACTCACTTTTCCTTTCTGCAACAGAATTTAACTTTTGACGTAACTGTTCATTTTCTTCTTGCAGTGAATTCATTTGAGTGAATAGCATTTGGGAAGCCTTTATTATTTCCATCTGCCACTTTGATACAGCATCTGCATATTCATTCTGTGTTTCTAAGAGTACACGCTTACATTCTTTTAGATTTTTAAGTTTTCGATGCACTTCAACAAATCGGTCTTTTAAAGCATTGAACTTATGTCGTTGCTCTGTGTTTATTTCTTTTATTCGGCTATATTTGCAAGAAAGTTCCTCTAAGGTTTGCTTTATTCTATTATCTTGTTCCTTTAGTGCCTTATTCTCTCCTTGAGTTATAGACACCGTATTTTGAAGAGCACAGTTTGCACTTTCCACTTCTTTCAATTTCTTTACCTCAAGTTCCAACAAACCCAAATGTTTTTTCTGTTCTATACCTAAAATATTTACCTTCAAAAGACATTTAAACTTTTTTCGAAGCATTATTTATGGATAAATCTCTAACCTGTTTCAGTTGATCCTCCATGCGATCGATATCTTTTAGTAGCGCCTCGTTGTCCTCATTAAGCCTATTTAACTGGCGTTGCAAAGACTCATTTTCAATGCGCAATTTAGCTAGAGACTCTTCATCAGCCTTATTCTTCTTCTGAAGTTCGCTGACATCATTTGTTAACTTCAGTTTTTGTTCCGTAAACTGCTCCAGTGTCTCCTTCATGATAATAATGGCCTTTTTGTCTGCTTCTTTTTGGGTTTCACATAGTTGAAGAGCTTCCTTTAATTTCCGATTATCTTCAGCAAATTCTGCGAGGGAAAAACGATGACGTAGTCGTTTATAAGAACAAACAACGTAAAGCCACATCACAAATGTATACATATGCAAAATAATATTTGCAAAATCAGCCCCTGTTTACTCCAGGAATTTTCTTTCACTTAATATACGTACCATCTTTGGCTTGTTTGGCCTTTTTGGCGATTCCGAGCAGACCCTTATACTTTTGAATCAATTCCTCCTTACTCAAGGCATCAATGGAGCTCTTCTAATATGTTTTGGAAAGAAGTAAATAAACATAATTGACATTGTTGTTTCTATTTTCTATAAACATACAGACTGTGTAGGAGAACTTTCCAACTTCTCTTCCATCGTTAAATAACGATAAAAAAAAATGTTTATGTTTGTTTTTACAAAAATTATTTAACCTGTCAACCAGTTAGTTTTTATCTTCGCACAGAAAATTAATTTGACTTCATCACCAAAAAAAAAATTATGCGGAAACCCAAAAGAAAATTAAAAACAGCCCTTTTTGACACATACACCACGTTGCCATATAAAGGAAATTAAAATGTTGCTTGTAACGGTCGCAATAGCCACGTGGTTAGCAGTGTGTGCTACTATCTTGATATTCACGGGTTCGAAATAATAAAAATATTTTTCATAATTTTAGCTAAATTACCAAGACTTGATCCACAATCTGTAGAAAACGCTCGGCCAAAAATCCCTTCTGCGGTAAAATATTTATAAATATATAACTTTTGAAAACATTTAATTTTATTTATCATAATTAATTGCCCTCAATGTGTTTGCCTTCATCTATGTTAATTTATTGTGTATTTAAAAAATTCAGATCCTCCATGGTTCTTAAGGAAACAAAAAAAATTCAAGAGTTAAGGATTTTTTTCAGGAAGATCATCACTGCAACGCTGTTTGTTGGAAGTAGTTGGCAACACTATTAAATGTAAAAGTCGGTTTTAATTTTTCCGCGTTTACATTAATTTATTTATTTACATTGTTCAGTAACTTATTCATGAGTTAACCACCATTAACTACGGTGTATCAGAATTAACCATGTCTATAACAGAAACATTAAAAAGTGCAGTGCCTATTGCAAATGACGCAAATAACGCACCGGCTTGTGCAGCTTTCAATGCACCTATTGCTAATAATGGAACCCCCATACGCGTAAAAAATTTCCATAACTTGGTTACGCCAGTAGCTAACTCTGATGTTTCAACTAATTCCACAACTTCAAATATAATAAACATAGCTACAAAAGGTAAGACACTACCTAAAGCTCCTGATGAATTTTACCGAGATCTACAGCAATTTCACGAGAGGCGTGCGTAAGTATTCATACATACATAATAACAAAAAAGTTAGCTCTGTATAAAAATTATTATTTAATTTACTGATTTGTAGAACGCCAATCATGTATGCACCAAAAATTAGCGGACGAGAAGTAGACCTTCATCGTCTTTACTCTGAAGTGACTGAACGTGGTGGTTTCAATAAGGTCAATCAAAGAGACGAATGGGACGAAGTCCTACCAGTATTAGGAATTCGCGATAAATGTGTAAATGCTACCGCAGCAATTAAATATATATACAGACGTTTTTTGGAAAAGTACGAGAGACAAAACTTTTTCGGAGAAGATCCAGATAAACTAGAAGCCCTCGAATCTGCAGACGTTATGGAAGGCAGTGGACGTTCTCGAAATCGTTACCCCACATCAATTTACTCAAGCAATAGTAACATTAACGTAAACACAGTTCCAATGTCCTATAATTACAGGCAGCATATTGTGAATATGGATCGGCGACGTACCTACAAACTCTCTACCGATCTTCACAAGCCATCAGCATATGAAAAGTTAGTGCTATCGCTTATTTCACCACTCCCTAATGAGCAAGATTTTGCTATCAACGTTTGCTCATTGATGACAAATGAAAGTAAAAACACATTAAAATTAAATGAATGTCCAAAACTTTTGGATGTATTACTGGCCCATACAGGCGTTTTTCCTGATTACACATTGCGAAAACTATTTGAAGATGTATACACACATGTACGAAAACATTCCCTTTTCAACTTTTGGCACGATTTGTTACATGACAAACCTCATATATTGGATTTATACACAGATGAACAAGCTATGCGTGATGCTGGTCTTATAAGTGATCTTGAAATTCTCCACACAGCTTCCGAAAGTGTGGATGATTTTAAGAACCTAGATTTTTTAAATTTGGGTCCTGGTGAAGGAACACAAGAGTATGTAGGCCAAAGAGTTCAGCAAATTGTATCAATTTTTAGGAATCTGAGCTTTTTTGAGGAAAACATAAATGTTCTTGCAAAAAATAAATCTTTTTTGCGTTTCGTTGTAATGGGCGCTAATATACGTTGGGGCAATTTGCACAATCAAATATTAGATATAGCTGGAAACATTGCCCCTGAAATAGAGCTTACAGATCCATCCACAGATGATATTTCGCGTAGTTTACTCTCAACTCTTAGTGAAGGAATTGAAAGCTTGGATCGTGGAGTAATCATCAATAGTTTGGAGACGTTGTATAAGTTGTGCCAGACTGATAGCAATGAGGAACATATTGTTAAATGCTTAAATATGAAATTTTGTGAAACTATTTGCCAGTTTCTTTGTCTAAACGATATGATGCTCCTTATATTCACACTAGAAACGATTTATGCGCTAACATCAATGGGTAATCGCCCTTGTCATATGATAATGCAAGTGAGAGGTGTTGTTGACCAGTTGGTTTCTCTGGTCACAGTCGAAGCGCAATCATACGGGCCAGATGGATGTATTTTAATGAGAGTTGTTGAAACAGTTCCAGGTAACATGTTACCAATGGTAGCACAAAATATTGCAAATCTACAAAATGTCGCGGTAATACAAAAACCACCTCCACAAATTCTTCTACCAGAACCTTTATTGCCAGCACCGCAACCACCTTTGCCTACACAAGTGATGCTGCCGACACAACACACTCCACCATTAATGCCACATCCTCAATTACCAACTGTAAAGTTGCCTCCAATTGTGACTGGGTCTTCATCAAATCAGCAAACATCACTTGATGATCAAGTAAATACTTCGCATACAACAGTAATTACACAACAGCAACCACCTGCAGCACAGCAAATTGCTGTGGCTACATCCCAGGTAACTCCTGTACAGCCGCAAAGCTTTACACATGATGACGAACAGTATGCCTTAGCGTGGTTAGGCGCTATTTTCGAACGTGCTGCACGAAAAGATTGTTATATTGAACAACAGGAATTATATCGTATGTATTTATCACATTGTCAGAAATTCGGCAAACACTCTGTTGTGAATCATATACAATTTCCGCGCCTAGTGCGCTTAATTTACAACAACAATGTGGGTCCCACCACCGTAAAATCTGCTGACGGAAATGATCTGCCTGGTCTACATTATGTGGGAATACGTTTACGTGCACAACCATTGCCCATACAACCTTCCAAGCAGAATCCACAAAAAATATTTGAAAGCAAACCGCCAACAAAAAGCAGTATACTCGAAAATCCAGTGGTCGGTCCAACGTCTGCTCGTAAACTGAAGAAAAAACCAAAGTTACAGCAAGAATCATCAGATTCTCTATCCACTACATCTGCACCAGAGCAGATGACTCCCGAACCAAAAATCGAAGAGGAGAAAAACTGTGGAACATCCACTATTCCCACACACGGTGACATAACTATGGGAATAGTCTCAACATCAACACAATCTTCAACATTGACAGGAGGTAATACTGTTTCATCGGCTACAGCTGTTCAACAAAATGCAGATTCAACACAACCTTCCTCTTCGTTGATTAAAAGTTTATTAGCGAACAAAGTAACACAACGTCAGCAAAAAAATCAAAAGGAGTTAACTTCAACTGGTTCTACTACGCAACCACAACCAGTTACAAATTCTGTTGTTCACGCGCCTGCCCAACAACCAATCAAAGTGGCGAGTACAGCAATAAGTGCATTAGTAAATAACCCAATGATGCAGAATACAGCTGTAAAAGTTGGGCAGACTACAATTAAACCTCTCAACCCCCAAATGTCTCTAGAAAAGAAGCCAATTCTAGAATCAACGCCGCCACCACTAGCTCCATTAAGTGGCAACAATGTTGCCAAGGACTCTAGCGGACGTCCAGTTATTATAGCTAATCAAATGCTGGTTGATATACTCGACAAAAAGGGGGGTGAGCCACCAATAGCCAACGCAATTATGAAACGAAAAATTGAGGAAGGTAACGACACCGCAAAACGCATAGCCTTAGATCCATCAAGTGGGAGAGAAGAGATGCCTGTTACACCATCAAAGAATGCCGCTAACTTATATGCCGAGATGGCTGCTTCAATTCTTGAGGATGAAGATTTAGAAGACATACCACCGCTTCCTACTTCCTCTTCTTCGACAACGCAGTCAGTGTTCAATGAAACCATACAGCAGCAGCAAATCTTAATACCGGCAAAAATTCAACAGGCTTCATTGCCGGCTGTACAGCGTCAACTTGTGTTTCAATCAAATCAACCACCTCAATTAAAGCTAACTACACATGCTGGTGTTGCCTCAGCCACTCAGTTGCCCACAGCGATGGCTACAATAAAAACAGACCAAGGTCTGCAAACCGTGCCCGTTATACTGCAGCAAAAGGCACTAGAACCGACGCAACCACAACAGCTGTTACAACAAGTGATCACTCAAAATATACCGCAACCAGTGCCACAACCACAACCTACTCAGTATGTGCTTGCCACAAATCAGCAAGGACAGACTTATCTTGTCGCCCAGCAAGCCCAGCCACCACCACCCCCACCTCCTCAACAAACTGTGTTAGTAACACAAATGCCACAACAACAATCGACTGGCGCAAAAACTATTATTATTTTACAACAACAAACAATGCCCGGCCAGCAAACTCATCAAACGCAGCAGCAAATCATAACAGGCGGTTCACAAAAAATGATAATGACCACACCACAAGGTCAAGTGGTAGTGACACAACGCCCACAGCCATCCCTCTCCGCACCCACAACACAACAATATTTCATAAACACTCAAACAGGAACAGCTACACCAATTCAACATGTCCCAGTCAGTGCAGCCAATGTGTCTACCAATAATCAGTTGTTACAACGTCATCAAATATTGTCATCCACACAAGCAACCACTATAGCTACCACACAACCGCCAACGGGTCAAATCTCACCATCATTGCTATCACAGTTAAATCATATCCCAGCTACGATTAAACTACATCAACCACAAATGCCAGTAACAACAGTTTCATCAATACATCCACACCAAACAACATCTATTTCACGTCTTGGTAAAACAGTTTCAATTGTACAGTCCAACCCACAGCAGCCGCCCATACAAATACCGCAATTGCAACAGCACCAATCTATTATACAGCAGCATATAATATCGGGACCGTCAGAGAAGCGGCAACTAATACTTGGTGGGAGAGCTATTGAAATAAAGGAAACGGTAATCTCTCAAACACCACCACCCACGCAACAGAGTCAATTAAATTCTCAAACTATTATAACCAAACAAGTTTTGCCACAACAACAACAACAGCAGCAGCAGACACAACAAATACGTACTGCCATTGAACAACAACAACATCCATCAATAATCCAGCAAAAGTTATCCTTGCAACAACAGCCGCAAAAGGTAGATTTAATAAAATAAAAGTGTGAACTCTTTATGATTCATATATGTACATATGAACATAAAACGCATATATGTACATTATTATAATATTCATGCTACAATTTGTAATACGTATATTCTTTAATAACTTTCAGATCAATGAACATGTCACTTCAAGTCAAACATCTTTGCCAAATAAATCCCAAGGCGCAGTACAGACTGGCATACAACAACCAACACCATCTCAGTCGCCACTGCCAACTATCAACGTAGCCTCAACACAACAAGTGAGAGCATCTACGCCACAGCAACAACCTGTACCCACTGCTGTCACTAACAATAAAATTTCTGGTTCCGACCCACCACCACTTGCACAGACCGTTCGTTCGGCCTCTTTTAGCCAGTCGCAACAGAAAGATATTCTTAAAACAAATGAAACAACGAATGCTGTTGGAAGTACAACATCAACGTCGACAACATCAGTCTCTACGTCAGTATCAGCTGTAGCAACATCAAATACTCCACCCCCAACAATTAGCGGTCAAACGACTATGCCCAAGCCATCACTACCAATACCCCAACTTCCGCAGGTCCAGTTGCCATCAGGATTGGCAGCAGTTGCTGCAGCGAATGTTACACCACCTTTGGATCCTAACTGGCTGTTCGTTTGTGATTGGCGGAATTGTCCGCGTCGCAAATATAAATCTCTAAACGACTTGCAGCATCATGCTTGCTCTCTGCATTGCCCGGATCATTTGGATCCGGCTGCTGAAATCTTCTGTCAATGGGGTGTAGGCCCAGGTCTTTGCGATGGCATTCCACGGAAACGCTTTTCATTGATGACGCATATCATAGATCGCCACTTGACCAATGAAAGCTTGCACGCTGCTTTGCAGCGTCGTATTGCAACAGGCACTGTTAATCTGCAGCCAACTCAGCCGCCTGTAACAATTGTACGCAATGTAGAAGCTGCTCAAGCGCAGGCACAACGTAATAATGCTGCCTCTCCGGGACCATCGTGTTTTATACAATCTTCCTCTTCGCAACTTCCTGGAGCGAAAAGCGTAGCGGGTAGCTCGGCTATGCAAGCCATTAAGAGACAAACTGCAGACTATGTTAATCCGAAAGAATTAATGGAAGAAAACGAAGGCCCAGTTACGAAAAGTATACGCCTAACAGCTGCATTGATATTAAGAAATTTGGTTACTTATACCAGCACAGCTAAACGTAATTTGCGACGATATGAGCCTCATTTAGCCAATGTGGCATCGAGTAACGTCGAATCAAGTGGTACACTTTCACACATTCTATTCGAATTAAATAACTAATTTTTTTGAGGTCACGGATATTTCTATAGAGTTCACATAATTTCGAAATATTTACTAAAGAAAAAGTACTTTTTTATGTGCTTTTTTACTTTCCAATTTAAAAACTAAGCATATAGAGAATGAAAGTTCCGTTCAAATGCTTACGAATTTCATCTATTCAAGTATTGAAGATACTTTATTAATTATTATAACAAAATAAATAAAAAAGTGGTTTGAAATTATGTACGTTTAAATATTTCCTTTATTAACTGTAACTTTTCTGCTTTTATGAAAAATCGAAGTCAAGCAAGTTCTGTTTAAATATTCGCAGAACTTTTTCATATTTTTCTATCTTTTTGAAGAGCTCCAATTTTTCCTGCACGTAATATTCTTTAGGCATTTGTACATATTCCTCTCCCTTAAATATGAAACAAGTCACAGCTTCTGAATTTATTAAACTTTTTGAACTGGCTTCAGGAGATTCTAGTAGATTTTCTTCCACGTCTTTCCGCACACGCTTAGAATTATTCGTTTCCTCGCTTCTCCGCTTTATATTACGTTTCAATGTTGGAGCGTTATTACCTCTAACGATACCCTGTGTACTAAAGTTGGATTTGATCATTTTTGAGCTAGAAGGTTCCTGTGCTTCGTCAGGTCCTGAACTTGTTTTGTGTCGACCAGAAGGTTTTGTTGTATAGCTTTTTATGATATATCCTTTTTGCAATGGTTGTGTTATAGTACCTATAGAATTAAAGAAAGTTTGAAAATAAATTTATATAAATACTTATATATGTTTATAATTGATTTACCGTCCAATATACCATCTTGATAATCGCTGTCCACAGTGTATTCGTCTGCAATTTCGTTTTCTTGTTCATCATCGTCTTTCATAGTTGATTCTACACAATATTCCTCATCAAGGTTATCAACTTTATCATAATCTGCTAATACATCTTCATTATCGTCCCCACACAAAGTTTCTTTAAGCCTTATGAGTTCTGAGCCGTCCTCCATATCCCCATGTATTGAGAAAACCATTTCTGAGTTTAATTCTTCAGACACTTTTACTATATTACCCTTACAATCTTTGCCAATATTATCATCGCTTTCAACATCTTCGTTTTCTTCTGGATAATGAAAGGGCACTGCAGTGCTTGTCAAGATTGTTCGCTTATTATTTCTTATCAAATATTTATCTTCAAAATGATCTGAACACATAAGCATCTGACGTTCGGGTAAACCCTCCAGGACTTTGCCTCGTTTTATCCATTGTTCATACCGAGCAGGATCTCTTGGAAACCGGAATATTGTGAATTCTTTATTAGCACAAGGTGTCGAATTATAAGTGTAGTTATCGCAGCCTTTATACACACAAGCTTTGTATGACATGATAGAGCAGTAATAAGATATATCCTTAAAAACCGTCTAGCACAAAATATATTTTGACAATATACAGATGGTAAACAAAATACAACGAAATCAGCGCTTTCCATTTGTCGAAAAAGTTTGTTCAAACGTTGCCAGATGCAACATTTTTTCGCAATAGAAAATCAAATCAAATTTAAATTGACATTAGGATAGGGATAGTTTTCAAAGCAAGTTTAGCCAAAATTCATTGCACCAAAATGAAAAAAAAAATATATATATATTTCGTAGTTTCACCGAATTTAGATATTTTTTTATTTGAAATTTTCCTCCCACTTATCTTTCTGTTATAACTGTTTTGGTGTGGAATTCTGGGTTCGAGCCTGGTCACCTAGCTGTTCGTCATTTTTATTATTATGTTTAAATTTACCGTTACCATCTAAACTTTATATTTTTTTAGTAAATTAGTACATAAACGAGCTAAATTAAAAAAAAAGACAGAAAAAATAAAAAATGGAAGATAAGAATAGCGAAGCTATTAATCAGTTAAACAAAAGGAAAACGCTTCGAAAAAGCATAAAACAAATATATTTTGAATACTGCTCTAACACATCGATCCACGGTATACAGTATTTTGGCGAACGCCGCCCGTCAATAGAAAAACTATTTTGGCTATGTGTGTTTTTAGCCTCTATATATTGTTGTTCAAATTTGATTCACTGTGTTTATGTTAAATGGAATGAAACCCCTGTAATAGTTAGTTTTTCGGAAAAATCCACACCTGTTTGGAGTATACCATTTCCAGCCATTACTATTTGTTCTGAAACTAAAAGAGTCCCTAGAGAAGGTGTGTAAATCGTATGTATAGTATATGTAACTTTCATAATTAATCAATTAATTTCTCTACTATTTTATAGGATTTAGTTATGGGAAATTTTTACAAGATTTGCAAGAGCACGTTGAAACGCGACGTCATTTTCAAGCAAAAAATTTAAGTCGTGTGGAATTGGAAGAACTTCGCACCCTTTTACATATTTGCAATCCCCAACTTATCAAACAAGGCACTCCTAACCTCTCTAGCGATTTAATAGACTATTTTAGCGTATTGGAAAGAATTCAGCCTGAGTTTAATAGATATTTTTACTTTTGCAAGTGGTTTAGTCATTTTGGAGAATGTGATGAGCTCTTTACTCGAACTTATACAAACGAAGGTATTTGTTTTACGTTTAATGGTCTCAATGCAACAGACCTCTACCGGGAGGACACTGTCCAACACCAACGAACTGTGTCTCATAATACTTCCAAATATAACATAATTCTAAAACGACCTTTTAAATGGTCACTGCAAAATGGTTTCTCGCTTGATAGTGGAATTAAAACATATCCCGCTCGTGTGTTAGGAGCGGGATCCCGAGCGGGATTTTTTATTGCATTACAAAGTTTTCGTCAAGAAGTCGACTATGCTTGTCGCGGCCCAATTCAAGGCTTTAAAGTATCGCTACATTCACCGGATGACGTGCCGCAGGTTTCAAATCAATTTGTGCGCATACCTATGGGTAAGGAGGTGGTTATTGCTGTTAAGCCAAATATGATTACTACGTCTTCGGGGATTGCGGAATATCCCCCGCAAAGGCGGCAATGTTTTTTAGAAAATGAAAGAAGACTTCGATTTTTCAAAGTATATACCCAAAGTAATTGTGTGCTCGAATGCTTAACAAATTTAACACTGGCAAAATGTGGATGTGTTAAATTTTCTATGCCCAGGACATTAGAAATGCCCATATGTGCTGAAAACAAGATTTTTTGTTACGATAGAGCGGAAGATATTTTATTGATGCGAGAGTTTCGTCAAGGTCTTAAAGAATTTCCCTTAAATTATTTAGGAACAACAGAATGCAATTGCTTGCCAGCATGCACGTCACTGGTTTACAATACTGAGATATCACACGGCAATTTCGATTTGGAGGATATGTTAAAAGCAACTGCAAATACTTCCTTCTATGAAGATTTTCCTGGCTCACAAATGTCGCGTCTATCAGTGTATTTTAAGGAACATCAGTTTATAACATCCAAGAGGTCGGAGTTGTATGGAATAACTGACTTTTTGGCTAATTGTGGAGGTATTTTTGGTTTATTTATGGGGTTTTCCATATTAAGTTTAGTTGAGCTACTGTATCATATTTCACTACGCTTGTGGAGTAATATGAGACATCTGACACCTTCATGAATGCTGCTTAAAATATGGTATACACATTTGCGTTTCTTGTTGGTTGTATGAATTTAAACATATAATTGTAATTTTTATATTTTTATTTTTATTTTTTTGTATCCGATTTTTAACTTCATCTTTGTAAATATCTGTATGAAATAAATTATTGATACTGTTACGATTTTACTAAATCAACCTCGATTATTTTCTAAATCCTTCGGGTACGATCTCTGGATTGTTAAATAAAAACTCGCCAATGCAATTTGCAGTATCTTTTGTTATAAAGAATTAATCTAATATCCTTTATTTACTCCGTAATTCACAATTCAATTACAATACACTTAATTATTTACAATCACTATCATCAACTTTCACAATTTACTCTACTTAAATGTAATCCCAACACGTTTACTTTACGATTTTACTGATGTTAACGCCAACGAGTTTACTTTATCACTAACTTGACTTGCAGCTGAGTGTGGCCTTTATATAGCAGTCGGCTGCTCGCAGACGAAAGCGTAGAAGCATCGAATTGTTCGCTATGGAAGGTTCTTGTTTTATCGTTTCTAGAACGTACTAGTTATCGGCTTCTCTCTTTCATCTGACATTCGCCTCGCATTTTCGCAACAATACTGTATATCGATTTATATAAAAAATAGTACTCACCTCTGCGTTGAACACTTATTATAATATGGCAACTCCTACAAGTAACGAATAAATTGCGTTTTTTGGCGCTCGTTTTCCAAAGCCATAACAAACGAACGAACGGGCGATAGAAAAAATCGTTCAAATTCGTTTCCTTTTCGACATTCGTGCCCTATAGTGTACGGTTCTACGCGTCGTGTGTGTACTTTTAATGAAATTTTGTAATAAATATAAGGAGGAAAAAGTTTTCCAGGTGAAAAAGTCGTTTCCAATCTCGTATACTCGTTTCTTAAAATCTTAACAAGCGGGTACAAAGTTTATTATTAGTAACACCTATTTGTTGAACTAAGTGTGAAGTTTGCTATTGTCCACATATAAAAACAACTTCTGGAACAAATCAAAGACATGGCCGCCGATCAGGTACAATTTCAACAGCTCCTAAGTTCGCTATTGTCCACGGACAATGATGTGCGTCAACAAGCTGAGGTGGGTACATCCAACAAATTCTATTAATCATTACTTTACTACTACTTAGACGTAAGTCTCTTGTGCTACTCGCTCATAATTTTTGCAACACGAGGTTCAAATAAACCCAGAAATTTTCTCGAAAGTAAATTGCGTATCGTTCCACTATTCGCTGGGTTAATGCATGTGTAAAAGAAAAAATGAGTTTTGCAACAACGCTGCCTAATCTGTCTTGCTTAAAAACACGTTGCATATTTCAGTTTTTGAACTTAGATGTAATTCAGTTAATAATTAATATATGAATCGAAGAAAATTAAATTTTCTTGGACATTTGCGTGTTGCTTACTGCTTCTACGAAGATTGAAAACCAGAAATGTATATATAAATATACATCAATAGGCATATATGCATATATGCCTTCTGTATATACATACATATTCCTATAATTCCTTTAATTTGCACTCAATTCTTTCCTGGCATTTTTCTCATCTACTGCAATGACCAAGACAATGAAGAAACGTCAAACGTTGGACATTTTAACAAAACGTGTTTTCATTATTCTATACCCCGTTTCGCTATTTTGATTCCATTCTTTATTTAATTTTATTTATCATACTTCTTTTTCATTTATGTTTACTTTTTTTTATGGGAAATAATGGAACGTTTGATTCAAAATGTTTGTTGAAAATAACACGAAAATACGCTAATATAGGTTATATAAATACACGAACACTTAAAGATAAATTTGCACAAGTTAAGTATTAATTCAGTCCAATCGGTAGCAATTTCATCTGTCTATGAGACATGAAAAATCTGTGACAATACAATAAATTTTAAAAACTACTAATTCGAAGGATTTCCAATATGTTCAGCTTTATAGTATTATTACTTTTCTGCATTTTTCGCAAATTGTCACATATATCCATATGCACATACGTGCAATCAAAACTTAAGTGTGTCATATGCAGGTGTGCAAAAATTTTGCAATAAACGTAGAACGGAAGCAAAAGCGAGACAAGAGAAAAGGCAATATATGTCACACTTGCTGTTCTATTAGCGAGGATGAATGACGAAGGCCAATAACACGAGTAATTGGTGGACAAGCTACGAAAAAATGCAATTAGCAATATTTATTTTTAAAATAACTGAGCCAACGCCCATTATCAAGATCAGCATATGAATGTACGATTATACACAACTTTGTATGTATGAATGTATGTATGTTTAATTTGCTACGAAAACGTTTATTGTGATCATATACTGGGAGGACTTTGACCTTAAAATCCTTCCAATGCACACGTTATTAATTGGTGCTAGTTTGATTTGTTACCTCCTGTGACCTGTTCTGTATATAAAAATATTAATTGCCGAATTTGTTGATTTTTATAAATGTTCATATGTAGCATATTTCTATACTAAATACGTTCATATATTTAATCAAATTTTCTTTCATTTCTCCCTAAGGATGCTTACAACAATTTGCCACGCGATGTGAAAGTAACGCATCTATTGGGAACAATCCACAATGGTCAACAATCTGAAGAAGGACGCCAGATGGCTGCGGTACTTCTGCGTAGACTCTTTACATCTGAATTTACCGAGTTTTACAAAGAGGTGAGTTAAATTCAAATCATCGTCTTTATTATATCTTAATTCGAAACTAAAACTAATCACACTATATTTGTTTAAATGCGTAGCAAACACCTTATTTTTACTTTTTAATTGTGCATTATTTTAATGCTTTAGGTCATTAGAAGGTCAAAATATTGAATTGTTATATTTTAGCTTCTTGAATATGTTAAAAATAAAATAATCTGATAAGAACCTATTCGCTTAATACAATAACATTTATGTGTATATGAAATGTCTGCTAAAACCGAAATTTTTGATATTCCATGAATTCAATGAGAAGATTAAGATAAACGCATTAATAAGCATTTTATTTTTAGTACAATTACTAAGTTACATTTAAATATACATAGGCAAGACAATAAGTTTGTTAATAAAAAATCTCTCTTGACATAGTTACCGCAAGAATCCCAGGCTCAGTTATTGCAGCAAATTTTGCTGGCTGTACAGCAAGAAGTTACACCGAATTTGCGACGTAAAATCTGTGAAGTGGTAGCTGAGGTCGCACGCAGTCTTACAGACGAAGATGGTAACAATCAATGGACCGATATATTGCAATTTCTATTTCAATGCGCCAATTCGCCATCAGCGCAATTGCAAGAATCTGCTTTGCGCATCTTTGCCAGTGTACCATCTATTTTCGGCAATCAAGAAGCACAATATTTAGATTTGATTAAGCAAATGTTGGCTAAGAGTTTGGAGCCCACAGCTGATGTGGAGGTACGTTTCCAAGCAGTACGCGCAATTGGTGCTTTTATATTACATCACGATAAGGACGAGGAAAGCAACGTATTTAAACACTTTGCCGATTTACTTCCACGCATGATTATGATCACAGCTGAAAGTATTGAGGCTCAAGATGATCAGAGCTTGTTGAAATTACTCATCGATATGACCGAAACGTGCCCAAAGTACTTGCGTCCTCAATTGGAAAACATATTTGAAATGAGCATGAAAGTTTTTGGCGCAACCGATGTGGAGGATAGCTGGCGTCATTTGGTTTTGGAAGTAATGGTATCTTTGTCGGAGAATGCACCAGCCATGGTGCGCAAACGCGCAGATAAGTATATTGTAGCGTTAGTACCTTTGGTATTGCAAATGATGACCGATTTAGAGGAGGACGAAGAGTGGTCTACTTCTGATGTGGTTACCGATGATGACAACAGCGACAATAACGTAATTGCCGAGTCATCGTTAGATCGTCTGGCTTGTGGATTGGGTGGTAAAACTGTTTTGCCTCACGTCATGAACGCTTTACCGAATATGTTGGGACACAGCGATTGGAAACAGCGCTATGCAGCATTAATGGCAATTTCTGCCATTGGTGAAGGTTGCCATAAGCAAATGGAAGCAATGTTGGATCAAATTATGGCAGGCGTCTTGAATTTCTTGCGCGACCCACATCCTCGTGTACGTTACGCTGCTTGCAACGCCATTGGGCAGATGTCTACAGATTTCGCCCCCACTTTTGAAAAGAAATTCCACGAACAGGTTAGTAATCAACACAAATTTTTGCAAAACTATTGAAATTATTATTATTTTTTTTAATATTTTTTTATATACAACTTATTTATTATATTTCGCTTTTTAAGGTGGTGCCTGGGTTGTTATCTTTGCTCGATGATGTACAAAATCCACGAGTACAAGCTCATGCTGGTGCCGCTTTGGTTAACTTTTCCGAAGATTGCCCAAAACATATTTTGACCCGTTACTTAAATGGCATCATGTCAAAATTGGAGACAATTTTAAATTCGAAATTCAAAGAACTAGTAGAGAAGGGCAACAAGCTGGTATTGGAACAAGTTGTTACAACTATTGCATCCGTTGCAGATACATGCGAGAAGGAATTCGTCACATACTATGATCGTCTTATGCCATGTCTGAAATTTATAATACAAAATGCCAATTCTGAAGATTTGCGAATGTTGCGTGGCAAAACTATTGAATGTGTCAGTTTAATTGGTTTAGCAGTAGGTCGTGAGAAATTCATCACTGATGCTGGAGAAGTTATGGATATGTTATTGAAAACTCATACCGAAGGCGATTTACCTGATGACGATCCGCAAACATCATACTTAATTACAGCATGGGCACGAATGTGCAAGATTTTGGGCAAACAATTCGAACAATACTTGCCTTTAGTGATGGGGCCGGTAATGCGTACCGCAGCTATGAAGCCTGAAGTTGCAATGCTAGACAATGATGAAGTGGAGGATATTGAGGGTTTGTGCAATTAATTTCTTTTATAAATATTTTTTTTTTATAAAATTTTTTTTTTGAAATTTTTTTTATAAATTTTTTTTTTTATAATTTTTTTTAATAAATTTTTTTTAAAAAAATTTTTTTTTTATAAGTTTTTTTTTATAAATTTTTTTTTTTATAAATATTTTTTATAATTTTTTTTTTATAAATTTTTTTTTTATAATTTTTTTTTTTATAAATTTTTTTTTTTTTTTATAAATTTTTTTTGATTGGAAAGTTTTTCGACAATTTTAGTATTTGGATAAGAAATAGTCTAATTGTCATTACTAGAAAAGAAATAGTCTAAGAACTCGATTTCTCGTTATTATGTTTTTATTTATTGCTCTGCTCTGCTATAATTTTGAGTTTATTGTTACAAAGTGCTCAACTGTAAGATGTATTAACACAGTTAAAATAAAATGTATTGCTTCCATTAGTGGCCTTATTGGCACATAACTTAAATAACAGAATCAGTGATTTTTTTTCGAATAGGCCAGTAGTCCCTGAGAGAGAGTACCACTACAATTTTTTTTTTATTCTTTTCTAAATATGCTCTTGACCCCATATTTGGCTTAAAATTTTATCTTGACGTCAAATTAACTTTTCTATTAAAACTAAATTTAATGTTTTATTTGATTTTTAGATGATGTCGATTGGTCCTTCATCAACTTGGGTGAACAGCAAAATTTTGCCATACGCACTGCTGGTATGGAAGATAAAGCATCAGCCTGTGAAATGTTGGTTTGTTATGCGCGCGAATTGAAAGATGGTTTTGCTGATTATGCCGAAGAGGTGGTGCGTTTAATGGTACCGATGTTGAAGTTTTATTTCCATGATGGAGTGCGTACAGCGGCCGCTGAATCTTTACCATACTTGTTGGATTGTGCTAAAATTAAGGGTCCACAGTATTTGGAAGGCATGTGGCTTTATATTTGTCCCGAATTGTTGAAGGTGATCGGCACAGAACCAGAAGCGGATGTACAATCAGAATTACTGAATTCATTGGCTAAATGTATTGAAACTTTGGGTCCAAATTGCTTAAACGATGAAGCAATGACACAAGTTTTGGAAATAATTTCAAAATACATGGGAGAGCATTTTGAACGCGCAGACAAACGTTTGCAAGCACGTAATGAAGAGGACTATGACGATGGTGTTGAAGAGGAGTTGGCCGAACAGGATGATACTGACACGTATATACTATCGAAGGTGGTGGATATATCGCATGCACTTTTCCTTACAAATAAGGCACAGTTTCTACCATATTTCGAACGTATCGCACCGCACTTTATCAAACTACTTGAACCGAATCGTTCGTGTTCCGACAGACAGTGGGGTGTATGTGCATTTGATGATATTATTGGTAAGTAATTTTTTTTTTTTTTTTATAGATTTTTCCATTTAGTATTTGTTTTCCTTAACGCTAACTTTAACATCAAAATCAATTGTCATACATATATAGAATATTGTGGTCCGGCTTGTGCGGCTTACCAACAGATCTTCACACCAGCATTGTTACAATATGTTACCGACAAGTCACCTGAGGTTCGTCAAGCAGCCGCATATGGTTGTGGTGTATTGGGGCAGGTAAGATTTCAAATTAAATAGTAATAAAAAATAAAACTACAAAATCTACAACTTATATTGAATTTGCAATTAAGTCGTTACTACTGCTAAAACACATGCTGCTGTAGAATATTTTTTTGTGTGTGCACTGCTTATGCTATATCAATATCCTTTCCTTTCCTTAGTTCGGAGGTGAACATTTTGCCGTCACATGTGCTCAAATCATTCCGCTGTTGGTGCAAGTTATATCAGATCCAAAGAGCCGTGATCACGAGAACGTTAATCCCACTGAAAACGCTATTGCAGCAGTATCAAAGATCCTTAAATACAATAGTAGCGCCATACCAAATGTGGACGAGATCCTAAATCTGTGGTATGAAGCTCGATAACGAAAATTTACAAATGTTTTATATACATACACAGGCTAAGTAATATTTCTCTATTTGACAGGTTTTCATGGCTGCCTGTTACAGAAGATGGCGATGAGGCACCTCATATTTATGGATACATGTGTGATCTAATTCAAGCCAACCATCCCATCATCCTTGGCAATAATAATAGCAACTTACCGCGAATCGTATCAATCATTGCACAGGCATTCGTTACAAAAGTTGTGGCATCGATCAGTGAAGTTGGCACTAGAATGTTGGGTATTGTGAAACAGGTCGAATCCAATCCGGAAGTGTTTCAGGCCTGTGCTAGTATATTGACTCCCGAGCAACAATATGCCCTTCAGGATGCCTATCGGGAGCTGGCTAGTGCAGCGCCGACAACTGCATAAAGACAACAACTACAGAAAATCAAATTATAGCTGCTGCAGCTGCTGTAGATATATTAACACTAATTCACAGTTATATATGTATGTTTAATCACAATTCAAGAAAGAGAAGAGTGCGTTTAAACAAATCTGCATTATAGTATGGTTAAGAAAACAAAACAAAAAAAAAAACAAAAAAAAAAATGTTAACCAGGCCTTGTGCGCAATGGGAGGCAAATATGCTGCGTATAATTTAACAGAAAGGAGTTAATTACAAATGTAGCTACAAAAGCGGCAATTTGTTTGCTTTTACCGAAACGATTAAATTCTATTAAAGCATTAATTGAAAGAAATAATCTAATATATATATAAATTTATATATATATATATATACGCCACATTATTATGTATATGTATGTGTATTGCAAAATATAAATAAATATGTATATACATATGTATATGAATTCACATGGTGTAAAATTTCTTTCGGTGAATTTCTGGTCTTATTTGCGGCTGTTAGTACGTATTTTGTCGGCAATTTATTTTTCATTTCATTCCATCTCAAAGTAGGTCAAAAACGTTTTTTGACAAGCAGGCTTCGAAACTAAGTACACATGCAAACCCATTGATGTTTTTGCACAATCAGCGCTGACGGCAACACAATCATCAACTCTTCTGGGCCCTACAACCAACGTGAATGTGAAAAATTTTTTTTTTTAGTTAAGTTGAGCAGAAATGTAAGATTAGTAATATTTAACAGATTTTTTTTTGTCAATTAAATATTAAAAAAAAAAATGTTAAATGTGTAATTGCGTTCGCATTTGGTGGCAAAGTAAGATGTTCCACGTGAAGTTAGGCAAGTTTTATTTGTCATCTTATTCGCTCCGACCTTTTTCGACTATTCATTGCTAGGCGCAAAGCCCTCTTTGCCACGACAGTACGGTACGGTACGGCTTCAAGTATGCGGTGAAACGACCAGACTGTCGCTCAATCGATCAATCTCGTTAATTTTGTCAATGTCCAGATTGTACTCTTTACTTGTTGCTAGACTCGGGAAGTTTCTAAGTCTGACTATTGACTGTACCATCGCCTTTATTACAAAGGATGTCAATGGGCATGTGTGATGAGTTCCTTGTTGCCTCTACCTTTGCACTTTGGGCAATATATATATTGTAAATTAATTAATTAATATAATTTAAATTAACTAAATCAACTAAAATGTTTTATTTTTAAAAATTGTATTTAAGAGATTTATGAATAATTCAAATTCAAAATTAGATTCAAGCGCCGTTTTAATGGCATTATAGCTTTTGACGAAAAACTTCGACCTTTAGTGGATGACAGACATCAACAGGTACTTCCTCGCCCACTGTTATAGAAACATCACCTTGTGGACAAGCGCTCAATGCTACCAACAGATTCATATCGGCAATAAATTCAATATAATCACCTTTACGAGCTGGACTAGGTTTGCAGAAATATTGTTGAGTGTCCTATCAAAGATTTGTCAAAATTACTCATACGCCATGTAAGGATCTCATACACTGTACTCTATACTCACTCTTGTGAAACCAGTACACATGAAAATATTCCACACATCATGTACATCTTCTTCACTCATACCACGCTCCTCCACCACAGCTTTCGTCAACGAACTATGGCAACTACCAATGCGATCTTTGCCCGTTATCAATTTGTAAGTGTAGTCATCGCAACGCGTGCCGATCACATCATGCAAAGAGCCACCATCCTCATCAATACCATAACTTGCCAGAGAGTCGTGAACGAAAGTGGCCATCGGACGTAAATAAGGTAAATTACTCCACAAACGATCGTAAACTTTCAAGTGTGTACTGTGCAATTGACGTGTTTTACCCGAATAGAAGTGCTCCTTGGTATTCTCCAAGTTCCATAAGTTCACGTCACCCACTTGTGAGCCTTCGCAAACCGTGACTCGGCATAAATCCCCCGCCAGCATTGTCCAAGTGCGTGCAGTGCGTTTTGGTACAACCAATGTCTCTACGAGCTCACCTGATAGCGCGGCAAACCGTTTATCGTCATAGACCTTTTGATTGACCTGCGCCGAGGCAGGTTTATTGTAACAAATTAAAGGTGAATGCTTCGGGAAAGTGCGTGGTTTGAAACCCCGTCCACACCAACCGCCATTATTTGCCATTTAGAATGTTTTAAATTACAGCAAGTTCCTGAATTTCACAACAAAAAGTCAATTTATTAATATTTTAGATGCGTTATTTTAACGAACACGGCTTAACGCTATGAAAAAGGAATATGAATGATCATCAGTATATATTTGATCTTTATATATTTGTAAGCTATCTAGAAGAGAGAAGTTGTCCGCACACCTAGAAATACACATGTGTGCGTGAGCTTTGGTTTAAAGCTCGAAAACTGATAACAGAAAGTTATGAGAGGAGCATTTTGCAGTATTTATTATTATTATTCTGTTGTACGAGTGTACTACACCTAAAGCAACAACATCCCAGCAAAATAAAAAGCATACAAGTTCATTCACAGGTAAGTGAGCGGAAATTTTATTGTTGTCACTTCTTTCGGTTCAATAAAGTCAATTAATTTAATATTTCTTCATCTCATTTGGACGCCCGTGATAGCCGTTTGGTTTGCATTGCGTACAGCCCTGCGGAAGGAATATAAAAAAAAATTTATTTAAATACAAAATTAAGTCACCCGTCAGCAGGGAGGGATATTTGTGTGTATTTCTGACATATAGTAAGAGCTCCTCTTAAAAATCCATCGGCCGTTCGGAGGCGGCTTGGTATTGCATTGGAGAAGGACCTCGGCTGGAAGTGCCAAATTATTATAATTATATAATATTTCTTCACTTCATTTCTTGTTTCTTTTATGTTAGTATTTTGGATTTCGTGAGCGTGAGTAAAAAGTCTGCTATGAGCCGAGAGTTCATGCGTTCAAGTGTCGATCAGATAAACGCCTTAATAGCTTTTTCTTATACGGTCTCCTTGGAGGAGTGATCGTCTGATAATCTCCAAAGCGTTTATAAAGTGCCAGTTAAGAATTGTCTCTGTTAATTTGTTCGACTATTTCTATATTTCTTCTTATTCTTGAAGTTGCATCTGCAAGGGCTGTTGATTCCAAACGATTTTTCTAAGATAATCTAATTTTATGCTGGGATGTGTACACGTATATGCAGATGCATATACATATATGTACGAGTATGTGCATGAGAGTACGAGTTGTTTATTATATCACGTAAACAAAAAATTGGCTGGAATAGTCGATGGGTTAGCAGTGCGTACTACCAAGCGGACGTACATGTTCGACAAAAACCAAAAATTATAAAATATAAAATTTATTTTTCTAATTGCGGTCACCTCTCGGCAGGGAGTTTCAAGCCCTGCAAGTGTATTTCTTAAAAGAAAATCAAAGCTCCTCTTAAAAGTACATGAGCCTTTCGGAGGCGGCTTAGATTAAACTGTAAGTCCCTCCATTTGTGGGAAAAACATTAACGCGTGCGCACACACAAATTCGGAGAGGAGCTCGGCCGAAAATCGCGTCAGCAGTTATAAAGCGCCAATCTTATGTATATTATGTACATAAATATATGTATGTATAAGGCACAAATCAATTTTATTAAAAGAAAAAGCTTTTGGAGATCAAACTGACGCGCGAAATTTTCGAGAAAATCATGAAATATTCTAAGGTGGCGGTTTCAATAAAACCACCTTAGCATACAAATCTGATCAATGGATTACTCGTATTTTCTTGAATTGAATTCGTATCAGCATTTTGATATTTATGCTTTATTAAACTGGTTATTGTTATTCTACAATGAAAAATGTATGTAAATGCTTGTATATTTTAAGAGAACGTAAATACTTAATGTTATTGTGAAATCTCGCCAAATCGGTACGGAACATTTTCTTTAAACGCTAAAGTATTTATTTTTACGCCTAAATGGAAACAAATATTCGCTACAATTATTTTTTAGAGTCTGCAATCTTTTTCTTCTTTACTAGCGGAGACACCGCTTACCCGATTATAGCCGAGTTAACAACAGCGAGCCATTCATTTATTCTTTTCGCTGTTTGGCGTCAATTGGAAATGCCAAGTACAGCCAGCTCCTTTTGGAGGACTGCAGTGGTGTCATTTGTTAGGGAGACATGACAAAGTTAGCGTATCTGTTGTCCCTTTAGGCGCTCAGCTATGTCAATGTCGCCGTATAATTCGCACAGCTCATCGTATTTGCCGACCCTACCGCAGAGAGTACCATAAAACTTTTGCAAAACCTTTCTATCGAAAACTCCTAACATCAACTCGTCAGATGTTTTGATCGTCCATGCCTCCGCACTATGTAGCAGGACGGGAACGGTGAGTGACTTATAAAGCGTGCTCTTTCTTCATAGAAATCGAACTTTATTTTTCATTTCACTGTTGGCAAGAGTGTTTTCAAAATAGACGAAATTATCTACGACTTCAAAGTTATGACTGTCAACAGTGACATGGGGACCGAAACTACTATGACAATTAGTTTGATGGCAGGAGATATTTCGTCTTGCCCTCGTTCATTACTAGACCCATATTCTTCGCTTCCTTATTCAGTCTTGAGAAAATAAAAAATATTTAAGAGTTAAGGAAAAAAGGATTAGATAGATCCCCAATCAAGTTTATTACTCACAAGGTACTGTTATTATTATTCATGTTATCAGTAAAATAAAATAATATGAGACCTGTATACTTATATTGTACATATACTTATATTGTACTTATATCGTACAGAGTTGGTGCTTTATATACGCTCATCCAACAACTGAAGAGACCAACAGTTTCTTAAGCCATCTCCAAATACCTGATGAATTTTTATGAGGAGCCTTTTATTCCTTTTCAGGAGCTCAAACGGAGGCCACTGCCGATGGCATTTACAATTTATTTAAAATTAATTTCCTACAACTTCATATGTTGGTCTGTCTAGGAATCAAATTCATGACCCGACATATGCAGCACGCATTGATAGCCACTCAGTTACTGTGACCGTCAGATATATTTATGTATTTTGATCGTTCCTTCACTATTGCATAAGTGGTGCTGCTTACACTACATTATTATTTACAAATATGACAAATTAGACCACATACGATCATAAACTGTGCAATTGGTGCGTTTTGCCTGAATAGAAGTGCTCCTTGATAGTATCAAGATTCCAGATTTACACTCACCAACTTGACAGCCTTTGAGAGGTTTTACACACCGGAAAAACCCACTCATCATTAGGGTAATTCCAGATTTCCTGAATGTAGTTGGGCCGAAAACGGTGACAGCCAATGCCTGGACAAAGTTCTGTGCGCAGAACCAACTCGTGAGTGTTTACTTGAGAGTCCTTTTAGATATTGCTGCGACACAAACCATCTGCCTGCTTTGTCCAATTAGGTAAATTTTAGTACAACCATTGTCTCTACGATTTCTCGAGATAGTGCTTCATACTGCTTACTCTACCGGATTGACTTACGTCGAAATTTATTGTTTGCAAAGAGTTTGCGTTGTGCTCGTTGTTAGACGCTTCCAATTACCAACTAATGTCTGTGAAATACGAATGGTCTCTATTTATACCAACTTTAGGTACAATGTCGTTATGTATTTTAACGGATTTATGTAGTTCAACATGAGAGTATTTGATAAAACAATGTACACACGAGTAGCTTAGTGCAAACTTGAAGGTCCCAAAAAATACATCTGCTCACCAAGTTTGGTTGAAGTATCGCAAAAACTGTGAGACTGGTTTGCCTACAAACAGACGGACATGGCTAAACCAACTCAATTCCTCATTAGGATCATATCTGCATAAGTTTTGATCGGTCTAACTCTTCTTCTCTTGATACTTACATACTTCGGATCAGCTTTTAGGATGCTTGACAATAGCGAAGGTAGAGAATGAAAGGGTTGGATTTCAAAATAGCTTATACGGGACGGGACAATGCTAAATATAGAAATGTCTATATTTTACTTGTTTAATGCTTCCATTCAAATTTAAGTTTTCGGTGGAGTTGTGTATTATTTGCTATCATTACAAAATTTCGGGTGGCGGGAACGTGATTTTCTTTGTTCAAATTAACGTTATTTATCAACGCGATTTCCTTCGAGAACCACACAATCTCTCTAGCGCCGCTCTAACATTTTAATACCATCTTTTGCTTTAAAACAGACCTTCGAACACTCGATAGTCTCTGGGAGGCGATAACCATTTCAGAAAAAATTTTGCGTATTTGATCCCTTTCGACGAATTCATCACTTGCTGTCCGCATATCTGGCATTTGTTTTGATTCTGGAGTGAGGTCATGGTTCTATGTTTCAACCATTTTCACATATCGATGTAAATATTCCAGCTTGTAGAGTATAAAAAATTGCACAAAATTTCTCAGAATCTTCTCTCAAAGGTAACCTCCCGCACGCATCTTCACATTTCGAATGTTCTAAATAATGTAGTGGATTTGGCAGCTTTTCCCCGCCTCATTTAGACGTTCATTGGCCGGGATTTTTCAGCCCATATGTTTTGTACATGTCCCAGGCTATAGAGAACCATAGTTACTTCTTTCATGTATTCACTCCTCAATTTAGAGCGCAATTGTCTCAAGTACATACATATACCTTCCATTGCAGCTCTCCGATTTCTGTGTTATCAGTATACTCGTGTGTACATGGTTTTATCAAATACTCTCATGTTGAACTACATAAATCCGCTAAAATACATAACCGCGGTGCACCTAAATTGGTTATAAATAGAGACCTTTCGATTTTAACAGACATCAATTAGTAGTGTTGAATGTTAAATAACGAACAGAACGTTACGGAAAAGCGATAAATTTGAATACAATATAATATCGTTAAAAAAATTAAGGATATTTCATTAAAATGGTTGGTACCTCCAATGGAAAACGGGTCTTTCACCAGTATAAACCCACCATTTGTTATAATAAACCTCCTTCGGCACATGTGAATCCTGCAGAGTACGAAAGTAGACGGTGTGAAGCGCTAGCTGGCGATATCATAGAAACATTAATGGTACCAAAACGCACTGCACGCACTTGGACAATGCAAGCAGGTGATTTGTGCCGCATTAGTATTTGCGAGGGCTCTCAAGTTGGTGATATGAATTTCTGGAATTTGGACAACATCAAGGAGCGCTTTTATTCGGGCAAAACGCGTCAATTGCACAGTACACACTTGAAGGTTTACGATCGTTTGTGGAGTAATTTACCTTATTTACGTCCGATGGCTACCTTTGTCTATGACTCTCTAGCTGCTTATGGCATAGATGATGATGGTGGTGCTTTGCATGATGTCGTTGGTACGCGTTGTGATGACTACACTTACAAATTGATAACGGGCAAAGATCGCATTGGTAGTTGCCATAGTTCGTTGACAAAAGCTGTGGTGGAGGAGCGTGGTATGAGTGAACAAGATGTACATGATGTGTGGAATATTTTCATGTGTACTGGTTTCACAAGAGTGAGTATAGAGTACAGTGTATGAGATCCTTACATGGCGTATGAGTTATTTTGACAAATCTTTGACAGGACACTCAACAATATTTCTGCAAACCTAGTCCAGCTCGTAAAGGTGATTATATTGAATTTATTGCCGAAATTAATTTGTTGGTGGCATTGAGCGCTTGTCCACAAGGTGACGTTTCCATAACTGTAGGTGATGAAGTGCCCGACGAAGTTTGTCATCCACTAAGCGTCGAAGTTTTCCGCAAAAAATGATATGGTTATTCAAATTGGAAAGTTTTAACATTAAAATATATATACACACATAAATAATATATCAATATGTATATGTAGTAAATATTTGATTCAAATGACTATTTATTTAATGTTGGAAAATTATATGCGGTTTATGGATTACTTATATGTAAGCAAAGGTATATTGATTGAAATAAATCTTTGAATAATTGTTTATAAATCATGATCGTTATTTAAAAAAGTGGGTTCGTATTACTATAGGTGATATTATTATGCCCGTAATATTCATATGGCGGTTGAATTAGTCGAGTTCTGGCTCGAGCAACATCCGAAAACATGATAATTTTATTTTAAATTTATTTCTCTAACTGTGATCGCTCCTCGACAGGGAATACCGGGATCGTCCGAGTGTATTCCTTATTTGGATTAAAACTCCTCAAAAAAATGTATCGGTCCTGCGGAGGTGTTTTAGTATAAAATATGGGTCCCTCTATTTGCTGAAAAAAACATTAAAACGCACACCACCAATTCGGGTAGAAGCTCGGCCACTCCAACGGTTATATATTGTCAATCATATATATATGTTCGTTTATGTTTATATATGTGTCGAAATGAAAGTACTCTTATGCCTATACATATATCCAGTACCATTATAAGTGGCCTTTCTTAGTACGTAATTTGATAGGTCGAGACGCTTTAATACACCGTCTAAATCACTTCTAGCTTGTCCAGATATAAAAGTAATTTTTATATTGTTTTTCTTGTTAAGCATCTACACACAGCTATCTCTTTATGATTCGCATTTGGCTGAGTTAAATGCTCAACCTATATCCGGGTTGTGACGGACCTATGTGGAGCCTTGGGTCACTAATAAAAGGAAAGGTGTTTAGTGGAATCAATTCAATGAAAATGAAGCACATTCGGAGAACAGACGAAAAATTTAGCCGCCAATTTAAAACAATTACAAATGGGTTGAGGCTGATCAACTTCAGTGGGGCCCGAAGTGTGGTTGTCTTCAATATTAAGAAATATGTGCGCTACGAGATCTAATATTGGCTCGGACCACGGTTTCAAGGCCAGAGAGTACTATATGTCTTCAGCTTGCTGAAAAGCAGTAACAAAAATAAACACCAACACATGGAACCTGACTCGCCATTCCATGACGTTGAAATAGACGTCATATTGACCGACTATAAAAAAGTCCAAATAGTAATTATTCACCTAGACAGTAACAAGTTGACATGAATTTAGGAAAGATGCAGAGGGGTTTTAATAACTTTAATATGAGCATTATATATTTATGTTCTATTTATTATTTATTGAAAAATGTTTAGTTTCAAATCAATTTTCTTTTATACCATATGATTCTACAAATCTTTAGTAACAGTTTAAAGTGACTTATTAAACCTTCTCTTGAAGGAGCTAAGTGTTTATGAACGCTCTCTAGGTAATAGCACACAACTTTGGTGGTTTGAGGCAAACAATTTCCAACACTGTTTTCATAAACAGCTGTAGCGCTACAAGAACGAAAACAAAATAAGCTTACCGGTATTTAAACAGTGTTTGAAAAATAATTCGTGTTTTAAATTTAAATCAATCCTTCTGGGAACGAGAGTAACTTAAACCACCAAAAAAGAAAAAAATCAATCCTACAACCATAAGTAGAACTATGCTTAAGACAACATGCTTCGATATTTGGCGGCAAGAAATAGAAACGCCTCGTATTGTTACGCTATGTAAGGAACTGGATGATAAACTAGGAGGTGGTATTGCGGCTGGTTTCATTACTGAATTTTGTGGTGGACCGGGTTGTGGAAAAACGCAATTGTGGTAAAATATTTACTATCTTCTCTTGAATTGAATTGTTAACTTCTTAAATACTAATTAAAATAGCTTTCAACTTTGTATCAATGTGCAATTCCCGAAATGCATTGGTGGTCTGCAAAGCAAGGCTATTTATTTGGATACCAACCAAGATTTTAGTCCAACACGTATACTAGGTAATATAAACTTAATACATTTACGCAGTAGCTGTTATTTATGAAACTAAATCTCTTGTAGAACTTGCCGTATCAACAGAAAAACGCTTCCAGCGCCTACTAGGCAAAAATAGTTTTGATCCGAGTTCAAAATGTGATTTTACAGCAAACTCGATATTGGCTGGGATTAATTACATATACTGTGAAAATTATTTAATGCTACAAACTGCCGTAGAGAATATACCGGAAATGGTCCGAAAGGATAAGGATGTAAAACATAAATTCCAATTTGGTTGACTCATTATGCATATCTCAATATATAAATGCATTTATCCATTTGAATATGACAAGATTAAAATTTTAACTAACTTGATGTGGTTTACAGATAAAACTAATCGTAATTGACTCGTTCTCTTTCCCCATTCGTGTAATCGAGGAAGTTGCTGAGCGTACTGGCATAACCTATAACTTGCTAACTATTTTGCAGCATTTAACAATGGAGTACAAGATTGTGGTGTGTAGTAAAATATTCATTGCATTTCAAATTCCATTTGAGTGAAATTTATTTATCATAGGTCGTCATCACAAATGAATTAACGACTCGTTTCAATGATAATGAGTGGAAAATATGTCCTGCCCTGGGCGATAGTCATGCACATAAAATTAACCATCGAATTATTGTCAGCAAATGCAATGAACAAAAATACTATATGGCATTGGTAGAGAAATCGAACATGATGCCTCAAGTGGCGATTCCTTTCGTGGTAAATTTTTTCGAGATATACGAGTATATTACATACACACAAATATTAATACTTTTCTTCTTTCCAGATTAAACATAATGGTATTAGGGGTATTTCTTAGAGAACATCAGTTTCACGTTTAATACATACTAATTCGATGCCATATAAGAGGTAAGCGCGTCAGAAACATATGTATGTGTGATATACTACCTTTAGCATCATGATAAAGTACGTGACGTGGAGATAACTTTTTACACTAAAGAATTTCACTTCATTTTTCATTGAGTTTAAAATCACTAACAAAGTGCGCATTCAAGTAAGAATATTCGCATTTAGGCTTAGACTAGATAGCTATCAGCTGAAAAGTTCGTTACGACATCAGTTCAAAAGCTCTCTGTTTATTAAAAAAAATTATTTTACAATTGATTCAGAAATAATTTAATGTCTATGATTCATTTAAAGAATTTACTAGATACATTACAACACATATTTGTAAATATACATACATATAGCATTGTACATATGTATATGGTTTGTTTTTATATTGGCAATTATTTTAAAATGGAAGTAGAGCGAAAGTTTTGTTGAATAAAAAATCAGATGACAGCAAATAGTTATTATTAGTTTTGAAATAATTTAATTTCTGCTAATTTTTGGTGAAACGATTCGAGCTAAAGCATTTGAAAGTTAGTTTTTGTAATACTTATCACTTTTCAGTCACGCATTTTAAGTACGAAAACAATAAAAATAAACAAATTAAAATTATTAGCAAATACAAAAATAACACAGTCGTATTAGAAAAGGAAACTTTGAAAATAGATTTTTTTTATTTAAAAAAGTACGTACGTACTTATGTCAGTATCCTATAAGTTTTACTTTAGTTTTTGTGTAGAAACTGCCATTATTATTATTATTACTATTGTGTTTGCTATTAGTCATGTTGATTATTTTTTTTTTTGTCATTTTTCGTTGTCTCCCCGTTTTCTTCGATGGTGTTTGCTTGGAAAACAGTTGACTTCTGAATACATGAGTAAGTATGCACACATATCTACATTTTTATTTAATATATATATCTACATATATTTAATAAATGACGTCATTTAAAGGAAACTAAGCAGATCTCGGATACAAAACACATCCAATAGCGTTATTTACGTATGACGTATGTAATAGCCGGTGTTTCAAAATTTTTTAACATAACATCTCTCAATATTCATCACAAAAAAGAGCGTAAGCGAGAGTGAGAGCGTGGACTTTTGCTCCACATATCAAGTCAAGAAAGCCGGTTGCTGTTTATTGTTTTTGTATTTTCTCGTCTCTCGCTTTTTTATGCTCCACAAATTGATATTCACCTATTCCTGTTCGCTTTCAGTAGTTCATCCAATAAAAGTAATTACAATTGTGTGGCTCATTTCAGTCTACGTTAAGGCGTTGAAGAAGTGAGTGTACAACACAGTTGGCAGTACAAAAATACATTAATTTGTGGTAAATACATAGAAATTTATTTAATATAGCTGAATTTTTAACTTTCACTGAGTGTGTTTTTCAATTTTTCGTTTTCAATTTCTTCTGCTACAACTTTTAAACTCGTGTGTTTGTGTGTGTAAAGGTGTAGTAAATAGTGAAAAATTGTGATTATATACAGGTTGAAAGGTGAAAATATGTATTTTCGATAAACTAGGCGCGGTTTTGGTAATAAATAATCCTGCACTCTTAAGAATTTATTTTATAAAATATTTAATTTGAATCCTTATAACAATTTGGTAATATACGCCGAGTGTTAAAAAAGGAATAATGCATATATAAAAAGGATACAAATTCAATTACGAATTCAATTTCTTCCATTGGAAAGCTATTCAAACTGAGCGCTCTAACAACAGCTGATGACATCATCGCTCTAACTCGAACCAACATCATTTGCAAACGACAACAACGGCAAAAGTGTCCCAGCATAAAAGTTGGATGGATAATGAAGAATGTTAAATTAAATAAACTTAACAATTACATATTTGTATAATGAATCAATCTAAACAAATTCAGTGACTAAAGTAAATTTAGGAAAATATATATATATATGTGTTAGCATGTACATGTAGACATTTTTATTTGGAAATATTCACAGATGTATATATGGACATTTGTTTCTACATATGTAAGTATGTATGTGTACCACATATACATATTATTTGTGTGCTTCAAAATCACGAATATATAAATATGTATATGTACATATATATATGCAAATGAGTATGCGATATTCTTTCTAGTAAACGTTGCCAACAAGGCAGAGGCTGATGTTGTTTATTGTAGAATCATTACTTTACATTAATACATATATACTAATGACCATACATATGTATAAGCAAAGTACTTAAATACACAAGCCATGAAATAAGGCTATAATAGAAAGTTTATAGCTCAATTTATATTTGTATTACTTGCTTATAGATAAGTGTACATACACGTATACACAGATTGTTCTATAGACATAAAACCAAAAGTGTAAACTGAAATAGCAGCTTATATAAAACAGCATCTGTTTAAGATCACATAGTAAAACAAAATGTAGCCGGAATGATACATAAATATATATGTATATAGAATACACGCAATCTGTACAATGTGATATATGTACACATTGGTATACAATACTATATAAAAAAGAGTAAATATTGCTAACTAATACAGCAATATGCACAGTAATTGCAACGGATGTGGGAATAAAAGCAAATATCATCTTTAATTACTTATATACAATTGTAAATATGTATGTATATGTAACAAACTTTTCTTGAGTGTTGTTGTAGATGTTTTAAAGCGATTGGCACCTCTATACTTCATAATATTCATAATAATACTTAAAATTTTAACTTATTGCTTGGTACTCGCAATGAAAACCCTTATTTATGTATGTATGTATGTAATTAGGTGAATTTTCTCATTCCTTGTACATGTATATGTTTCTACGTATGTACATGTCGTATACCATTGTACGTCATATGACTCAGTGAGGCTCTTCAACCTTGCATTTATGAACTTACATACTATATACTATACATATGCATGTGCACTTTTATTTATGTTTATTTACTGATGATTCATTGGTACATATTCAACATTTTTGCTAGCAATTAGAAGTGCATAGGAATTGTAAAGATATTAGTTTAGCTAATTATAATATAGTTCTTTTTTTTTTGCAAGCATATGTGCATCTTAATTATATGTATATTTACTATTTATTTCGTTCATTTAATTTAATTTTTTTTTTTCAATTATTGTATACTATTTTTATTAATTTTTACCATTTTTTAATTTTCCTCCGCCTTTTCTTGCGAAAATCAAAGAAAAGGAATATTCCATACCGGCAAATATTTTAATTAGCAGATTGTTAATATGTGCTTATGTAGAAATATTAAACCCATTTACTAACACATACATATAGAGAGATACATTGATAGAAATATGAAAGTTGCTAAGTGGTCTTGTCACTTTCCTAAAATGCTACTTTTCCAAAGGTGTTCTAATATAGCAGATGTCCATACGCACATGCACATACATACGTATTTAGTATGTACATGTATGTATATAAGATCATATATTTGGTCTTTCGAATCTTTTACTTTTTTAGCTTTCGAGCAAAGTTTGTAAGAGCTGGAGAATGTATAATACTCAGTCAATCCAGTAATTTCGTTGCAACAATCAATTCAATGGCATATGCTAATTAGTGTTCCCATAGCTCCTTCTTAACGCTTTTGCATGTATATATTTACATTTGTGCTTGTTATTCATCGCTTATCAGACCAATTTAAGTTTTATTTGGCTTTTTGAGCGTCACACTCCAATTCTTTTGTGTTTATTGGTACTGTAGACTTGTATATATATATATATATATATATATATATATATATAATTTATATATATATAAATATATATATAATTTATATATATATAAATATATATATAATTTATATATATATAAATATATATATAATTTATATATATATAAATATATATATACAAACATATGTGCATACATATATGGTTTCAATGTTCATATGCGAAGCTAAAACCAGTTTTCGAAGAGCTAACCAATGAGCCACGTCACTGTACGCATTGCTCCAACTTAACTTTTTTCTGATTTCAGCTTGACTTTATCTAAGTTTCTAGAATATTTTATATTTTTATAATTTCTTTGAGACATTACAATATTCGAATCACGAGTCTGATTTTAAAGGTACATACATACATATGTACATATTTGTGGTTTTACTCTTTCAAAGTTCACTTTAACTTTATTCTTCACATTCTCTACATTTATTCATTCATTCGCTTTTGCTAACATTGCTTTTTGGGTGTGTTGCTGCTGCATACACTTGTTACTTTAAAGGCGTCATTTTTTTATTTTAATATAAAATTATAAAATTTGTACGTGATTTTGTAGGTATTAAATTGAATTAAGCTTTGAAATTGCATATACTCGTAGAAAAATCAACGTTGAGATTTTCAGTGACGTGTTCATGAATCCAATAAAATGAGCTCAAACGTTATTCGCAGAACAAGAGCTTTCCATTATGCAAGAGTAATAATATTTTAGTGAATAATAGTTTCCATTGTTGTTTAATGCTTGCTTACTTTTGTGCGAAATTTATCCACCCACACCGAACGCTTGGTAGGTGAGTGTATGCATGTACTCATATAATATATACATACAGTACGTATGTATAATAATAATATTAGTATGTTACTGAGTTCCATTAGATCGACTCATCGATCAAAAATATTTTTATTTGTACAGCTTAATTGCTCACCAAAAAGAAAAGAGATAGACCCATCAAAATTTATACCGATATGAGTTGATGTATGCCTGTACGCAGGTTAGTCCCTCAGTTGCACTGTATAGATCAGACCACTGGAACATATGTGTATATGCACGGCCGATTATTCAGATTTGACATTTTGGTTATTAAAATCGTCAAGAAGCAGCTAAAAACTTAAAATTCGACATTCTACGTACTTATAATGAGCTACACATCCGTATGGGAAATTATCGACATTTTCAGATATGAAGTTTTGGTGCAAAACTCCCTTGAAAAGGTATCTAGACTCTAAAATTTGGTATTCTCAATACACATGGTGTACACTATATGGTTGATGAAAATTATCGATATTGGAGGCCTATATCATATAGCCCCCTTACAACCGATTTGTTCAGTTAATTAATTTTAAATCCTAAAATCACATAATAAACAATAAATTTGATATGAATTTGTCATGAAAGTATAAAGACTTCGGCATGGCAGAATACTGCTCTTCTCGCCTGTTAAAATATTGAGTTTTGGTCATTTAGTTTTTACAAGCATCTCTTCTTTTTTATTTGGAAAGTGAAATTTTCAAAATGGAATTTTTTAAAGCTCTGTTTTCTACCTTACGTATTTATGTAAAATATAAAAAATCGTCGGTTCACAATTAGATATATATACATATAACATATACTTATTTATGTGCATATCTATTGTATACCCAAATTGCTAAACAAGTTCATTACTACAAAAAGCGTAGCTTCTCTATATGCAATCAATAGTTTTTTTCTAGTTATATAGTACATACATATATAAGCATATCTATTTAATTGCCGCAGGTGAAATTGCCTGTATAGATGTCGCCAACTTGACGCAGATGTAATTTTCATATAAATTTATAAACAATTTTCAATTTATATATGCATTTGTGAATTATAAATTTGTAGATATGTTTGTATGTTTTGCATCTCATTGTAGAATAATCAATGCCGCATACATATATAAATAAAATTGAATATATGTATGTATATATCATATAATTGGTGCTTTATAGCCCCTGGAGCGATTTATGGCCGAGCTTCTGCTTGTAACTGTGACGCGAATCACCTCCGTACGGCTGTTGGATTTTTTTTTTATATTATTCCCAAACCGACCTCCAGACGGTCTGTCTACTACTTGTTTTTTTTTATTGTCTACACATTCATAAGTATGTATTTCTATATATATTTGCATACATAGCGCAGATAATACAACATGATGGCGCCCAAGTGACCCGACACAACTTTCACTTTCTTCTAGTAATAAATCGGGCAATTTTCTGCTGACATTGAGGTCATACTTCGTTTTCGATTTGGTCTTAATCGTTTGACCAACTTTTTAAAAGTGAATGCAATGGGCTTTGTGCTTTGTGCTAATATATATGTATATATGTACATATGTACGTATGCAGTATCAGTTTTTGGATCTGCTCTGCCACAAAGATTTGTTGTCTTTTTATGTCGGAAAACGATGAAAAACCTAATGCTCCGTCGACAAGTGGGTGTGAATCGGCGCCATTTTTGAGACTCATTGAATACCTTTTTGGGCATTAAAAGGACTTTTGTGAAAAAATAACATTCGGGAGGATAAGTTACAAACGTATTTCAATGTGCTAAATAATAAAAAGAGGCCATGCGTGCGCTACCGTATCAAAGCTTAATGTATCTACAGACTGTTTTCGGTTTTATAGCATGAATGGCGTCATCATTTAGAATATTTAAATAAAAATATATGTTTATATGTACATACGTGCAAAAAAGTTATATGTTCTATGATAAATTAAGAATATTAATTTGGCTGAAGTGGCGATATACGCATGTTGAATATATTTATCATATGTATATATATACACAAAAGGAGCGGCTCTCCTTTATAGTTGGCGGTGCTGTATTAGGCCAGCTTTTTTTTATTTTTTAATATTTTAATTTTTTGTTTAATGATCTGTTGTTTTTCAACAAAAAATTACGACGAATCGATAAGAAATTACCGCGTTCCACCATAGGTAAGGTCATGGACTCGAACCGTAGCCAGATATGTAAATATATAGAAAATGGCCAAAATCATAGACATCTGATTTTTAGCAAAATAATATTTTTTCTATTTCCGATCGCCTCTCGGTATATTTCTAACTTGAAATAAAAGCTCCTCAGAAAAATTCATCAGTTGTGCCGGGCCATTTTATTCTGGTATTGGACTCTTTCTTTCATAGTATGATTGGGGTCTGGTTTCGATATTATAACTATATACAATACATACTCCACATTTGCCACCAGTATGATCTTTTAAGTAAATCAGTAAATCGTGATGACGACTTTATTTAACGATTCGTGAGTGAGGCGGTTACCACATGCCTTATACCCAAATTTTCCGAAGAGTTGCATGTTATGAGCCAATGAAATGCCAACCCTTCTGAAAATAATAATCAATTACAATTTCCTTCACTTTCTCAACATTTGCGGCGGTGGTCGTCCAGGGTGCGCGTTGTCAGCTAGATTTGCTCGATCATCTGTGAAAACATTGCCTTGAATGAACTCACCACCACGTTGCAGTGTTTTTGGTAGTCTCATGCTCATATTTATTGAGACCATCGAAGTGTGGTTGTCACAGTCCACATTTGCTTTGAGTTTTGAGCCGTGTTTGTGATTCTTGTGTAGAAGAGGTTGTAGCAGCATATACTGTTGGCGGTTTAATCCAGCTCCTTCGGCAATTTGCAGGATAATTTTTTTGCGTGTCCTAAACAGCAACTTCCTCAAGGTTGTATTCAATTTGCGGTCTTACTAACGCTGCATAAATCCACTACACAGTTGAGTTTGCTATCTTATACTATCCCGAAATACTTGACGACGGTAGAGAGGGCGGTCTCCACACCCTTTACTAGCGGTTTGTATCTTCTGATAAATAAGACCATTTCGGTTATTGCTGAGTTTACAGCCAGCCCCATGCACTTGCACGAGTCCCTTACTACTTATATGTTGTCGCCAGGTTATGCCACTACAACGCAATCCTTTCTGTTCAGTTTTCGAATTGCTGTGAGACATCACAACAGTGAGAATCCTTTCTTCGATCCACCCGTGTAAACCGTGTAGTATTGTATCGACTGTCTTGCCCTTAGAGTGTGCGTGTTGTTTCCTCGATAGGCTGTACGGGTGATCTGCCGAGCAGCATTTCCTTATCGAAAAAGAAAAAAAATTTGCAGCAAATACTTGTGTATCGTAAAAATATAGTAAACTTAATACCTATGTACATATGTTTTTATATATTTTCATAATTTTACAAAATATTTATTATCATTTTATTTTTGCCTTTTCTTTTCAGCATAATTTATATTATTAACTTTTTAAGCAACTAAACAAACTAACCAAACAAAATGAGCTCTGCTGAATATTACCCATTCAAGGTGAGTCTATGAAAAAAATATTAATTATTATTTTAATGCAAACAATTTTTTATGCTTTGGTAATTTACGCATACTTAATAGAGACGCTTACCCATATATGTATGTATGTATAAACTGGGTTGCTCCAAAAGATACCGGTGGTTTTTCGTACAGACAAGAAACAGCTTGTCACTATTTAATGGTATTTTTTCCTTTGCCAGTGATAAGCTGACGCTTTTAGCTTGCCCGCAAAAGAACATTTTCGCCATATTTGTTTTATTATTTCCTTAAAGGAAAAAATACAGCGCAGGTTGCTAAAAAGTTTCATAATTTGTAAGGTATAAGGATAAGGCCTTAAAAGAAACACAGTGTCGAAGTTGGCTTGTCAAATTCCGTTCAGGATATTTTTCACTCATAGATAAGCCACGTTCAGGTCGGCCAAGTGAAGTTGATGATGACAAAATCAAAGCTTACATCGAATCGAAACGCCGTGTAACTGACCTTGAGATCGGAGAGAAGTTGATTATACCAAAATAAACCGTTCATAATAATATACGATGTCATGGACCACATGAATTGAAAGAAATTCATTCAAAAAGCCGCTTCAACGCTTGTGATATGCATCCTAAGCGCAATGAATATGATCCGTTTTTAAAGCAAATTATAACTGGAGATGAAAACTGGATTGCTTACAAGTACGGCAATCGAAAATGATCATGGTCCAAGCATGATGAAGCGCCACAAACCACTTCAAAGGCTGATATTCACAAAACGAAGATTATGCTGTCAGTTTGGTGGGATTGGAAGGGTGTGGTATACTTTGAGCTGCTTCCAAGGAACCAAGCGATTAATTCGGATGTCTACTGGGAGCAACTGGACAAATTAAATACATCCTTTGGTTAAAGTTCTTTATAAAATTAAAAAAAAAAAAACAAATCGCCGGTTTGTTTTTGGGCAAACCAATGTACCGAGAGCTGTTGTGTTTTGAATTTTTTAGTTTCTTTGTTTATATATACATTAACATATATACATTAATATATCTATATAAGTACGTGTAAATACATCTTCCACTTTACTGGCGTATACACATACATATACATATATAATCGCCGCTTTATAACCGCTGAAAAGGTTTTCGGCCGATTATTGGTCTTCCAACAAATGCAGGGAGCTACAGTTTATTAAATATAATTCGCCTCCGATTGGCGAAAGCTTTTATTTCATGAGAGAATGCACTCGGAGGGCTTGCCATTCCCCGTTGGATGTTAGCTATACCCAATGCTACCCACTCGTCTATCGTGACCGCAATATATATTTATATATATATATCTCTTATTTTTTTTTTAAATTTTTTTATTTAATAAAAAAATTATATCACAAAATTCTCGTGTCGCGAATGTTTGTACTAAAACGTCTACGAAATAGGATTGATTCCCTCCCTTTAATCAATGAAATATCCCTCGCATACATCTTTTTTGATTACTTCAGTTTTGTGGTTCCAGTGATAAAGTCTTATTTTGGAATTAGAGCAGCTGCTGGATTTTTTTTTTTAGTATTTTTCTTGTCAAAAGACATTTGTTGTCGGGGCTACCCAAGATAGTAGCTAGGGGTTCAAGAATTTCCCCGCGGTAAGGCATGGGTCTATATACCGGGAAGGACCGGGTATTTATCTGGACCAGCACTGTCACTACAAATTCAGAAAAAAAGTTTTCTATAATTTTACTTCAACGGAAAGCCGAGCCTAAAACTCTCTAGTTTGTCACATGCACCGTTACAGTGTCTGCATTACTTAAATACACGAAATTCGTACTCGTAATTCTCTGATACTGTTATCTGCTTTTTCGTACGGTAAATTCTGGTAAATATTTGCAAATATTATATACATACATACAGTTTTTGTTTGACCAATTTCCCTTATCATATCTAAGAAGAAAACGTTTTTATATATACATACATATGTACATATGGGATTGTCGCCACATAAGAAAGTTCTCTGAAAAAAGGAAAATAAATAGTTAGTGCAAGAAAATGAAAAATAGTTTAAATAAATTTATAAGTATTGCTTAGTTTTCCCCATGTAGGCATTTACATGTCTACGTATTTATGTATGTCTGTATATTTCGAATATTTTACTTTTCACAATAAATGCATTTTTTTATGCAATACTCATATTATTATCTACCTATGCTTTTTTAGTGCACCCCCACCGTCTACCCAGCTGATCCCTTCGATCCAGTCGAAGATGCTGCCATTCTACGCAAGGCCATGAAGGGTTTCGGCACCGATGAGAAAACCATTATCGAAGTATTAGCTCGTCGCGGCATTGTACAGCGTTTGGAAATCGCTGAAGCATTCAAAACATCCTACGGCAAGGACTTGCTCTCTGAACTGAAGTCCGAATTGAGTGGAAAATTTGAGAATGTTATTGTTGCACTAATGACACCATTACCACAATTCTATGCAAATGAATTGCATGATGCCATTTCGGGTATGGGTACCGATGAGGAGGCGATCATTGAAATTCTCTGCACGCTCTCCAATTATGGTATTAAGACCATTGCACAGTTTTATGAGCAGAGCTTTGGTCGTTCATTGGAATCCGATCTGAAGGGTGACACCAGCGGACATTTCAAACGTTTGTGTGTGTCATTGGTGCAGGGCAATCGCGATGAGAATCAGGTTAGTAAATATTTATTTTTTATAATGTATATATATATATATGTCTAAATGAGCTTATGTAAATGAAATGAAGTCAAATAATGTAATTCTTTTTCCTTTTAATTCTTTAGGGTGTAGATGAAGCCGCAGCTGTTGCTGATGCACAAGCTCTACTGGAAGCTGGTGAAGGTCAATGGGGTACCGATGAGTCCACATTCAATTCGATTTTGATCACACGCTCCTACCAACAGTTGCGCCAGATCTTCCTCGAATACGAAAATATCTCCGGAACTGATATTGAAAAGGCGATTAAGCGCGAATTCAGCGGCTCTGTGGAACGTGGTTTCCTTGCCATCGGTATGTATATATATATGTAATGCTTAATAACAGTAGGTTTTTCTATTTATGTTTTCACCATTTTTTCTTGTAGTGAAATGTTGCAAGTCGAAGGTTGACTACTTCGCTGAACGTTTGTACGAGTCTATGCATGGTCTGGGCACCAAGGACAAGACTTTGATACGTATTGTTGTTAGTCGTTCAGAAATCGATTTGGGCGACATTAAGGAAGCATTCCAAAATAAATACGGCAAGAGCTTGGAATCATGGATAAAGGTAAATAAAAGTTGTAATATATTTATGCACTTATTAATCTAACAGTAACAAGCTAGAGCTTTTCATCGATTTAGAAAAAAAAACGTAAATTATTCAGCCTTATTGGGAATTTCATGTGAACATTTTTAATGTAAAACAAAAATAAATTTCGATATTTCTTTTGTTCTCTATCAAAATTTCCACACAAACTTTTTCATATGAAATTCTCAAAAAGGCCGATTATGTCTTTATTGCTTGTGATTACTAATTTATTTGATAGCTAAACGGTGTTGGTGGTCTATTCATAGTGTCAGTTTTTTTGAATCCTTTCGGTAGAAGTAAATCTGCATGTTTAGAAGCACTAATGTACATTCATGTATATGTATATACATATATTTTTGTGGAAAAAGTATTTGCCAGTGGAAATGCTTTGTTGTGAGCAACGTCAAAAGCTAGAAATTCTACATGTTTATAGTTCTTTTTTGTTCTTTATTATCTTGACTTGAAGTGCATTCTAAAAGTTGGTTGTTTTTATTGCTAGTTAATAACTAAATAATAATAAAAATCTAATTTAGCGAAATATTGAGACGAATTCGAATTGATAAGGTAGTCAACAAACCCTTTGGGTATTTATATCAATTGTAAAGTCAGTTATATTGTTTTGATTTTTTTATGCATGTACATATGTGTGCATAAGTATATGCAAGAGCTCTCTGAAGCAATACGTTCTCTTAATAAAGTTGAAATAAAAAATTGTATACTTAGCATACAAAAATTAATTACTAATACGTAGATAAAAGAATTATGCTTGCATCTTAAATTTTCTACCTTTGTGTTTGCTAAAGCTTGCTTTCTTTTGAAAAACCCCCCCCATTGCTAGAAAATAGTTGAAGTTGTATATATATATACATGGTTTAAAATGTTTCAAATTTTTTGGTTGGATTTTACTTTTACGTGTATCGTTACAAAAACTTTTTAGTAAACAATGATCTCTTTTAACTCTCCGAGTTTTTACGGTGACAAGAAGTTAACATTATTAAAGGATTTATGGTGCAACACCACAAATAATTTTGTTATTTTTTTTTTGCTTATAATTTCTTAATCGTTTCTGCTTCAAATCCAAATTCAAAATAAAATAAAAATATTCGACTTTTTCAGGGCGACACCTCTGGCGATTACAAACGTGCCCTATTGGCTATTGTCGGCTTCTAAGAATGAAAATATTAAACGCAAAAGAGCATATAAAACTGAATGTATTTTTAATTTACTAAAAGTACCTAATGCTGCAAAAAAGAAAAATTGTCTAAACGAAAGGAATCAGTTCATGTAATGAAAGTGGCGGTTAAAATGCCCACAATTCTCCTAAAAGTATGCCTTATTTATATGCACGTCAAGGCGCACACTTTTATACATACACATATATATATACAAATAAAAAAATCTCAAACGACATTCACAACCAAATTACCTAGCAACTATTATATCTGCCTAGAAATATACAATAAATGATTTATGGACATACATATGTATACATACTTATAACAAAAAAAAGAGCGGTTAACTATTTTTGAAAAATTGTAGATTTTTATAAAGTAAAACATGTGCCTCGCGGCGAAATTTCATATTACCGATTCCATTACATCTGTATTGTTATCCATAAACATTCATGTCGAATATTGTTGTTTTATTCTTAAATACTATTTTTTGTTACTATTTGAATATTGTCCAATATAAAAAATAATAGTTTTATACATACAAAATATTTGCGCTTGATATTTTTTCCTTAAATTACTTACGGTTATATACAAATGTACATCTATACATGTGTATATAGATGATTCAAATGCTTATCAATAAATTATGCATTTCACATACAAATAAAAAGGTATTTATTTATCTCATGTTGTTGCTGTAGTCATGTCTCTTTTGTCAATGGTATCACAACAAAGCTACTAAATATTTTTATTTTTTGATAAAAGCGGTAATACGATAATAAAAAGTTAAATAAATAAAATGGGCGATAACAAAGAGGATTTAGGGGATACGGATGCTTGAAATACACGACTAAAAACTCCGTCTTGTATAACATATATATAGTAAATATATAATATAGAATGTTAATATAAATTATGATAAGTCATTTTTTTATTTAAATATTTTTAACGTAAAACAAAATATTCTCCGAAACAGCTGTCATTTCTACCATTTTTCTTTGTTTTATAACAAAATATTCAATTCATACAAACAAACCAGGCCAGTTTATTTAACACTTATAACAAAAATTGTTATATAGTATGGCCGCAAAAACAATTATGACATATATGAATTATTTTTTTCGTTTGATGCTAATAATACAACAAACAAACATACATATATATGTATATAAGATCTCGGTCAAAAATTGCTTCAGCGGTTACAAATTAACAATTATATATAAAGAAATTTTTATCGAGTATTTCGAAAGAATTATTTTAATTTAAATTTTCAATATTAGAATACCACATCGTGCTTCTGATTCGCAGGAACGGAATATTGTGGAAACTACATTTCTTGGTCAGATGAAAATACGCGTCGTTTCGGTATAAAGTTCGACTTTTCTCGAAACTATAGCATTTCACTCGAGTTGTTGTTGTTGTTGTTGTAACCGCAAAATTATTCCCCAAAGTCCTTTTTGGGAATGTTGCGGGAGTTACAGTCCTTGGCCGGATAAAAATCCGGGTCGTTACGGTATAAAGACCCGACTGTCGCGAGAACTATTGGATTTTAGTCGCTTCTTATGACAGGCATGCCTTACTGCGGGTAAATTCTTGAGCCCCTAACCCGCAGGGGGTGGACTACAGTTACAGTTAGTTATTTAATTCGTTAACCCCTATCCTGAGGATCACCATAACACATTATCGAATGCTTGTGTTGCTAATCATGCCTTAACAAAGTGTAGTAGAACAAATTCGGGAGAAATGAAATTTTCAGTGAACTTTACTACTTTAGAAAAACATACATACATTGCTTTCGATTAAAAATAAAACAACATAATTTGGGATAAAAAAGCAGGTTATTCTTATGTATGTATGCATGTATATTTGGAAATCATTTTAATACATAAATTCTTTCCTTATTAAGCACTCACAGGTAGCTTAATACAATATATTCTACGAGAGGTTTCTACACACTTTACAATTTTATGTTATCAAAATAACAAATAAAAATTCACTAAATGAAACAAGAGAAATGCATTCTAACAACCCAATTAACAAATCAAACTTTTTACCGTTAACTGCTTGCCATATCATACCTATGTAAATATAATATATACATACATACATATATCAGTTAAACACAATAAAATAATTAATGGCTTGTTTTCCATTTTCTCTTTCTATCTCCCTTATTTATCACTCTAAAATTAAACACCTATAAACCTTCTTCCGACCATGCTGCACTAATATACTACTTGTCCTGTGTGTGCTTTGCAGGAGGATTCTCAGTCCGAGATCGGTTTTGTGCTTGTCACTATGGTTGCCTGGTAGAATGCTTGACGCCTAGAAAACCAGCACGTATATATATATATAATTAATCAGGCGAATTGTAAACAACATAGTGCAGCTCAAAACGAATCAACCGATGAAGCTTAGCTTCTGAAATTATATAACGCCTTTATTACTATACATACATACACAATATGATACTCTATATTTGAAAGTGATTCGTTTATAAAACAAAGAACAAGCAAATGATCGTAGTTCGCAAGTTACAAATAAATGTGCTTTAATTATATTTAATTTTCCAAAAAGTAGTATTTAGAAGTTTTTAATGTATTATTTTTAAATTTTACTCGAATTTCACTCATTCTTATTTGAAAACACACACATATATAAATATGTAGATGTAGTATTCATTAATTCGTTTATTAAAAATATTTGGCATCTAGTTCTTTTGTAAATTTTTTTATATTGCTTTTATGTATATGAATTTACATTTTGTACAATATATACATACATGTGTTTGATGTAGTATTAATATGCATAATTTCCAATGGATAACCGATTTCTTTCAATAAAATATTTCACACCTAAAGATAGAGCCTTTTATTTTTTGCAAAATAAATATATGAATATTGTCGATTTTCTATTTTCTATTTATTACAGGACGACGTGAATGGCGATACCGGTTACGCTTTGAGTACATTGGCTTCCTACTGAAGTATGCTGTAGCATAATTATATATCGTTATACTTTTTCTAAAAAGTGTCCTCACTCATCTTGCAATATTTTTGAATCATTTTGATGATATTCGGAATTCATTCATTATGAGTTTCTTACATCTGGTATTTACTATATCGAGTGCTTTAAATCATTAAGAAAATAAAGTTATTAAGATAGTTTTCCTGTGTTTTATTTATTTACTTGCTTATTCCGGATTTACATATATCAAACAAACAAATTTGCTAAAAAAATATTTTTTGTAGCTGGATAATTATGCGCTTAAATTAACACTGTTAAATTTAAATTTAATTTAAAGGAAATTCATAAGAAATGGGCACTTTTCGTAATAATTACTTGTGAGCTTATAGATCATAAAAACTGTTTAAATATTTCTATTGAAGTCATTTCGCTATCCGATCGGTGTATGCCGCCCAGAGACGATCGCGGTAGAGTGCCGCTGCCTTTTCAACAGATTTTGCTTGTAAAATTCCACGTCCCACTACGCCAATATCAGCGCCTCGGACCTGCACTACATGTTCGGGTGTTTGATATTGTTGTCCCAGCTGGTCGACGGTATCATCGATTTTTACACCTGGTGTAAGTTGCACCAAACCAGGGAAATGGAAACACTTTGCTGACTGGCAAACTATACCAGCAACAAAGTCTATATCACCACCTTCGGTGGCAATTTTGCTAGCAGCTTCCGAATACTTAGCATCGATTAAGCTTCCTGAATTTGATAATTCAGCAAGTAAGAAGACACCACGTTTTCTTCCATCCAATGCATTTTCAGTTATACCCGCTTTGAGACCTTGCAGTATGCTACGACCGCTAAGTGCATGCGCTGTAACCAAATCCGCCCAATTTGCTACCTTATATATGCCCTTGCCATATTGCAGAGACACTGTATTGCCTATGTCAGCAAATTTGCGATCTTCCATTATTAAGAAATTGTGTTTATCAGCTAATGCTCGCAACTTTGTTGGGAAGGAGTCATTGAAATCCTCAACGATATCAATATGTGTCTTCAGCACACAAATATAGGGTCCACAAACATCTGCAATATTAAGAATCTCTTCGGATTGTGTTAGGTCAGCGGCTAGGCAAAGATTTGTCTTTTTGCTGGCCATCAAGAGGAAAAGCTGTTTGGCAAGTTCAGACTTCGCTAAGGTGGCACGATGCTCAAATGAAAGTTTAGTGCGTGAGAAATCGTTGGCTAAAATTTTGGAGAAAAATTAATATAAATAAATAAGATGAAGATAATTAAGTGGATTTCGGCTCAATATAATATGTAGGTTTCAAATATGTAATATAAATTTAGTTTAATTAATTTTTATTCATTGGTAATTTATGGTTTGAAATCTGAATCTGCGCTTCGTCTGCAATATGTACATTGTATGTAACAATGTTTATTTCTAATACAATACATATATTTACATTTTTTCATTTTGGATTGAACTGACTATATTCACTCATGTCACCTATCTGGAGGGCTTAAAGGGAGATACATAAATAGCGTATAAATTTAATTGATTCTGTACATACACATATGCATATGATTAATTTGCTGAACAATTTTATCTTTATTATCTTTTATACTGGCTTTTAATATACTACTTCAAACGAAACACTAATGTAATTATATTATATTAATGCCATAAAACCAGCTTATCAATTAATATCTCTTAATTAGCAGGAAATCATAATATAGATTTCGTTCTGAAATATTATTATTTATGATATCAAAATTAGTTAATATTTTTACTGCTATTAAAGTTATTTTAATAAGAGCAGGGGTTAATACGCTGAGTATTGGCTTCTACATTTTTTTCTAGTTATAAATTCTTCACTTTTGTTATTATTTACTTACGAATACTATTCTGCTGAGGATTGACAAATGAACCATCTCCTTTGATCTGAGAGGCAGCTATATATCTTGCAACCGCATCAACAGTGTCCCGTTGAATTTTACCCGCTTCATGCAATGTATTAAGGAGGAATGACAATGTAAATAATGAGTGCATACGCACTTGATGGTCGGCTATATTTTTAGCACCGCCTTGCTCACGATCCACAACCACTACAGCGTCAGTCACAACAATGCCTTCCTTTTGTAAATCACGCACTGTATCCAAAACGCTTGAACCAGATGTCACAACGTCCTCTACTATTAGGCACGTGTCACCAGCATTGTAGAGTCCTTCAATTAACTTTTTTGTACCATAATCTTTTGCTTCTTTACGTCGCACCAACATCGGAGTACCATGCTGCACTGACACTAGCGTAGCTAAAGGCAGTGCTGTATAAGGAACACCACAAACATGTTTTGCTGTCAATTGGTGTTCTTTGATATAGGTAGCAATCAATTCGGAAACAGTATTCTAAAGTATTAAAAATAGTTTTTATATGAAAAACACCGTTTTTTTTCATTATTAAGCAAAAACTTACCATCACTTCAGGATAGCTGACAATCACACGTAAATCGAAGTATACAGGTGAATTAATTCCCACCTTCATCTTGAAATCGCCAAATTTGAAAGCATTAATTTCATATAATTTTATAGCTAATGCTTTGCGTCCGTCACTCATTTTAGCAAGGGGTGTTTGCAACAGGTGTCGATGTAGATTAATGGAATGTGTTTAATTGATATATCACAGAAGTTGCACGTTTTTGGAAGGGTTAAAAATTCACGCGGGCCTTTATGATAAACAGCTGACTTTTGCTATCAAAAAGTGTGTGAAGATATTCCTACCCGACCGGTGTATAGGGTTGACAGCATTGTATAATTTACGGTGTGTTCCATTGCGTCATTTAGACATAATGAAATTTCTTATTAGAATAAAATTATTCCTACTTCAAATTTGTTCTAAAGAATAAAGTAATATAATATATGAAAAAAATTGTTAGGATTTTTTTTATTGAGATGCTCTAAGATACCGCAGGTTACTCTATTTGAAAAAGTTGTTTTTAATGAAAAGCAGAAATACGTTTTTTTCTATAGACTTCATTAGAAATCTCAATTTGACATCCACAAGCGGAACAAGTGGGATGAACGCTTAAGGTATTGTACCTTCTACTCTGAAGCAACCAATCTTGGGACCACAGTAAAATCATTACCAAACCCGACAATTTTAGCTGATGACAAAACGAAGCGACAAGTGACCCGCCGTGTTCGCAAATTGCCAAACACCAGCGCGACGACGGATTTTTCACGTGAAGTGGGTCATCGGGATGTTAAAAGCCTCCAAATCCATCGGCTCCCATGGAATAAGCATGGAAATGTTAATACATAGTAGAACTACCGAAAGCAGACCATCTCACCAAGATCTTCAATTTGTCACTGAACACCATAAAAATACCCGAATTTTCGATAATGTGCAGGGTGACTCTTTACTAAATCCAAGGAAACCAGCCAACAAGGAAGAATCATATTGGTTGATATCTCTCCTCTCCGCATTAACGAAGTTTTTTTAGGCCATGCTGCTTCCGTCTTTCACACACCACCTGAGCCCAGCAATACATCAGCATGAGCTCAATCAAAACCAGCCTTGGGCGTGTATTGTCCTGGTAGCACTGGATTTGTCACAAGCTTTTTAAGCCTTCAACCATTCAGTGCTACTAACGGATATTGGACCAAGGGCTACATGAGTGGCCGACAATCATCGAGGTCAAATATCCAAGCTCAGAAAGATTTAACACGGAATCGGTGGTGTCTCCTCTCCATTGCTCTTTGACTTATATGTCACGAAGCTCCTCCTTTCGTCAAAAAGAGTTTCAGTGATCTCATGTGCCTTGTCTTCTGGCCAAGGCATTGAGGACTTACAGTTACATCCTGCGAAATTCTCCAAACCTGCTGGACTACCATCCCGAATTCGATGTGAAAGGCGATGGCGTAGAGATTCCGTCTACAAATAACTCAAAGTTACTGGAAATCATATTCGACAGCCTGCCTGACATCCTCTGGATAAGATGGCCCACCAACTATTCACCGAGAGTCCATTAACACCCACTTACAGTTTTGATCCCACATACAGTGAATGGCGTTCTCGGAGTCAAATTACCACCCATTGCAGGCTAAAAACTCGAGCTGCCTCGGGAGTACCGCATGATACTGGCGCAATTAAGATCTGAATACTGCAGTCGACTACATTACTACTTATCCACATTTGACTCTGCATGCAATGAGTCCCACAACACATGCCCCTTAAAACCAACCGGTCCGCTAATTTTTTGGACCTCCCGTTAGAAGATCTCGATGACATCGACTGATCTTGCCTGCTTATAAGCGGAGTTTGATTTGCCGCTACAAAAACAACAACAACTACAGGGTCCTGGAGTTTCAACCATGTCAACAAGCAATGAAAACATCGAAATAATAAAAATATTTGTTTTGGCCAATCGTCAAATTACTATTAGGGAATTTTCAGAGGACGTTGGCATATCAATCGGCAACTTCGTAATAAAGGAACCGGACGTTCCGGGTGCATACGCTCAAATCGTAATTCGAGCCTTTGTTAGGCGTTAGGCAAGTAGGTTTAACTTTAGCACACATTTATTTAGCGCGCCGCTTAATTCAAGATCGACGCAAGCTCGCAGTTTCACCTTTGGTGAACGGACGCTGTAATTAGACTTCAGCGAAGCATTAAATCGAATAAGTCGGAATGGCTCCATTGAAGCTCTTAATCGTGGCAAAAGGCTCCACACGGCTTAGTTACCACTACTTGCAAAAGGGTTGCTCACGTTTCCAACGCGCAATAGCAATTTAGTATAGCGCCGTAAGAATAGTTTGACTACAACCCATTCCACCACATTGAATAGAGACTTAAATTTGCATTATCAAAGTATTTCATTGCCACCAACAAACCATGAAATGATGAGCACGATGTCTCTTTGGGTCCGATTCACTAAGCTTATCGTTCTTTGACTTGCTTTCGACACGAAACGTGGCGGTATTGAAACACACAGTTTATTATTGAATTGAAATGATTATAATTTATTTGAATATATTGACTTAAGTTTAAATAAAATATTAATTCAAGTACAAAGTTATTCATAATTTATTACAATATCGCACATTTGCTTCTTTTCTACATACATACATACGCTCAATTCATTTGCGATAGCCCTTACGCACTGCATCATTCTCGTGTTTTATGCATGTTATGCACATCTTAGCCGTGTTTACGGACAAATACATATGTATGTATTAAGTAGATTGTTAAGTATAATAATATAATAAGTTTAAGAATTTTTATACATGCATCATCCTAAACGTTTTACCAATATCAATTTAAATCTCCCTTCTACACATACGCCGTGTCTGTATTACACATATTCTGTTCCTATGGCTACGATTCTTATTTCTCTGTATAATGCGTCCAGTGAATGTACGTGTATGTATGCAAGTATAATTATGTACTTGTATTTATTATGCAATTGTTTCTACACCAATACTATATCACCATTGTTGTAAACTAATATTCTTATTTGCTTTTGTGTTCTTTTTTTTTTGTAATTTCTCCTTTTTCAATTGGTAAGTGAAAACTTTTGTTTTTTTTTTTCAAGATATTTTAAAATTAGTGTTTCAATTTAAATTTTCATTTAACCAATATGCCTTTCTATACACACAAATAATATCTACCTTACTCCTTACTGTTGTCTAGACGCGAGCTATTACTCTGTTTTTGTTTTTTCTTAATAATTCTTGTGTCTCGTCTTAATTAGCAGTCCATTTTCTTCATAAAAAATACTCCATAAAATACTACTACCATGTCATATCTTTCGTACGCAAGTTACTACATATTAATATTTGAAAACCTGATCATAGACTAGAGCCACTCTCCATTTGTTACATCGTATTTGGGTTTTTATATAAAAAAATAAACCACTCGATCTAGAATTCTTTACAAAAATATCTTCTTTCCTATCGATTGCTATCATCATACGTCATCATACAACTTTCTACAGCTTCACAGTTATCAAAAATCATTATAAAATCAGTGCAACAGAATATTTAAAAATAAATCTCAAAAATATGTAAAGAAAGCAAAGTTAATTTGCGCTCTCATCAAATATTTGACAATAATAGCTCTGTTCGTTGAGAAATGTCAGTAGGAAATTGCCAATAGCGAAATGACAAAATTGCGCTCTCTCGGTGCAAATTTTACTGGTAACAATTCTTACTGCCTATCAGTTCACCGAACAGGACTATAGAATTTTTCAATGGAAATATTGGAAAGTATTTAAAAAAAAGTATGTCAAAAATTATCACATGTTCTCAGAAGTTGAATGGCGAGCGAACAACTTCAAAAACTAAATCTATTGTAGCAATTTAAACTTTCACCTTAAGCTCCTTACATCATCAATATTTACTACTAGACAATATTAAAAACGTAAGTATATGCATTTTATCACAAATAATAGATATTGTTTTCTTTTATTTTTTTCTAAAGAAAAATATACATATTTTTCATTGCAAATTCCATAAATCTGTGTGCTTTTCTGTCATAGCGCGCAAACTGTTTCAATTTTAGTGCAAATATTTTAGTGTGTTAAGTTTTTTTTTGGAAATTTTTTAACGAATAAATTTCGAACTTCCTTAAAGTTTGTTCAATACTTTTAAACACATATGTATTCTGTTTTTTTTTTTCGTATTAAATTTCATCTATATGTATAGTGAATAGATAATTGTGTACTTTTCATATTTTCATTTATTTTATTTCTCATTCTTTTGGTTTTATTATTTATATTAAAGTTTAATTTTTTACAGCGTAGACACATTTTTGTTTTGCAATTTTGTAAAGTTTAATTTTAAAATTTCGTATTTATTATAATTTTCTTGTATTTTCGTTTTTTGTTTTTGTTTTTTTTTTTGCTAAAATATTGCATGTCTTTTATTTATTAGATTTTTTGGAGGCTCTATCCCTGAGTTCATTTAATTTCTTTGTTGTTTATATTAATTTGCTTCTCGGTTTTTGTTTTTCTCTTAATTCTTTATGTATTTTATCTACAATAGTTGCTGTTTATATGAATTTAGTGCAAATGAAAATGATTTCGTAGATGATGAGTGGCGTGTTTATGAAATTTCGGCTTACTGACTCGATATTAAGTGAAACTCATGTCGGAGTCAAAATATTGTGTGACTAAATATCTATCACACCAAATACATACATAGTGCTATGCAGAAAATTGTGATTTGCGATTAATACAGAAATAAATCGTTTTTATATTTTTTGAAGAATGAAAGATCTGAATAATTGCTTTGCTTTGATTCAATAAACTGTTTGATTCGGTGTACATACATTTTAGAATTGTAGAGAAAAGTCGTCGCTCTCATCTCTGGAAACATCAATCGGATGAAAGTGATACAATCAAGAAATAAAAATGTTTGGAAAATGATAATTACACTCATTTGTTTTTTTTTTCTTTACACTTGAATAGGACTCTTAATCTCTATTCAGCTTTCGACTAAGTATGCTCTCCTTTTCGATACAAGAATGATGGAATTCAAAGATTGTGTCGAAGACAGTTGCCTTGCTCACGACATAAATTTTGACAATCAGCTGTTTTTTTTTTGCTGATGATGTCACAATAGTAAAGCTTCGCATTCTGCGTAGGAAATAAAAATAAGTGTTATAACGTAGGTGCTTACAAGAACTTATTGGCGCAATCTGTTCTTTTTAACCTTAGATCTGTTCAGTGAGAAGTGTAAATAAGATTTAGCCAGCAACGTAATCCTAAAATCACGCTCTTTCGTTGCAAATTTAACTGGCTAAAGTCACCGAGCAATTTTTATTGTTCATCGGCTCACT